CTCCACGATAATTTTGATTTTGTTATCCTTACTTCCTCTGGAACTTAACTTTTTTACTGTATTCCACAATGCCTTTGCATCATTTCGATGTTTTTCTATTTCGTTTTTGTAATAGTTCGTTTTCGTATTCCTAAGTAAATTATTGAGCATAGTTCTATAATCCAAAAAAGTCTGTTTCACTACATTATCACCTGGGTTCTGTTTGAACTTCTTATACAGTTCGTCTCTTTTTACAATTGATTTACTCAAGCCCTCAGTGATCCATGGGGTACGTTTTTTAATTTTTTTATTTTCATACGTTTTTGTATTCTGCTGTATAATTGAAGATAATTTATCTAAAAAATATTGGGTTGCTAGATTTGTATCATCGATCGTATATAAATGATTCCAAACCGTGTTTTGAAGATCACTCTTCAATTTATTGTTGTCAGTAAAGGTGAGGAGTATTTTAGAAGTTTCTTCATGTAGTTTTTTAATAGGCAGGTGAATTATTGTGGGATAATGATCAGTGATTGCAGTCTTTATAACAGTAGGGGAATAGCTTTCACAAGTGTAATGACATTTACTCTTTAGGAAAATATGATCAATACATGTCGATGTCTCTCTCTGTTCCCTTGTGGGAATATTGATCATGGAAACAAAGTTTTTTTCACCTAGAATATTTAGATATTCATTCACAAGATCATCGTTTTCTGAAAGAATATTTATGTTTGTATCTCCTGTCCAAATATGAAAATCTACATTTTTGTTTTTCACAATGTTGAGATAATTTTCTAGATTATGGATGAATTCTTGAATGCAAGTGGAGGGGGATCTATAAACAGCTGTTATCAGAACCTTTTTTGAATTAACTGTAATGTCTAACTCGATCACTATTATTTCTCCAATATTATGAAATTCGTATGTATAGGTCATATTATTCCTCACGTAAGCGATAACTCCATCACACTTATTAATGTTACCCTCATTGTAAATAAGATCATACCCAGCCAACTGTATTAATTCGACATCATTTATTTTCCAGGTTTCAGAAAGTATAATGCAGTCAAATTCTGTATTGAACTGATTGATATATAATATTAATTCATCAAGATTCTTGTTAATGCTGCGAATATTTAGATGATATAATCTGAAATTGTTTTTATTCATTACTTTAACGCTCGGGATACTTTCATATTCCAGAACAGAATTTGCTGAATATGTAGCAATTGGTTCATAATTATAATCTCTTATATACTGGTTCATTTTTCAAATATGAGGTACTGAAATATAGTATTTACAACAAAAATGTTTCCTTTCGCTAGTAATTGAATCAGAAACTGATCAATTCATTTATTATCGGAATAGTAAATTGATTTATTAATGTAAAATATCGGAAAATAGTGTGCAACAGGTTTTCAATTGGAATTTATTTTAAATCTTGTTTGTCTTGTTGTTAAAGGTGATATTTTCTGTGATATTTTCCTCTTTTTCTCCACTTGTTTTGATTCCTTTTCTTTTGGCGCTTCTTCTTCTATAGTTTCGTCTTCAATGTCAGAATAAATATCACCCTCCAGCTGATCAGCAGTGAACTTTTCCCCGTCGATTTCCAAGTATCTTCCTCTGATTCGAGCTTGAGATTTATTCTGTCGAGCTTTTTTCAAGTGCTTCACTAGAATTTTGTTTACTTTTCTATCTTCTGGGCTGAGATCGTTCGATATAGCGACACTAGTGCCTTTTAATAGGTTTACTTTTCTAAAAACGTTAACCTTTTGCAAAAAAGATACGAATTCTATCACAACGCCTTTTTCTTTGGATGATTTATTCACGTAATATATATTATTTATATCTCTCACTTCGATTGTAGTATCCAGTAGGCGATTTATCTCCTTTAGCACGTCTCCAATTAGATCTTCTCCTAATACTAATCCAAAGACAAGTATATTATTTTTTCTACGAGAATTTTCTAGCATACCACAACGTTGTTCTACTTTTTCAATTTTAATCTTTGATTCTTCTATGTTGCTGGTGATATCTTTCAGACTTTTACTAATTTCTTCTTTGATGTTTTTAGTTTGTTCTTGGTTTTGTTGGCTTAGTAGCTCATAGAGTTTTCGCAAATTTGGGTCAGCAATTTCATTCACGGAACTCATTTCAGATCGCCTATACGTTTTTCAGGGTGAGTTCTTCTTGCGACGGTAACCTTCTACCTTCGCTGGCTGTTGTCTACTGATCGTACGAATTGCTTGATTTACAAGTCGAGAGAACAATAAACATTAAAATGTTTACGTTTCAGGTCGTGCTCTCGTAGTGGGAGTTCGTCTCCACAATACAGCTGATTTTAGGCAATTATAACTACCTTATTTCACAAGTCATTAAGGTTGGGATACTGCTTTCTCGATAACTATGTTATAAGACAATGTTTTTACATACCAGTTGGTGTAAAAAAAACTCCTTGTAATGTAATCTTTGCTTCCACTTATTCAATAACACAGTATGTAACTTTTATGCACTAGAATATTTACTTTATTAGGAGAACGATATCAACGCGTGTTCACTGTTTCATCGCCACATCTCACAATTGAATACACGAGATACAGCCTCAGTAAGTAGCTCTTTACGCACAGTAAGCACATCGCACAGTTTTCGTTTATTCCGCCAGTATAGGTATGTCATGATCACGTAATCACCGTCAACAGCGGATGACATAACTGTCAATAATTAGACTGTTTGTCGAAACTTTTTTGATGTACTATATGTCAGTAGGTAAAGTATAGTACGTATTGCGTGTTGTAAAGCAATTACGCACTCGCCGCTCCGCGGCTACGTGCGTAACTTTTGCATTCGTGCGTAATATCCTTCTTACAACACATATTACGTAATATACTATTTCGGTTCTATTTCCGATATCGCAAATTTGGTGAATACGGCAAGGTACGCCAGAATTGGCGTGCAGAACCTTCGCCATTTCTTGAAGTATGTTCTACTAAAAGGTATTTCAATTCGGAAGTTAACTCTTTCAGGTATAGGAATTTTGATATATATCACCCCCTAGATGTACAGCTTCATTTTTTTTCTGATTACCAAGGAAGATATCAAAAAAGCAACTCGAAATATTGCGAAAAACACATACAAACTTGAAATAATTTCAAAATCAATCATTTTTTTTTCAGAAAAAGGGTGGTTCGAAGTTTAACCCACCATACCATAAGGTGAAATATTTCATGATACCTAATTCATTTGAAATCACTATGATACGTCTGGAAACATGTTCTGTTTTTTCCAAGACAAAGTAGAATGAATCATCCGTAATGAACTGACAAAAGAGAGTGTAAGGTGATGGATTATCCAAATATATCATTGATGTCTTGAGCAACTCCGGAGAATTCTTCGAAATCTTCTGGTTGAGCGATCTCATCCATTTTACACCATTTTATCCCTCTAACTGGCTTCAACTCTGATAAAGGGATCCCATGTATCCATAGGTACTGTTGTTTCGTCATCTATACCCGACAGTATTGTCATCAGCACCAAAATTGAGTCATTTTCCTCATCGCTTTCATTTGCAGACCCAATATCAGAAGGAATATTCTCGTATTCTTCTATTATTGCATACAGCTCCTCTCCTGTCATCCCAATCAGCGTGAAGGACAAGGGTTCCTTGAAAAATCTCTTGGCCATTTAGCAAGAAGATATTCGTTGTTGTATAATGGGACAAACTTTGAACAGCATCGATGGATATATGATAAACAATTGAGTTGAAATAATGAAACCTGTAGCTTACCTTTGTTCCGTAGTTTTTATATTTCATGCTGAAAAAAGAGTCATAACAAGAAGATGATGAAATTTGCACCCGCGATTTGAAAGCATAAACACAACGTACGGAACGAGATTGGAGTTTATTCTTTATTCTTCTAATGCTTTGTTTACTTCGCTTCAGCCTCGAGTGAGTTATATGGGCCGGTTGAGAAAATGAACCGTCGTACCACCAACCACTAGCTTATTACAGAGCAGGATATATTTTGTCCCAGCATTTCAATGAGTCCAAGAAATCCGTGGTTCAAATTGTGCACCAGTGTACTTTAAACACCATTATATTAAGGAGGATGCACTTTGCATCACTGCAATGAAAACAAGTGTTCTCCACTCCCACTTTCGAAAATTGAATTGGCGGAAAAGGAAGAATATGATTAGTTTTTTCCAAAAGATATGGCTATAAACTTCGGATTTCCCTAATAAAGCTTGGATGCAAAATTACAATTCAATTTTTCAACAGAAATTCAGTGACCAGTGATCTATTTTGAAGAGAAACCTGCATATTTTAATCTGAAACCATATCGACCTAAAAGTCCCAGATGTACATATACAGTCAAATGAGCCATCGTTCGAATGTTTATCAGTAATATTTTTTCCAAAGAATATGTTATCCTTATTTTACGTCCACCCTGTATACATATGTTGGGAAGTGCATATTATTGCCGATAGTAATTGAGAATCCAATATTCAAATCCATATAATTAAACGCTGATGCTCTCATAATTCATTCAGAGACGAGCCATTCACCTCTGGTTCGTGATGTCACACTCACTAATTATTTGACATAATGTCAGCACCACAGGCGAGGATTACTGAAATTACATCAAATTCGAAAGATTCAAGTGGTTCCAAAAAAAATGTATGTATTTCATTCGTCATCATTATCAAGTGAACTCTTCTCGACTAATTTACCTTCTGAACATTCTTTTTTTCCGAATAATTCGATTCGATGCTGCAATGACTTTCTGACCTAATAGTGTTGTGTATTTTCCTGACAAATAGTATTGTTGATATCAAACAACTTCTGGAATGTGTTTATGAAATCGTGTTGCCATGGTAACGTGTTTAATATTTTGAATAAATCACAGATCGACAATCCGTGATTAATAGATCATTTAGCGTGGTACAGATCCGTACGCTAAATGCCATTTTAGCTATGTGAGTAGAAAAACACCATTGTATTATTGTATGATTTCATCTTCCAGATATGTGCAATAATATTATTAGTGGTCACTTTGACCGAGGAAAAGGCTGCAACGATAAACACGAACGGGCATATCCCACCATCCAACGTGCCAACTTTCAGAAGAGACTCAGTAGAACATGTGCCAGATGTAGAGTTCAGCTCACCCCTTCTGAAGTACGAGGAGTTCGGAAGCAAGAGATTACCTCTCAGAGCAGCCGTTGAAAGTATACCAGATGTGTGAGTGCCCTTTATTATCTTCTATCAAGCCACAATTGACCATATTGTTCAGTGTTTGATATTTTGTATTAAGAGGTTGGTCAGATCTGTTTTGGAAGCTGACAAATCGCATGAATTTGTTTGTATATCCTACTCCCATAGAGGGCGCTACTTACACGGTTCGTACCGAGTAGTTTTAAACATAACTTTCCTGAAGTTGGATCTTGCAATACAAATTTGATGTGAACTTGAAGATCATCCAATTTCACTACGAAATGATACTCTTGGTGAAACTCGATAATACCATTTCCGGAATATTTGAATATGAAAGCTATAACTGTTGCTGGTATAAATCTATTTATTTGAGTAAGTATCATGAAAAACTAACTAACTTTGGTACTTACACAGTGGAAAAAAATAACACCAGTTCACACCAGCAAACCCTTGGGTGTCCCCTGAGGTCTTAATTAATTCAGTGAGAAGTAATACTGATATTTTTAAAACCATCATAGGGTGTCTTCCGTTTTTACATACAGTCAAGAACTACACTAGAGTATCTAGTGCTAATGTGATCGGTTCGTGTTATTCAACACCAAAGTGGTGTACTATACAATCATTTGGTGATTATTTATTGCCTTGATTTCAAGACGAGATCAAGACAAGAAGTAATTGTAGATTTCAAGACATGACAAGAAATTTCATGTCAATACCAAGATTTCTTGTCAAGAAAACAAAATCTTGAAATTTCTTGACTAAGAATGAAAACGTTAAAACGTGCGTTTATCACTCATGATGAAATGAGAGATAATATCAATATAATGTACTTTTCACCACCATTTCACAAACTGAACATCATTGCAAGTGCTCGACGTCGTTTGCTTCAGTCAGAAAACAGTTAATCACAAAGACATATCTTTCCCAGATATATATAGCAGTATTTTATTATGAACACTCTGTATATGAGATGTGTGGATGATGACACATGAATAACGATAATGTTCATTATTGTATCTGAGAATATACAGGATGAGTCATAAGTATTGGGACATAGGCTAAGGGCTGATTGTTTGGACCAAAATATGGCGATAGGACCAACTGTATGCCCTAATAAAATATTGCTGGTAACAAAAATTCAGGGCGTTGAAGTTGCATTTTTGTTTTCGATTTTTGCTAATAATTCAACTGTTAATTAATCAATTGCTATAAAAAACGGCACAGAAGCATAATTTTATACAGGGGATATTATTTCATGTATTACCCAGACAGCACCAGATATTCCATGAATCTCCCTATCATATTCCTTTTGGAATATTGGAATATTCTAGAAATAATCTGGAATATTCCGGAATATCTGTGGAATATTCTCCAAATATGCGAATGGGAATTCCTCAGATAATCATAGAATATACCCAAAAGAATATTCTATGTTGAATGTTCCTGGAATATTCCAATAAACATATTCTAAAATAAAAAAAAGTGACCCAAGTAGGGATCGAACTCGTGACCTCAAGACTACCAGAGCAACGCCTTGACCACTAGGCCAGTAATCGAATTGAATAATGATATACATATCAAGTTCTTGTGACAGCATTGTTCGAAATCGGATCATAAACACTTTTTGTTTCAAAATCCCCTTACATCTAATTGATGTTCGATACTCACATCTCTGAAATAATAAATGGTATTTATGTGTTGAGAAACATAGGAATATTCATGGAATATTTCATGAATATACACCACAGAATATTCAGTTGAGGATATTTCATGAATATACCGCACAGAATATTCAGTTGGGTATATTTCATGAATATACCGCACAGAATATTCAGTTGGGTATATTTCATGAATATACAACAGAGAATATTCAGTTGGGAATATTCCTGGAAGATTCATACCTGAATATTCCCTGAACATGTCCGACTATTCACTTTGGAATATTCCATTTAGATGTTCCAGAGGCATGTATATATTCTAGGAATAATCGATGAATATTCGGAATATACTCCTCCTTTTTAGCATATTTAGAGAATATTCTATGAATATCCAGTGCTGTCTGGGATTCTACAGTTTGTTACCGGGTGTGGCCCCCCTGATTCCTGATGATGAAATTGACTAGTAACTTTTTTTGGCGAAGCTTTTTAGTGATTTCGATCAGAAAATATGACATAAACTCCATTTCTACGTATAATATTGGTACTCTTATTTGAATACGATATTTTCATCCGTTTTCGAGATAAAGGCAACTGAAAGGTTCCAAGTCTCGTAAGGAGATTTCAAATATTATTTTATTTATGAAGAGTGTGCTTTGAACTGTCAGATAATAATTGCTGGTGAATTACATTTCTCGTCAGAGAACAAATGCGGGTTTATGGCACAGTTTTTAAAGGAGTTGTATCGTACCCATATGGTACTATAATTACGAATATAATGCTGGGCCACTTGACCCCTCCTAAAAGTATCCTGGGCTTGTAGTCTAGTACACAGTATTGAGTATTATTGAGAGTACCTTTTCATTGATGAATTGAAAGATGTTCAAGGTCACATGGAATTGGGTCTAAAAAATCTATCCTTAAATTACTATGTGCGAACCGTGTAACTAAAGCCCTCTATGAGATTGAAAACAAATTCATTAAAATGTTGCCAGTAGTTTCGACATAAACGTAAAAATGTGTAAAAAGATCTTGTTTTCAACACCTTGTCTCTTGAAAACGGACAACTGAACAATCCCAACTTATTTTGCAGTGTTCTACATACCCTAGTAAGTATGTTATAGACGTTGACAAAAGACAATGCATTCGACATATCAGTTGACAGTAATTGCTGCCAAGAAATAACACAAAGCGTCTAACCTTCCCCGAATGGAATGAATAATAATAATAATAATAATAATAATATTTATTTCACTTGTTAAACCGTATGAAAGCGTTACAATAAACATTTACGTACAGTAACAAGGAATACGTCTGTGTATAAATAAGAGAGTAGGAGATAAATATATATATAGAAAAAAAAACAAACATTTTATATAAAACGACAAAACTTGACACCTATAAATTTGGACATATACAGATGGGTGATTTATTGATTATCGTGAGTTACTAAAACTCGTCAACGGTGTAGCAGTTTCTTTCTACGAGATATTTTTTTAATTGTCTTTTGAATATGGAGATATTCTTTGAATCCTTAATAGAAACATCTAGCTTGTTAAATAGTTCCTCTGATAAAGGGAGGTTCGGTGAGGGTTTGCTATCAGCAAACCTCTTGCTCTCGTTGGATAAGGGTGGTCTTGTTGGTTTGCCGTAAATTTATCTCTATTCTTATAAACGTAGAGACATATCTCATATATATACAGACCAGCAACTGTGAGTATTTCCAGCTCTCTAAATGAGTTTCTGCATGATTGTCGCCATCCTAAATTAGCAATTATTCTGACCGCGCGTTTTTGTAGAATGAATACTCTTTCAACAGAAGAGCTCATACCCCAATTTAGGATTCCATAGCGCAGGTGACAGCCAATAGTTGCATAATACAGATTTAGCAGGACCTCTATTCCACAATGATTCGACATAAATCTCAGTGCATAACAGTTCTTTCGTAGTTTATCACATAATGAATCTATATGAGGACTCCAATTGAGCTTATGATCTATAATTAGACCTAGCATTTTTGTTTCTGGGTTGGATGTCACCTCTATTTGGTTATCTTCATATATTTTTAGAGTTTCAGTTGTGTTATGCATTGAGAATTTTACTAATGCTGTTTTGTTGATATTTAGTGCTAAGTGATTTTTATCAGCCCATATAGTCAATTCATCAATTTTGATTCTTTGAAGTCCAATGATCAAATGAAAGTCGTCAGATTCGGGTCACTTATCATAGAGATCATCCATGTACCAAACTGGAGGCTTTCAAAATTAGAGCGATAAATCGAATGGAGTGTTCTATATGAGACATAGTGACAAAATAAATGGCAAAAAACTGTTTTGACGTTATTTTAAAATATTTGTACTCTCATTGAACTTTACCACATTTTTCTTCAGTCTGGCAACATTTCAAGTCCTTCTGATCTCGCCGAAGCAAACGCTCAGTTTGGCTGTTAACCTCTGATAAAAATGATTCATGAACATACCAGACGAGTTTACATATTGACATACCTACCAATACTTTTTTCTCTCCACCAAAATTATCATACTCTCATTTTGGTCTGTTTTTCTTTTTTATTAGTCACTTCATTTTATCGTTTTGATTTCGAAACCCAGTATATGAGCTCATCTCCAAATTCAAATATCTGATGTGTTAAAATATGCATATTGTGTTCATAATCGAAAACACGTTGCTATTGATTTAATAAGTACACTCCCCGACAATAAATTGCGGACAAAGATGATTTTGAATTAAATTTTAGTCTTGAAAAGGAATATTCTCAGATAAATTATGAACATGAAAAAATAGATATATGTATGTAAAAAAAATACATTGATAATTCGCATTCTTCATGTGATGAAAATATCAACTCTTTCTTGGTTTATTCAACAAAAAACTACTGGCTATATGCCAGGACGAACATTGAATTATATCTATTGAACACACACGATACGAATTTGAGAAGAAGAAATTCTTCTGAAGTTGAAAATTTGTATTCTTCCTCAGATAAAAATATGTATATGCACATTATATGATTCTGATTATTCAACAGAAAACAGTTACTTTCCTAGCTATTTGATACGTCGAACATTGAATTATATCTGTTGAGTATCCAAAAAGAGAGCATAAAAAATAAAAATCCTCTGAAATTGAGAATTGACATTCTCTCTCAAATCGGATGAATATAATATGATGTAGAATATAAAAATATAACTTACCAATAAATTTTCAGTATTGAAAGGAAAATTGAAATGTATAAGAGAAGTATACTTGTATAAACTCTGATCTTGATGAGCTTGAAACTTCAAAAAAAAAATCATTCGTATTAGTGATATAGGAATTATATATCTCACAAACAGGTTATATGACTTTATTCGAATGAACTCATTTTGCGGTATCCAACCCTCCTCAGTAACCTGAAATCCAGTTATTCTCTTAGCCCTTCTTCATGATATACACAATTTTCATCTCTCTATAATATAACTGAAACTATAACGAACTGACATCTGAGAATTATTTGTTGACATTTAATCCCACAACTTCTCAAATAGTTTTTTGAATTGGTCAAATTCGTGTCGGAATGCTATCATGAGTTTGAGTTCTCTGAAAATACTGATGGCTCCACCATCAAATCAGGAAAATACAAAAGGTTCATTTTATCCTCAAATCCTTAATCCCTTGTAAAGAAATTTAGTGATCTGTAAGAGAAGACATACATTTTTATAGTGAATGTTCTCAATTTCATTAACTATTCCTAACATTACCTCATTAGATATGAGTTGTAACGTTGAGAGCATTTTTGAACAGAGTATCACCAAACTACTATTGCAGAATATATTCTCCGGAAGCTTTTCGTCTGGAAAAATGAGATCAGAAGATGTTGAATGACGATGGTGGCAATATACCTACGGTACAGAATTCTTTACCAAAGCAAAAAGTCCACACAAAGTTCACAATGCGATAAGTCGAAACATCGAAAACCATGTCGATCCTTTTCAATTATATCTCAGGGTTGTTTAATCTATCAACCCTTCCAAGGATCACCTGGTCAACTATTTATATTACTCACCTGTTATTTTAGGAATGAAAATTCAAGAAGATTGCCTCTGAGAGACGCAGTTGAAAAAAGACCCCCACCTGATGAACCTTTCGACGATGAAGATTCTAGAGAGCCGGAATCTAATTCAGCTCTACATTATAGTGTCAATCCATCTGGACAGCTGGATTTTCCTGGTAAAGGTGTCAGTCGCGGTGAAAATTCTCACCAACAGTACATACCTACCCAATATGTCCCAAACCAGTTTTCCTTCACCTCCCTCCAAGGATTTCCACAATACTTCCAGCAAAACCAACAAGCCAGTAAGCCCCTTCAGTATTTTCAGAATATCTTGGCAGATTACAGATCTGCTGCTCCGTATAGAGTAGATAACAGCTATCAACAACTACTGGTCAGTCCATTTGCTCTACCGAGAGGTAGGAGCTTGTCTTTCGATGGCCCTGTTTCAGGAAGAAACCAACAAAGTGAAAGTAAGTGCAAAGATAACAGAAATCTTCTTTGAATTGCTTTCTGATCAGGCTTTAGAGATTAAGAATCTTTGAATTGAGGAATTAACACTTTAATCTCGTGATGAACCCAAAAATTATTTTTACTCTCAACAAGAAAAGAAGGAAAATCACAAATGAGTAAAGAATAATCCGCCCGGGATGCGATGGAACCAAGGCCATATGATTATTGAATGATAATCTCAACTGTTATCGAACTAGAGATGAAGATACCTACTATTGATCCAATTCCGAAGAGTTCTAAGCATAATCGAAATGTATATCGTTGACTTCCGTCTTTGTATTTTCCGTGAAATGAACCAATAACAGGTTTTCTGAATATTCTTTCACCTTCTCGAAGTGGCACCACTATTATAACTAAGATTCAAAGTAACAACGTCTGTCCTTCCTGCTACATCAGGAAGTTCTTGATAGTTTATTCACAGTATTTTTCATCATGCAAGAATAGTTTCGTTGCAGCGAGTCCACCGTGTTCTCCTTGTATTCTGATTCTGGCAACTCCTAGTTATTTCTCAATATTAAGGGAACATGATATTCAAATTGGTTATTGCAGAATGCACTTTTCATAAGTACTATCAAGAGGGTCTGAATATTCGAGATAATTTTGTCGCTTCATTGTTAACGAAATTGTTGAGCAAACCCTCTTGCAAAATTCAAACTGTGATCATAATCTGAAGTATATTTTCTTTGGTTTTTTTCCTGTTACGAAATTGTAATGATGATTGCTTTTTTGCTTCAACTACCTACCTGTTATGTAAGGGGGTTGAATCCCTTAACCGTAAAGTCTCAGGAGAGAAAAAAATGGACTGGAGGCAAATTGAGCGTGGTCTTTAAGATCTTACCTTATGGTATTTCGTGGAATTATGGGTGGTGACGGGCCGGCCGGCACTCTGAACTGGACGTATGGGATGAATGGTCTTCCCTCAGGAACTATCTGGTACCACTCGCGTCACGAGAGACAACTTTTCCTTAATTGAACACTTAAGGTTCCATTAACGTCTGGAGGACGGATATTTTGTTATTGTTGAGAAAATTTTACTTGGAAAGATCCAAGGCGATCGAATTGAAAATGTCGGATTCGATGTACGAAAAGTTCTGATCTTTTTATCAGCGGTGGCCACTTGGAGGCGCTGCATGTAAAACCTTAAAGACCTGATGCGCGAATTCAATTTTGAGATATACAGTGAGCCAAACACGGATAGCAGATAATGCATAGAAATTCATTATTATTTTAAGTTTACATAAAAGGACATAACAAAGGAGATGGACGGAACATTACCGCCCACCTAAAATGCGAAGAATTTTATGATTTTAGGTATCTGGATTTGATTCCAGAGGTAGAGGACACAGTTTAGAAACAGGTCTCTTTAAAATGTTGCCATTTGCCGTTTTCACAGTAGCAACTCTCACATGTCCGTCTGGACCAGGAAATGTCTCAATGATACGCCCCAAATTCCACTTCAGAGGAGGAATATTTTCAGTTTTGATAATTACCAACGATCCTTTCGTAATGGGATCGGAGGGACCATTGAGCCATTTTGTTTTTTGTTGTAAGGTGTTGAGATATTCATTAGACCACCGAGTCCAAAAATCTTGGTGCATGCGGGTGAGAAGTTGCCAACGTGAAAGGCGGTTTATGGGAATGAATTTCAAGTCAGGTTCAGGTGGAGCCATCAATGGTTCCATTGTGAGAAAGTGACCTGGCGTTAATGCACTGAAATCGTTTGGATCGCTGCTAAAAGGAGTCAGTGGGCGCGAATTCAGAAGTGCTTCAATTTGAATGACAACTGTAGCCTTGAAGTAAATAAGGGGCTAAGTGCCAAAAACTCGAAAACTGGTTTTATTGCTTTAAAGTGGGCTATGTACCATCGCCTTTAACGCGAATAATGGGCTATGCCAAAATGCACCGGCAAATAATTTAATTTTCCACCGTCAGGCGACGCATGTGTCAACTCTCGAGTTCATATTAGTAAATAACGGGGTAAGTGCCAGCTTCTCCATATTCGTTAATTCGTGCTAGCGTGGACAGGCGGCAAAAATGGGTCTGATTACCAAAGATTTACAAATTTCTAAATCGAAATGGATCATTGTAGAGAAGGATTCATTGAGACTTGGGCGCGTTCAGACTCGTGAGACTTTGAACGATTTAGAAACTTGTGAATCTACGAGGGTTTTCAAAAAAAATATTTCAGAAGGAACTATCCGTGATATTACTCTGCCACCATTTTCATGTAAAAGCAAAATAAGCAATGAGAAGAAAGAAAACTTGAAAAAATGTATTCCTTATGTCAAAGAGGAAAATCGAAGATTTTTCGAAGAAATTCTTCGTTGATAGATCAATCTGATTTTTTTTCTATTTTTGTATGTTCACAAAAATAAAAAATTTACAAAAAAGATGTTAATTCCTTGTTTCGAACCTCTTCATTTTCTGGCACTTAGCTCATGGTAAAATACACATTGGTGTGGTACTTAGCCCACTATAAGAAGAGATAATGATGGCACTTGGAACATTCTAATAATATCAAAGTTGTTTGAATTTTTCCTCTTAAACCAGAGCACCCACGTGATAAATCAATTCAAATTCTTGTTTATACCATACGAAGGTTCACATAAAAAAATGGAAATATATCCAAATGAAATCGTTCATGTTTCATGAAGTTTTTATCGAATAACTCGAAATAATTTTTTTGGCACTTAGCTCCTTATTTACTTCAAGGCTACAACTGTTTCTAATTGTTCATAAGTGAGTACTTGATTCCCAACTACTCTGACAAGGTGAGACTTGACAGACTTAATGCCTGCTTCCCATAGCCCTCCGAAATTAGGAGCGGCACTAGGTATTCGTTTGAACGAGATAGCCTCGTGAGACGTTGCATCAGACAAAAAACTATTTAATTGGCGATATGCCCCACGAAAGTTAGTCGCGCCGTCGCTGTATATCACTTGACAATGCCCTCTTCTAGCGAGAAAGCGACGTAGAGCAGCAAGAAAAGCATCAGATGTTAAGTCAGATGCTAGTTCGACATGGATTGCCTTAGTGGCAAAGCAAATGAATAGGCAAAGATAAGTTTTGACGAAAACTTTTGAACCACGCATCCTGTGCGTTACAGTAGTGAAAGGACCTGCGTAGTCAACTCCTGTGTGTAAGAAGGGTTTTAGGCGAGAGATACGGGGAGCAGGTAGATCACCCATAGGGGGTTGAGGAGCTACCGGGTGAGTGCGGAAGCATCTGACGCATTTAGAAATAATGTGACGAACTGAACGTTTGAAACATATGATCCAGAACTGTTGAGAAATAAGGTATTGCACCGTTTGGATACCAGCGTGAAGGTATTTCACGTGAGTATATTCGATAAGTAATTCAGTTAACCTACTGGTCTTAGGCAGAAGTGCGGGAAATTTCCGATTGAAAGGAAGAGGAGCATGTCGGAGCCTTCCACCGACTCTCAGAATACCTTCCTGATCTAGGAAGGGAGTTAACCTTTTGAAAGCTTTGGGGAGAGGTTTTCCTTGACGAATGGATGAAATTTCATGAGAAAAATGAATGGATTGAGTGTGTTTCACGAGAAGTATGAGTGCTTCATTGAGTTCAAGCGAGGTTAACCAACCTGATGGACAGGGTTTGTGACGAACTTGAAGAATGAATCGGAGAATGTAGCACAATATTCTGATGCACTTGGTCAGTGAAGAGTGATTGCTCAGAAGGATATCTAAATAATGGGGATCAGACATGATTACAGTGAGAGTTAAGGTTCTTTCTTCTTCTAGTGCTTCTGCAGAGAAATAATCAATCTCAGAAGTAGAAAATCGATCGTTTGAAGAAAGAAATGAAGGCCCCGCCCACCATGCGGAACAATGAACAAGCTCAGTAGGAAGGAGACCACGTGAACCATAGTCGGCGGGATTATTTGCAGACGCTACATGAAACCAAGAATCTGGTGAAACTTCAGCTTGTATTGAAGCAACTCTGTTGCTCACAAAAGTTTTCCATCGATATGAGGGGGATTTCAGCCAATAAAGGGTAATAGTGGAATCTGACCAACAACAAATTTTGTTAAATGTTAGTTTACCAACATAGACTCGACGAACGTATGACACTAGTCGAGCAGCTAGAACAGCAGCACACAATTCAAGTTTTGGGAGAGAAATCTTTTCAAGGGGTGCAACCTTAGATTTTGCACAGACGAAGTGTGTCGAAGTCGAATCAGAAGATGAGGTGAATACAAAATAGAGAACTGCACAGTAACCCTTTTCACTTGCGTCACCAGAGCAGTGAATTTCACAAGATTCAAATTGAGAAGGAGCTATCCGACGTTGGATATTGATTTCAGACAATGATCCAAGTTCGGACAAATACCTATCCCACAGTCGAATAATGTCACTTGAGGGTTCCTGGTCCCAGTCCAACTTACACATCCATAGTCGTTGGATTAAATGTTTCAAAAGGAAGGTTAGGGGTGACAGAAACCCGAAAGGGTCAAAAATGCGGGCAACATTCGAAAGGAGATTCCTTTTTGTACAAGGTTCATCGAGAGGTTGCAGAAGAAATCGAAATCCGTCTGAAGATGGGTTCCACTGAAGGCCCAAAACTTTGTGTGAACTGTCGTGTGGGGAATCGAAAGAAAGGGGGTCAATGGCCACATGCGAAGGTGGCAAATGTGTCAACACAGAAACTTCATTGCTGGACCACTTTCGCAATTCCAATCCTGCACGTTTGAGTAGTTGAATTAATTGGTTTTGCAAAGAAAATACTGTTTCGAGGGAAGAACTTCCGCTGACAATATCGTCCACAAAAGTGTCGTTTTCCAAGGCGATAGCAGCAAGAGGAAATTCTTTTCCATCATCTTTGGCTAGCTGCAATAAAGTTCGAATAGCCAAAAAAGGGGATGGAGATAATCCATAGGTTACGGTATTAAGTCGATAATCTTTTATAGGTTCTTGTGGGGAGAACCTCCACAAAACCCGTTGAAAATCTCTCTGTTCGGGAGTGATATAGATTTGTCGATACATCATCTTAATGTCGGCAGTGAGGACATAAGAGTGAAGCCGAAAATTAAGGAGAATGGTGACAAGGTCACGTTGCAATTTTTGACCAGTGAACAAGTTTTCATTGAGTGAAGTTTGATTAGGAAGTTTAGCTGAACCATTGAATACTACCCTCAACTTTGTGGTAGTACTATCGGGACGAATAACGCAATGATGAGGTATGTAAAAGTTATTATGAGAGGTTGAAGGTTCTTGAACAAGCTCCATATGATTGAGGTCAAGGTACTCTCTCATGAATGCTTGATATTGATCATAGATTTGCGGGTGTTTTTGAAGACGATTTTCAAGAGATATGAAACGATTTAAAGCGAGATTTCGTATACCGGGAAATGAAGGATTCGGATTACGAAAAGGGTAATGCACGATGAATCTTCCTGTGTCATCTCTTTGGAATGTCTCCAAAAAATGCTTTTCACAGGCCTCATCCTCAGGAGATATTGATTTGATTTCAGGGACAGATTCGATTTCCCAGAACCTTTTCACAGATTCTTCCAAGGACGAAAAGTTAGTAGTCGAGCAAAAGAGGGAAACGACCGGGGAAGGGCGTGGTGAGTCAATTTTTCCCATCAGGACGTATCCGAAAATGGTATTGATGGCATCAGGTTCCCCGTTAGCCCCAGAAATATGCCCATTCAGCAATATTTTCGAAAAAACATCAGCACCTAATAATAGGTCGATATTTCCTGGACTATGAAACTGTTCATCGGCTAAGTTGAGATTCGAAAGATACGAAAAATTATTCGAAAGACCGGTTGAGGGTAAATCTCCACAGATTTTTGGAAGAACAACTGCGTCAACATTTAAAATTGACGAAGGATTTCGGAATGACCGAATTGAAATAGTAACACCTCCATTGTTAGCGAGAGTATTCATTGAGCCTAAGCCATTGAGTTTTAAAAAAAAATGAGTCGAAGTTATACCTAAACGATTGATGCATTTTTTCGTTATAAATGACGTCATACTGCCGCTGTCTAACAAACACCGGAAGGGTTGATAGTTACCCCAACTATCGAGAACTTCAACACGAGCAGTCGACAGCAGAACTCGAGAATCAGACGATGCGAAACCAGCATGAGTTGACGCAACATTGGAGGAGTTTTGAGATGTACTTGGAGAATTGGAATTGTCATTACCTGACCGAAGTGGAGAAGTATTGGGGACGTGATCCGAAGTTACGACAATGGAAGGAACTTTTTTATCGAAATGCAAAGATGTATGATGACGTAATCCACACCGATGACAAGTGATGAGTGATTGGCAGTTTTTGAAGCTATGTGTATTACTCAAACAATTGATACAAACATGAAGATTCTTTGCAAATTGATAGCGATCATTGGGAGATTTTTTGATGAATTCAGGGCACCTGAACAGCATGTGATCTAACTTACAGTTTACACAAACAGCGGTTTTATCTCGAAGTGAATTATTATTTGTTTGTATCAATAATGAAGTTGAAGTACGTGGAGAAAATGATGGTTTTTGATACTCTGATCGTTTTTGACTTGGTTTTGTCTGACGAGATACATTCAAATTAGCTAATGCAGAGCAGTGTTGTGAAAGAAAGTCAAATAATTTTTTGAAAGTTGGTGAGTCTGATGAATTATGAAACAGTTCAAACCGAGTTGCTACTGAAACATCGATTCGTTTAAGAAGCATTTGAACCAGAATGAAATCCCACTGATCTGTAGGGAATTTTAGAATTTTCAAGGCAGCAATGTTTTCGGCGAATATGTCGAGCAAATTTCGCAAATCTTGAGGATTTTCACCATTTTGTTTTGGCGAATTCTCGATAGCAGCCCAATGTGCAGCTGCAATCAATCGCGTATTCTTATATCGATTATTGAGTGTGTTGTATGCAATTCGATAATTATTTGAAGTCAAAGGCAATGTCTTGACTAAAGCTAAGGCTGGACCCTTGAGTGATGCTAGCAAATAATTGAATTTTTCAATTTCACTCAATTTTGTATTATTTTCAATTAAGGCATCGAACATATCAATAAAAGATGGAAAGGAGGTTGTATCACCACTGAAAATAGGTAACTGAATTTTTGGAAGTGATACATTTGAAGAACTCTCAATTTGAGGATCTGAATTCGTAGATGGAAGCCGAGCATAAAAAGATTTGATCGTATAAAACATCTTTTCGAACTCCTTCCGAACATAATCTTCTGTATCGAATGCTGCATCATCATTATCTGCAACTTCACCCATGATGATGTTGTGACCTTTAAAAAAATCATCTTTGATTGAATCTATATTTTCATACCAAACATTGAACAATGCGATTGATTCAGAATCGAATGACGACATAGCATTATTTGCTACATCAGCAAGTTTTTTTATTTGACTTTTCCGAAGCAATTTTGCTTTCTTAACTTTTTCTGTTGACATTTTGATCGAGAAAGAAGCGGTGAAAATTCGAAATTGTAAATAAAGAATTAATTAATGAATACGCAGAATTACACGCAAAGTTTTGCGCGAGCCACTCAGTAAGAGACGCGAGAGATGTGACGATGAGCCTGACGTATCAAGATGTGTGACGTATAGGTATGACGTAGCTGATAGCCAGCGTACCACCGATTTCAGTGCGCAGTGCAGTACTTGGACGGTATCGAAGATATATTTTAGCATACGACGTACTGAACAGTGTCCCCTACTACTGGCCTAATGAGTTGAAAAGAGATCGCTAATAAATGAATGATGTCGTATGATAATTTGAACAAGGACTCTTTTTTTGTCTATATATGAGAGGAGTCTCCTTGCTCGTTTGTTTTGATGGTTTTTGCTAGATAGAAAAAAGGAAAAAATAACCTGTGATAATTTCACGAAATGAATGAAATTTTGATAAAAGCAATGCAACTCCGTGAAATTACTTCAATCTCAAATGACTTACACAGAATCTGCCATCCGACTTCGAAGGACCAAAAATGTTATGTAAGGGGGTTGAATCCCTTAACCGTAAAGTCTCAGGAGAGAAAAAAATGGACTGGAGGCAAATTGAGCGTGGTCTTTAAGATCTTACCTTATGGTATTTCGTGGAATTATGGGTGGTGACGGGCCGGCCGGCACTCTGAACTGGACGTATGGGATGAATGGTCTTCCCTCAGGAACTATCTGGTACCACTCGCGTCACGAGAGACAACTTTTCCTTAATTGAACACTTAAGGTTCCATTAACGTCTGGAGGACGGATATTTTGTTATTGTTGAGAAAATTTTACTTGGAAAGATCCAAGGCGATCGAATTGAAAATGTCGGATTCGATGTACGAAAAGTTCTGATCTTTTTATCAGCGGTGGCCACTTGGAGGCGCTGCATGTAAAACCTTAAAGACCTGATGCGCGAATTCAATTTTGAGATATACAGTGAGCCAAACACGGATAGCAGATAATGCATAGAAATTCATTATTATTTTAAGTTTACATAAAAGGACATAACAAAGGAGATGGACGGAACACTACCTGAGCAACAAAATTTTTCTGCCAGGAGTAGGCAGGCGGTACCTACCATATCGTTATCATATATAGCAGTTGGTACATTCACACAACTTTGTCACTTTCGTTGAGTTGAAGGTATCTTAAAAAAAAATGCAAGGACCGCATGATAGATCAAGAAGTATTATAATTTGCTCATTTAGTACCTTCTTTAGTACTTGAATTGAAAATAATCGAACATTTCCTTCTCATGTATCACTTAACAAATGAGTAATCCCAATTCTGAATTCGTTGCATCCCCCACCACTTATAGTTTCTAGGTTAATTATACAGAAGATTGCAAATTCGAATACTTCTTCATACCACTATTTCAGTATAGAAATCTAAAAAGAGAGATAAAGATTATTTGTGGTCACTAGGATAGACATATCTAACATATCAGCCACTTTTTAAATTCCCAAGATATTAAGAAAATATTCAATATCGGAAATTAAATTGCGGATATCATCAGAATTAGAATCCGCCATGATTATTGAAACTGCTCTGATATTCAATTTGGTCACCAGAATAATCCTAATAATATTGGCATCCTATTGAATCATGTTTATTATTCTTCAGGGCAGATCGCAGAAAATCCTCAAAGAATAGTCTGCTATGTTGAGGGTATTGGAGCATACAGGAAAGAACCTCTCACTTTCCATCCAGGGGACTTGGATCCATTCATTTGCACCCACATAATCTATGCCTATGCAACCATTGATCCAATAACCTATAACATGATATCTAATGATGAAACATATGACGTCATACAGGGTAACGACGACGATATACAAATTGGAAATTAGAATTTACTCAATGACCCTTTTCTTTAGGAGGATACAAAGCTGTGACAGACTTGAAGAGGAAGAATCCAAACCTGAAAGTACTGATATCTCTTGGTGGTAGTCAAGAAGATGGATCAAACCGATTCAGTAAATTGGTGTCTAATGCTCGTAAACGTAAAAGCTTCATTCGATCCGCCATATCGTTCATTAAACAATACCAATTTGACGGAATGGAGATTCATTGGGAATATCCAGGAGCTGAAGAACTTGGAGGTCAGCCGACTGACAAAGAATTTCTCTTATCATTCCTCGAGGAAGTTTCTGAAATCTTCAAACAACGCGGATGGTTGTTCACTCTGTCTGTTCCTGGATCTAGGTTCAGAGCTGAAGATGGGTTCGAACCATCGAAACTAGATGATTTAGTAGATTTTGTAAATGTACAAGCCTTCGATTTTCATACTGATAGAGAGCAAGTGGCTGACCATCCTGCTAATTTGTATGCACGTGCTGACGATGATGGTTTAAACATATTTTTAAGTGTTGTAAGTGTGCTTGATATCAAATGTGTATGAATAGATTCAAAACACAGAGTTTTCAGGACTACGCTGTACATTATTGGATCAGAAAAGGTCTGCCGAAATCCAAACTTGTACTAGGTGTACCATTCTATGGAAGATCTTTCACGCTCAGGTATGCTAATGAAACAGAAATTGGATCAGGAATCAAAGGACCAGGAAGAGAAGGATTTTACACTCAGAGTCCTGGTCTTCTAGCTTATTTCGAAATCTGTGATATGATCCAAAACGAAGGATGGTTCAGAAGTCAAGACGATGCTGGATCCCCAATTATCGTAAACGGAGATCAGTGGGTAGGGTATGAGGACGTAGACAGTATCAAAAGAAAAGTTGGGTATATCAAGGAACAGCAACTCGGTGGTATATTTGTGAAATCAGCGGATCTGGATGATTTCAAAGGAATCTGCGGTGAAAAGTGGCCTTTGCTATCTGTGATAAATAGTGAACTGAAAGGTGACACTTTGTTCAATGATTGCAATGATCAAGCAAACTAGAAATCTTATATTTTAGGGGTGGATCCAGTTTTCTTCAACGGTGACGAAAGCACTGCAACACGACCTTTTGGGACATGTGAGTCTACTGGGTATTACAGTGATTCCAGAAACTGTGCCGCCTATTATATTTGTAAAAATGGCCTAACCTATCACCTATCTTGCGGAAGTAACCTCATGTTCAACCCTACCAATGGAAAATGTGATCAATTCGATCCAGAAAAGTGCAGACCAGGAGAAACTATTTATATCCCAAGTGGTTTGAAAGATACGGATATGTCGTCAAAAAAGCAAGAACTGAAAGTCGACAGACCCAAGGTAACCCTAAGATGCAAGATGTGCATCAAGTAATTGTACAAACTTCTAAGGATGCATCTTCGATCTATCTTGAAAAAAAAATTCATTTGAACATGGGTCCACAACGGCTTGGTTCTTGAGATAGAACTGTTTCATTTGGTTCTCTGATTGCATTTTTGTTCGTGAATGGAGGAGTATCATTGTTGGGGAACTAAAGTATAGTTACCTACTTATTATCTTGTTCAATTTTGAAAGACTTTTTGTGTTGTACTGTATCCATGCCTCATTTTTGAGAAGACAGATATATTCTTGATTCGATCATACGAATAAGTAACCATAGTATTGAATACTAACGTTGTTTTCATCAACTTATCTGTGAACAATTTTCCGTAATTGTTGGTTGGCACCTATTTTGAATTTCAACGTTTGAAATAAGACTCTTTCCCCATTTTGTTGTTAAACAAGGCAAACGTTAATTTCAACTAGACTAAACTATTTTCCAACTATTGGGTAGAATTTATTTTGTTATACACACATTTTATTAATATTATAAAAACCTTGAACAGTAATGATATTTTCAAGTGAACTATCTTCCAATTAGAATTGTCGGTATCTATTCATCTTGAAGAATATTCGAATGTGTTTGACGATATGAAAACGTTGAACGCTAAGGCTATTTTGAAGTAAACTGAAAACGTTTACTCAGCTCATGTTTGATATTCATATCGAATATACGTATTTGATTGAAGATATGAAAACTTTGAACACTAATGTGCCATTTTCATAAATGTTTATATTCATACCAGCTTACGTGGACGCTCACTATGTAAGTTTGGTTACAAATAAGAGTTCTAATGGAGATGCATAATGACGAAACAGCTATACAGAAGGATGTGAAAGTGAGAATAGCTAATCAAAGAGTTCGATTCATTGAGAAACGTAACGTGGTCTATACGTTATGAATTCTGTGAAATAATAAGTAACAGTTCAACATTCCGTTTATCAACATGATGATGATATAAATACACGTTTCGTTCCAAGATCCAAGCCATTGTGTGCCCATATTCATATCGACTACCTATATAAACTTTTCATTTCGGAGTTTGTACAAACAACTTTGTACAAGTACTTGGTAAACATCAAAATCATGACTTAATTTCACTTTCAGGTCGTTTGTTATGTTACTAATTGGGCTTTCTATCGAAAAGCTGAAGGCAAATTTGTCCCAGAACATATTGATCAACGACTATGTACCCATGTAGTATATGCATTTGCTAGTTTAGACCCAAAAAATCTTCTCGTGAAGGAGTTCGATCCATGGGCTGATTTAGATAATAGTAAGGATTCCATAATTCTCAGAATTAGTATAGCTACCTAGTTCAATATTTCAGATTTGTACCAGAGGATTACTTCACTTAAAGACACGGTAGTTATGTTATCTTTGGGAGGCTGGACAGATTCGGCAGGAGACAAGTACTCCAGACTGGTCAGTGATGGGACAGCTAGAAGGCGTTTTGTAGTAGGCGCCGTAAGCTTCTTACGAAAACACGGTTTTAAAGGTCTCCACTTCGACTGGAACTACCCAACTTGCTGGCAAAGCAATTGCAGAAGAGGACCTTCATCTGATAAAAGCAACTTCGTCAAGCTTGTGCAAGAGTTGAAGGCAGAATTCAATAGGCAAAATCCACCATTGGTGCTAGCGGCTGCTATTTCAGGATACAAAGAAGTTATAGACCTTGCCTATGATTTACCAGCTCTAGGAAAATCCTTAGACTTCCTTTCAGTGATGACCTATGACTATCACGGTGCATGGGAAAGACATACAGGTCATGTTAGTCCCCTTCATGCTAGTCCTGATGACAAGTATCCCCAGTATAACACGGTAAGATAATCGTAGAACATATAATGAGAAATTATCGTAATATGGTGATTTTTCAGAACTACACAATGGAGTATTTGGTTTCTCTAGGAGCTCCAAGAGAGAAGCTTCTCTTAGGCATTCCATTTTATGGCCAGAGCTTCACCTTAACCAAGAAGAGTGATTATGGAGAAGGAGCGCCAAGTGTGGGCCCTGGCGAAGCTGGGGAATATACAAAGCAGCCAGGAATGTTAGCTTACTACGAAATATGCAACCGAATCAGGAATCGTAGATGGGTTGTGAACAAAAACAGTGCATCAATGGGTCCATATGCCTACAACAATGACCAGTGGGTGGGTTTTGAGGATATTTCTTCGATCAGAGAAAAAGCAAGGTATATCAAAAGCAGTGGGTTTGGAGGTGCCGTAGCTTGGACTATCGATCTAGATGACTTCAATAACAATTGTTGTGAAGGGGCGTTCCCATTACTACGTAGTCTTGGCGGAGAATTGGGAATAATTCCAGAACAGCCTGTTCAGAGTGATTGTACGAAACCCCCTGCTCCTTCTACTCCAGTTCCACCTGAGACCACTACAGGAGTCGATTCGGGTGGATCTTCTGACCATCACCAACACGAAGAGTGGACGAGTTCATCGACTAAACGAACCACCACTGGCACTTGGTGGAATCCAACTACTTCCAGTACTACCACTAGACCATCAACTTCCACAACGTCGTGGTCAAAGCCATCAACCATAGCTAGTACAAATAAGCCAACCAACCCTTGGTGGGCTGATACTACTACTACCACTACTGCCAGACCAAGTAGTCATATAACTTGGTGGACTGAAACTACTCCAGTGCCAACTAAGACGACTGCTGGTGCTGTGTGGTGGACAACTACGAAATCGACAACTTCAAGGTGAGTCCAAGACATAAACATTGATTTCGATAAGCTACAGGAGGTAACTGTTACAGGCCAATCACCCAGGACCACCCTGATGGTGAAGTAATCGTGCCGTCGCCAGCAGTAGTGATGCCTGAAGTTGAAAGTCCCTCGATGAGTTGTGAACCAGGGCAATATCTGCCGGATCCAGCTAACTGTAATGCCTTCTATAGATGTGTGATAGGAGAACTGAAGAAACAGTACTGTGCAGGTGGATTGCACTGGAATAAGGAGAAGAATATTTGTGATTGGCCAGCTGAAGCAAAATGCAAAGAAGGTAATCGTTAGTAGCTTGTTAAAAATGTCTCCGTTAGGTATATGCTGTATCTCGGTGTTGATTCTATGAAGAATTTCATCGAGTTTGATGAGTTTCTCGTTTTTGGATTTCTGAAATTTTTATTACATTTGAATCCGAATTATACAAGATGTGGCAGAATAACCTAGGTACCCAATTGGGAAGGGATGTGTCCAGAGGTAGGTTGAATTATTTTATAGCAGTAGCGGGTATGTCGAAATAAAGATGTGATCATGTGATTCTTTGGCTGAATCAGTGTATCTACAATCGCACATTAATAAACCTTGTCGATCTGTGCTACAATGGTAATCGCCACTTGCGTGATGTCATGAAAAACGTAAGGAGTCATTTTTTTTTCAAAAGAAAAACAAGCAACACTAAGTCGGTCGACCACACTTCATATAAAGGTCTCCAGTTTTATATAAAGTGTGGTCGACCGACTTTGTATTGCTTTTTTTTTCTTTTGAAATTACTTTGGACTACTTTGAGATATGGAAGATTTTCATGATTCATCTTTTTTTTTTTTCATCTAGCCTGGTTTCGAAAAGGTAATTCTGTTGCAACCTGTATTTTATTCTGGAATAAACTCACCCACCGCTCTTATTCATAAAAATATACCAACAGCCAACTGTTTTCATGGAATGAAGATTAATTACATTGTCTCATTTTGTTGTTTGTAGTCACTGAATGAACCATTCTCTCAATCGAGGAACTATGACATACTCCTTCCCTCTGCTATACAAAATATTTGTTGGAAAAAAAATATGAATTTAAAGGCAGGCAAATTAAAAGAAAAAATTAGGTTGACCTAGATTGTTCATGAGGTATAATTATTTCTCCTTCTCCAGCAAAGGAAATGGGTACAGGAGAGAAGCCTACCAGAAAACCAAAGCCGACAACAAGCTGGCAAACACAATCAACAACAATCTGGCAGACACAATCAACAACGCCGAGGAATCCATTTCCTTCTTGGTCTACCGCTGCACCCTATACCATGACGACTACTCAAATAACCCCCTCCCAAACGGAGTGCAACAATGGGGCGTATTATCCCCACGAGCGATGCTCTCACTTTTACGTATGCTACAATAACCAACTTGTAGCACAGAGATGCGCTCCAGGATTAAGCTTTGATGCGCAGACTGGTATGTGTGATTGGAGCTTCAAGGTTAAATGTGTTGGAAGGAAAAAAGCCGCTGAGAAATTCACTGCGATACACAACAGATATATTGGAGACCGTAAGTGCAAATATGAGGAATTTTGCAATTATTTGGAGTACCTACTTGAAATATCGATTGTAACAATATTTATATGAAATTGAAACACTTCCTGGTTTTTAACAGTGTATGGTGCTTATACAAGACTACTTCAATTATTAAGTTTCTGGCAACCATGCATCTTCACTGGCATTATTGCTATCTTGACCCATCGTGCCTTCTACTGCTTTTCTTTAGTTACATCCTTATATTTCATTGTCATAAGTCCAAACCTCTTGATCCTATCGATTTACAGTCATCATTTATGAGTTCTTTATTTCTTCCACAAATTCCTTTTTCGAGTAGATTAGATTAGATTTGGAATGGGGCGTTCGGGCAATCTGCCTCCACACTGCGACCTTTTCAGATCTATTGTTTTTTCCCTCAAAATCGATTAGAGTTCTTCGGCTAGCCCCGCCTTCTCTATGAGACTCCATCATAGGCTAGCTTTCAGATCCCCTGTGTATCTCTGGGCTTCTGGTTTTTCCTCACCCAGCGTAAGGAACCTTAGTCTTGACAAGCCCTCACAGTGGCAAAGTATGTGTACTGCTGTTTCCTCCTCTTCTTGACAGAACCTGCACAGCAGTTCTTCAGTCAGACCTATCGTACTCATGTGTTTGTTGAGCCTACAATGCCCTGTGAGAAGTCCCACTAGTATTCTAGTTGAACTTCGTTTCTGGCTTAGTAGATATTCTGTGAATGTTGGCGATGGTTTTTTAATAAACTCTTTTGCCTGTCTCATTCCTGGCGAGTTGTTCCACCATTCTTGAGATTTGGTTTGCATCCATGATTTGATACTAGTCTTTTGTATAGCTTTCGCAATACCACAGAAGGATTCTGGGCCATTAAGAGTTTTGTTTGCTCCTGCTCGGGCAAGTGAGTCTGCCTCTTCATTGCCCTCGTACCCTGTATGTGCTGGTACCCATGCTAGAGTCAATCTGTTCTGACTGCCCAGTGCATTTAGGGTTTCTAAGCAGTCCCATACTAGTTTTGAGTTAACTTGCATAGAGTTGACTGCTTTGATTGCCGCCTGGCTATCTGAATAGATTGCAATGGATTTTGCCTTTAAACTCTAGCCTTATCAATTCTTTCACGCAATGATCGATGTATTGCAATAATTTCAGTGAGCTCAGTGAGATTCTTGTCTTTGGCTTGGCCCCATAAATACCAGCTCCTGATCCTTCATCAGTTTTGGAGCCGTCCGTATAGACATCAAATGTCTGCATTGATAGGAGGTCCTTCTTTCCATGCCTCTCTTTTCGTTTTACTTATTTTAAAAGTTTTTTCAAAGCTATATTTTGAAATTATGCCATCCGTTGGCATCCCCATGATAAGTAGGCGAGTAGGCGGACTAATTCCCTGCGACCAGACATTTTAATTGTATCTGCTAGATATATGTCTGTTCAAGATACAACGATAAACGTAACTGCTCATTTTAGCTGATTTAATTTTCAGCAAATATCGTTTCAACAGGTCAATTATCACTTCTTCTCAATCAGTTTGTTTTCTCAATTGATGATAACTACTCTCAATAATTCATCACTATTCAATTTCGATGTTAATTCAATAAAACATGAGTTCCCAATTTCATTATTTAATTTTCAGGTCCTCAACCCTACACAAATTGTGATGGAAATGCGTTCGCTCCTAGACCAGGTTCTTGTACTCAATACATGGACTGTCAGTGGGGAAAGTATGAAATACGAGACTGTGCACCTGGATTACATTGGAATAATGTAAGTTATGCTCCTGGCCTATTCCAGAGCATTAGACAATGCGAAACATATCGAATGTTAGAGATGTGAGGTACATACTTAATTCGATTTTTTGTAGGAGAAGAAAATCTGTGACTGGCCACAAAACGCCCAGTGCTCCGAAGATCCAGATCAAAGTATCGACATTATCGAAACCAATCCCAGTCCACCAGAAACACCCCCTCCTACATACCCGCAGTGGTCACGCCCTACTACAACCCACGCCACGCCTGTCAGCTCCACTGAATGGTCGGAGTCCTCGTCCAACGAGTGGGAGTGGCACCCACCGATCCCACCCACTTCGGAAAAGCCACCCCTATCGGAACCACTCAAGCCCTTTTCTGGATATTTCAAGGTCGTCTGCTATTTCACCAACTGGGCGTGGTACAGGAAGGGCGCTGGGAAGTATTTGCCCGAGGATATTGATGAGAATCTCTGTACACATGTCGTGTACGGGTTTGCAGTATTGGATTATTCGAACCATGTAATCAAGGCTCATGATTCTTGGGCTGATTTTGATAACCGTAAGTAAATATCATGATTTCTTGGACTCTATCTGTAGAATAGATTCGAATGGAGGATGAAAATACTTTCGTTAAATACTGTCTGTAGGTTGATCGAGGAGGTGGTACATTAATTTCACTTGATTTTTTGGGATTTTTTCTCCTTGTTTCTTCAAAATAAAAATCAGATGATTTGCCCCAAAATGTCACTGCGTTTTTTTAACAAATTTTTCTTTCAGGGAGCCTTAAAAAAATCCAGTAGCTTGTCAGTGGCACTTTGTTTAAAAAAATGTTTGAAGGAAAGAAATATAGATATATTGAAAAAATATCGAATTTTTACTTATCTTTGGACGTTTCGGGAACGAATCTGCTCCCGTTCTCAACATGAAAATGCAAAATACTTTTCTTTGGAAGTTGTGCTCTGCTTATAGTTTGACACTTCTCATTCATATGCCAACATCTAAAAATATATTGAAATAATACGAATATTTTTATTTTATAGAAACGAGGAGAGAAAATCTCAAAAAATCAAATAAAATTGAAATACTTTCGTCTGAATTGGAAAATTTATTCAAGTCTGCATTTTGTGAATAATGTTGAATGAATATTCTTTCAGAATTCTACAAGCGAGTCGTGGGATACAAATCGAAAGGAATCAAAGTATCCGTTGCCATTGGAGGTTGGAATGATTCCCAAGGTGACAAATATTCGAAATTAGTCAATAATCCAGCAGCTAGAAAAAGGTTCATCGAACATGTGCTGAAATTCTTGGATAAATACAACTTTGACGGTTTGGATCTGGATTGGGAGTATCCCAAATGTTGGCAGGTATGTCATGAGTCTCTTTTTTATTCAAAGTCATGCATAATATAATTTAATAGGCACCGTGAAGAGAATAGGCGCCTACTGACGGCTCCTGATTTCTGTAAATGATTTCAGCTGCATTTCATTTTATTCGGATTATCTGGTATTGCAATCTTTGATCCACTAACCTCTCCTTTTTCCGTCCCGGATTCTGATTTTTTGTTGGCTGTAACCTAATTTTTTATATGTTTCATCCAGGTCGACTGTGCCAAAGGTCCAGATTCCGATAAGCTGGCCTTCGCTGACTTTGTCAGAGAACTCAAAGCAGCGTTCAGGCCGAGAGGTTATCTCCTCTCTGCAGCCGTTTCCCCGAGCAAAACCGTAATCGATGCTGGTTATGATGTCCCAGCCTTGGCTGAAAATTTGGACTGGGTGGCCGTGATGACTTACGACTTCCACGGACAGTGGGACAAGAAGACTGGACATGTGGCACCGTTGTTTTACCACCCCGAGGATGATGTTGCCTTCTTCAATTCGGTATGATATAGATTTGGATATGGAGTTTGCTCATCGACGGCAAAATCAAAAATTCTTTAAAGTAATTGTTCAGTGCTTTGATGATTTCAATACCTATGGACTATTTATAACATGTCAATCATATTGAACAGCACCAAATGTCTAAGATGCTCAAGAAAAAATACGAGTGATACCACATATAGTAGAGGAGGGACTGGCAAAGTGGAGCGAGCGAGCAAATATCAATTTAGATTCAATATTCACTAAAAAATATTTAGAGGAGAATTATGATATCAGATGACAAGATAACTGTGGTGAAATTTATTATTCAATTGAAGCATAACCATTTAGTAGCGTTATTTCAGAATCAATCAATCAATCAACTTTATTATTCCCAAGAAACAACATTTGTTTATAGCAGGGAACGTAGTGAATACATAAATATGTTTGACAAAATAAAATAAAGAAGACAGTAAAATAAGACTCACACTCAAAAAGAATCTTTTTTTTTTCATGTTCAAATGAAAATGATCCTCAATTGACTCAGCTGTTAGGTACACAATTGAAAACTATAGTAGTTGTACAAGAAAACTATAAAAATGAGATAAGATGTCAATATTACAGGAGTAGATGTTTCTTGAATTCTCTTTTAAATTTTTCAATCCTATTAATCAGCTTCAAGTTATTTGGTAGTGAATTGTATTGTATCATTCCATTGTGATAGATGGATTTTTTACCAATATCTGATTTAATTTTCTTGACAGAAAAATGATCTGCTTGTCTGGTTGTATGGTTGTGGTGGTTACTATTGACTTGGAAAATCAAATTTGAATGCTTTTGACAATGTTTAACTGAATGAATGAACGACATTAATTTGAATTTATATAGTGAATCTATATCTAATAATTCTCTTCTTCTGTAAAGGTTCATAGTAGGTTCCGAATAATTTAGTCTGTATATACATTTGATAATTTTATTTTGAAGAGTTTTGAGAGGCTTTATAATTGATAGTTTTGTTGAACCCCATATAATCGATGATAAGACCAAAAAAGCAGTTTCGAGAAGAAATGTGGCATATAAAAACTAGTACCAGGTCGTGAATCATCGCGATTTGAGGAGAATGGCTTTGGAACTTAGTAAATAAAATTGAATCCCTGTTAATATCACTCTAGCGACCAGTTGATATTGTTAGTCCTTACTGATAGACTCAGTTCTTGCACGAATCTCATTTGACACCTCAGTAGATAAGCTGGGAGACTTTTGGATCAAATGCTGATGAAAAGTTGGGGATCGAGTTTGTTACTTATTTATGGTGAAAGTATCTTAGTAGTGTATGTTTTATATGAGTTCTCGAAGATTTTTGTCTTTCGCGTTGAGAGTATTAGTTTGATTTTCATCAAATGAAAGCAAACATGACCATGGATAAAGCAATATTCAATGAAGTACGTCTATAACCCCTGATCGATATCCATTTCAAAGGTCGCTCAAACCTTGGAGTACTGAATGTTCGTCTCATTTTTGAGTCCACTCAGACTTCACACCCACCCGAAGAAATGTGTTGATCTCATCAAGAACTAACTATCGAAAGAGAAATTTTATGGGATTTTGGTTCAGAGCCCACCCAGTTTATCTATTAACTTCAGTAAAATTGTCCTTCTTCTAACTTATGCATCAACATCATCTACATATACCTCCTGCCTTCAATGGCGGACGCTACTTCAGAGAGAAATGTATCGATCTCATCAAGAACTAACCATCGAGAGATAAATTTCTTGTGATACTGGTTCAGATCTCTCCTAGTTTATCTACTGACCGCAGTATGATTTTCCTCCTTTTGCATAATATATCTGTATACCTCAAGCCTTGAATGGCGGACGACGCTACTATAGGAGAGGGTTCTAGTTGTTCGATTGTTTCTGTCCTATTGTCACACCTGGGATATAAAACGAATAATTCATTGAACTCATAAGGAAATATTCACCAAAGGAAATATAATTCTTCAGTATATAATTATTATTAGTCATTCACATTTTTACAAGTAATTCGAACCCAGCTCATATTCCACAGACTGGAACTACGTAAGCTCCCGGGCATAATTCATCGATCTCGAAAGTTCACCTATGAGGTAATGAACTCAATCAATATGATTATTGCTGATTTTGCTAACTCGACAAGTATCGACTATGAAACATTATGAGTATTGATTTTACGGAGAGAAGAAATAGTACGTGAATCGATAGCTTGTCTATACCTATACGAGTACGGTCATCGGCGCCGGTAGTTTTTTCACCCTGGTAGCAGACTCAAGAACAACCCTAGAGCTATGGCGAGGCACAACTCCCCATCCATTATCTTCAACCCCTTTGGTAGTTAGATCCAGAGATGTAGGGGGCTACTGGAAAGTTTAGGCACAGAGTCACTCTAGTTTATTCACGTCACTTGATATCTTTTGGTAACTTTTAACCCTTTTTGTTTTTTATTTGCTCACTATGTCCACTGTTTTTCTCACTAATAAATATCACTTTTGTTAAACAAGAAGTACACTCTTTCCTTGCTACAACCCAGCTAAGGTGTGTAGTAGTTAGGTCACCCTCTCGCTGCTAAGCATAACCCCCTAAGATGACGCAACCAGGATGAAAGGCCCCATGAGTACCTGACACTTGAGAAGGCGAATCCTGGGATCGTGACACTATGTCAAGGGGAAGTTATAATCACATGTGTGAGGATTATCAATCACTTTCAGTATTTCTAGATGTAAATCGTACACTTTTCGGATGTAAGTGAGGAGAATATATTCGAATATTGTACCTCACACTCAATACACTGTTCTAAGTGCAAAATGAGATGAAGTGTGCGATCACATTCACATGTTTTGATGCTTTATCTCTTTGTCAATAGCTTATTGGTGCTTGCTGCATGATGAGTCAATATCATATCACATTAATCTCCCGAAGAAAAAGCTGGTATATCGACACTATCATGATTCCGAACATTTTCGATAAACTTACGCAATATCAAAATCAGTATATGATTCCACCTCGTTATCATACTTCATACTAGCACAATGACCTCAAGAAAGCAAAAATAACAAATACATATCCACCTGCTCTTTCTGTAATCGAAAAGATGTCTGTTGTACAATGTAGTCGAGTGTGGAATGATGTATATACAATTGAAAAACTAGGGTAATTAGAAGATATGTTGAACATGGTTCTTGATTTCATTAGATTCCCTGGGTGTCGTTCTGTTTTCATGCATCTGTAGATCTATGAGTATATATTCTCACTCAGATAGGGCAAAGGAGTATGCTAAGCCAAGATCGTATTTGGTACCATAGGGGATCGGGCGTTTAGAGGGTACCAAGTCACTTTTCCTAAAATTCGACAGTGGTGTTCATTCGCAAATCATAGTTTGAATGAATATTCACTCGGAATACTCTAAAACTCGCCAGTCACTTTTTCAAATAGTTACATTTATACTTTTTTATGTACTCTCACATTAATCTCTTTGTATGTTTCTCTTCCTCTGTTCTATCATTCATGATGAAAATTACCATTTCAGAACTATTCCATCAACTACTGGATCTCCGAGGGAGTCCCTCGTCGCAAAATCATCATGGGTATGCCGCTGTACGGCCAATCGTTCCGCCTGGAAAAAGAAGAGAACCACGGCCTCAACGCGGTCGCACCGGGTCCAGGGGAAGCGGGAGAGTACACCAGAGCTCCGGGCTTCCTGGCCTACTACGAGATATGCGACAATGTCAAAAACAAGGGCTGGAAAGTGGTGCAGGACGAGCTGGGAAGGATGGGACCGTACGCGTACAAGGGCAACCAATGGGTGTCGTTCGACGATAAGGAGATGATCAGGAGGAAGTCTGAGTTCATCAGGAGGATGGATATCGGAGGAGGTACGATGAAATAGAGGGGAATAATTGGAACCCGGTTTAATATACTCGTGCATAAAATAGTTTCTCCTTCTCTGTTAACTTGATATATTTACAAAATCTTATTCAATGAATGTTCGAAAACCGGTTTTGGTGAATATTCGATTTCTGAACCTTTGAAATGAAGATATAGCCCTTCTTCTTGGCTTTTTTTAACTTCTGGTTCCCACGAAAAGGGATATCCTGCAATGTTCAGAGATCATCGTAAGAACCAAAGGAAATAAGGTAGGCATTGGTGTTCTTCTTAAATCTCTGGAGGTTATATGCCTCGGGGAATACCTCCCTTGGCAATGTGTTCCAGAGCCTCGCTGTTCGTCGGATATGAACCAGTCTTTGGAAAGAGATGTTCTGCAGGTCTCCAAAGTGACCAAGAAGGGGTGCAAAGCCTCAACTCGACGGGTTAATCTCGCGGGGACTGCCAAGGGAGGAACAATTGTTGATATTTCAGAAAAGCATCGTCCATGAAAATATCTATAAAATAAAGCCAGATCACCAACTTTTCTACGGTGTTCCAGGGAAGTGAGTGAGTTTGTGAGCGAGGCATCACCCACGAGACGAATTGTCGAATGATAAACTCAAATTAGACTTGCAATTGTACACTTGGAGAGAGGTAAATTCACGAAAAAATTTAGATGAGATGATGGATAAATTCATCAGTTCATTAGAATTCCTCAATGTGAAAAGCACAGTCAAAGTGGAAGTGAAAAAGAAAATATGTAAAAGAAAAAATGGATGACCACTGAACTTGCGGAAATAACAAAAAGGCAACATCAAAATATAACCTATCAGGCAAGTTCATGACACTATAAACTGAAACAAATAATAGTATATTACGTGATATTTGTTGTAAGAAGTATATTACGCACGATTGGAAAAGTTACGCACGTAGCCGCGGAGCTTATTATCATTATCATCATTATTATTATTATTTGTTATTATTTGGATACAGTATCTTATGCTTAGGCATGATCTGGGCTCTGGATCTGGACGACTTCAAGAACAAATGCGGTGAAGGTCGTCACCCATTGCTCACTATCATCAGAAACGTGCTGGCCGATCCAGGAACTGGTCACCAAGAACTAGTGGATGACCAACCACGACCAGTAGTACTGTCACCTGAACCAATCGAAGCAGAAGAACGTCCACTTCCATCAGATCCTGGGAGCGACGAATCACAGGCCTTGGTATGTATATAAGGACCTGTGACTTATAGGTACCTACCTTGATCATCCGATATACATAAATATTGAAACTGAATTATATGAATAGGATTATTTTGTACTCATTCCATGGACTCATTATCAGAAGGACACAAAACATATCATTCATTAAACTACGTTCATTTTATGAGGCTTAGCTACCGATAGGACCTCTTTGTCAAAACTAATAAGAAGTGTACAAACTTTGTAATGGCAACGCTGTAATATTGATGGGTGAATAAATGGGCATTCAAACTTTAGAAGGCACATTTGGTAGTAACGAACTGTTTCACAAATAATCAATGAAACTATGAACTATTCTTCGAAACCAAGAATCACTTTTGATGCAACACCGTTATGCTATGGCTACGAGAAATGACGAAGCTGTCAAATTGCACAGTTTCGACGCACGAAACGATTATCTCATACGATCAAAAAATTCCTGATACTTTCATTGTTGAATATCAGACAGATTGTTATTATATTTCAGTTTGTTATACATATAGTTCATGGAATATTGTTCAGAGGAAGGAACATTGACACAGTATTGCCACCAATATTACCAAAAATGTATGTTTTGATAATAATTACAAAACCCTTTCCATAACCGGAAATCAGGCAACAGCACATTCCATCGGTCATGGGTATATTCGTATCTTACAGTGGACCGGCAATGTATGATCGTGTTTGGAGGTGAATCATTTTTTCACCTTGGTATATTGAGTCTATGTAGATACTCATTTGAATCTTTAATCATAATCATATGATCCATGGTTTTCTGGTAACACAATAATCTTGGTATAAGGATAACATGAAGCAGCTCATTATTATTTCTTTCATACAGGTGGATCCGAATTCGGAGTACAAAGTCGTCTGCTACTTCACCAACTGGGCATGGTATAGACAGGGCGTTGGCAAGTACTTGCCTTCTGATATAGACCCTAATTTATGCACCCATATCGTGTATGGATTTGCTGTTCTAAATGGTGACCAGATGATCATCAAACCACACGATGGTTGGGCTGATTTTGATAACAGTAAGATCTCAGCGTTTTGTACTGAATTCAACTGAATATTGAGCATTGATTTATACTGATCTGATCTGCATTTCAGAGTTCTACGAAAAAGTGACGGCTTTAAGGGCCAAAGGTATCAAAGTGCTCATTGCCATTGGAGGTTGGAATGATTCTGCGGGAGATAAATACTCGAAGCTTGTCAATAATCCATCTGCGAGAAGGAGGTTCATCGCCCATGTTGTCGATTTTATCGAAGAAAATAACTTCGATGGTTTGGATTTGGATTGGGAATATCCTACTTGCTGGCAGGTACCTATCGCATTCGGTTATCAGCAAACAAATTCATCCTAACAGAGATTGAAAAAATATTTGTTTTTTTTTTGGGAAAAGTGATTTCCACAATTCAACAGGAGACAAACAACTACTCCTCTGGCTAATCCTGACTTTATTTTCGTTGATATCTAGCAACCTTATTCCATCTCAATGGCTCCGAAAGTTACCACTCTCTGAGACTATGCTTGGAATGATGATGATTGTCTAGTTTGAAACATAGGAACTATCCGTTCATTTTTTAGGTCGATTGCACTAAAGGTCCAACTTCAGATAAACCTGCCTTTGCTGAATTCGTGAGAGAGCTCCATGAGGCGTTCCAGCCTAAAGGCTGGTTGCTCTCTTCAGCAGTATCGCCCAGCAAAAGAGTAATCGACGCTGGTTATGACGTGTCCACTTTATCTCGATACTTGGACTGGATTGCCGTAATGTGCTACGACTACCATGGACAGTGGGATAAAGTCACTGGACACGTGGCTCCAATGTACGCTCATCCAGAAGATATCGACGACACGTTCAATACGGTGAGATTCTTATACCTACTGCTTCAGCACTTCATAATTGATTCTGATTTAATTCTTATGAAATCCTTGCAGAATTTCACGATTCACTATTGGATCGAAAAAGGAGCTGATAGAAAAAAATTGGTGATGGGTATGCCAATGTATGGACAGTCTTTCTCCTTAGCTGATAACGCAAACACTGGCTTGAATGCTGCAACATATGGAGGAGGTGAAGCTGGAGAAGAAACTAGAGCTAGAGGATTCCTAGCTTACTACGAAGTAAGAGTTGTCAATACTACATTTCTATTTGTTGTTGTAATCTGTGTTTTTGATTCAGATATGTAGGAACATTATCAACAAAGGGTGGCAGCTAGTGAGAGACCGGAAAGGACGTATAGGCCCATACGCGTACTTGAGAGACCAATGGGTGTCATTCGACGATATAGGCATGATCAGACACAAGTCAGAGTACATCAAAGCGATGGGTCTTGGTGGTGGAATGATATGGGCACTGGACCTGGATGACTTCAAAAACCTTTGTGGATGCGAGGAATATCCTTTGCTGCGAACTATCAATAGAGTGCTCCGAAACTACACTCTACCAGATCCAAAATGCGTTCTAGGTAAACCCCAGAAACCAACAACTCCAAGGCCAACTGTCACCCACGAACCAACAGAACAACCAAGCCATAAACCGCCAACTAAACCACCACATCAAATTGTACCAGACATTCTGAACCCTGAACCGATACCATGTGAGGGACTTCTCTTTGAGGCACATGAAACTAATTGCAACCAGTACTACCTTTGCAACCAGGGTCAGCTGCAGCTTCAGTCGTGCCCTAGTGGCTTATACTGGAACGTGGAGCATTGTGATTGGCCAGAGAATACCCAGTGCCATCCTGATGGTAGCACTACGGCACCTTTAGATGTTACAACAGCAGTTTCAGATGTAACGAATGCAACCAATCAGGTTTTTACAGAAGGGGAGTATATTCCTTCCACCCTGACTACGAATAGACCTGCTCATGATGATACAGGATATAAGGTGGTGTGTTATTTCACCAATTGGGCTTGGTACAGGTAAGTCAAAAATATTTGTGATTGCAAAATTGTAACATTCAGATTAGTGGATTGTTTATCGAGAAGTGTAAAATGTTGTTATTCAGAGAGTATCGACTTCAATCCAAAAACTAAGAGCAACCTATAATAGGGTTTCTTCGTCTGTTCATTCGAGGCCATAAAGCTCACCAATCTTGAACTCAGTAAATCTTCTAGATCCGAAGGTTTGCATGTATTTTATCTCTAGGAGCGCATGAAAGGAAATTCTTATGATGTTCGAAAAACATCGTGCGTACCTAGTGAGGGTAGGGAGAGGAGGTAGGTGTTGTTTTGGAGGTTATAAGTTCTTGGTAATACTTCTGAGGAACATTTCCCGTGGAAGTATCTATATAATAGTGAAAGGTCACTAACTTTTCTACGGTGTCCTAATGAGGTCAATGTATTAGTGAGTGTGGCATCATTCAATAGGCAAATGGCACTTCTCTCTGGATAGAATCTAAGAGCATCAGCGTATGCGTTGAAGGACAACGACTGAAAGATATGCTAGTTAGTCGATGATATGTTCATTATATCCACAACATAATAAACGATTCGATGTTCTCATCATTCCCTAACCTTTTTCCATCCCTTGGTTCAGGATTTCTGAGATACAAGTGATATTTTCTGAATCGCAATTGACGCTTATTGTTCTCCGGTAGGTACTTATTTACTCATATATAACTTTTATCATTCTAGGCAAGGTGATGGAAAATACCTCCCAACAGATATAGACCCCGAACTGTGCACACATATCAACTACGGATTTGCCGTTTTGGATTCAACTACTTTGACGATAAAACCACATGATTCATGGGCAGACATAGACAATGGTAGGAAAATATTAATCTAGGCAAGCCAAAATTGTTCACACATGAACTCACATTTTGAACTATGGAGTTGTTATCTCCACATAAACCTCGATTTGCCATACTCATTAGTCATCAAACTATTTAACGATGGCTTTCAAGAAACAAGAATAGTGCTACCCCCTTTGGCCAAAACAATAATTGTTAATTAATGTTTCAGAGTTCTACAAGAAAGTAACAGACTACAGATCCAGAGGAATCAAAGTACTGATAGCCATCGGAGGATGGAACGATTCTTTGGGAGATAAGTACTCACGGCTAGTGAATGATCCTCGAGCTATAGCTAGATTTGTTGCTAATGTTCTTCAGTTCATTGAGAAATGGGGATTCGACGGGTTGGATGTCGATTGGGAGTATCCCAAATGCTGGCAGGCAAGTCACTATTTCTTTTTCATATTTGATGTCAATTTTGAAGGAAAAATCTGGACAAATAAAGATCAAGAATGATTGAACAATATTTTATGAGGGAACAATAATGGCAATGAAATCAGAAATACATATAAAGTGTCATAAACAAGACACACGAAGTCATCTCCACAAATTTATTGACTGAATAATCAGTATCTGTACTTGTTCGGACTATCAATAGTCCATCACCAGCAGCATATTTTTTAATTGACCATTTTCTACAAAGAAAGGTTTTTTATATAGTTACAAATGTTATGCTTAGGCTATGTATATTTACGTGGAAATGAAAAAAAGGAGAAATTAATAAAATTATTGCATGATACAATTTAAATTACAATAATGAAGGGCAAATGGCCCACGGCCCAAAGGGGGCTTTATGGGGGATCCCAACACTTGTTCATCAAAGCGATCAGAGATGAAATGGGGCCCATCATGAGAAAATTGGTTACCGTGACGTGGTAGATAGCGGTGAAGGGGGGGGGGGTTAGATTGACATAGGAAACGTGAAGTATGTATCCGTTTCCTATGTCAACCCAGGTAACAAACTGACGTCATTTGTACGTCAATATATGGTCATTTATGGTCATTGACGTCATATGACCTCGAAATGACGTCATTCTGACGTACTTAATATGACGTGTCCTTCATATGTCGTCAATATGACGTCATTTGATGGTCATTTTCATGACTAATTATGACCATTATTTATTGAGTCATCTACATCAAGGAAAATTCATAATCAAGAAGTTTGCCATCTCTGTTATATGAAAACGTTAGTAGTAACATACATTATTATGTCACTCATCATATATTATGCTTTATAATAATTTGTCCTCTAATCTGTGCGAGATGTTTGTTTTTGATGGTCTCTGAGATAATTGTTAATTATATACCTTCTGTGCAAAGTATTCTCCTTATAGCTATTAAAAATATAAGACCGAATTTCACGTCATAAAAAGCTTATAACGTTGTTATGCCGGAATGCGAATTCAAATCAGAGCGGGAGAGTGCGTAGAGAACTGTACTTGATTGGTCGGCACGGACCTTGCGCAGACATGCGAACGTCGACCGCCAGCTCCAAGCCGTTCATTTTCGCTCCGCCGTTGCGGCTGCGGCCATGATGACCATAACAACAAAATAACAATATATAGAAGGCCATCATTATCATGTTATTCGGCTATCTATGTGGTGTGGTGTGGTGGTCATACTCATTCATATTCATGTATCAAGTAGTAAAATTAGAGGATGGCAGCAAGGTCATTATTTTAGACAAGTGGTGTATGCCGAAAAAGCAGAATGTGAATTGGACGCCATTGAGGGAATACCATAGGGCTCTGAGAAATCTCTCCAGTGCATTATCCGAATGGGATAAGTTCCCAATAAAAAGAACATTATATGAAACTGGTGATTAATAATTATAGTACCTACCTATAATATTATTTTGTGGTAAAGGAACATCAATATAATCATACAAAAAAATCTTATCTTTTCTGATGATATTGATACTACCCTAATAGGTAGGTACAACAGTGTTTTTTTTTACCTACAGAAAATTTCGAAATAGCACAAAATAAACTGAAACATGTAGAAGATTTCAGTGATATGAATAATCGTAAAGATCACGTCATTTTGACGCTATTAGGATGTCGTCATTTTGACGTCATTAGGATGACGTCATTTTGACGACATGGAAATGACGTCATTCGTCTTTGACTTAGAAGGTCATATAAACGTCATTATGACGCCATTTTGGAAGTCATCCTGACGTCAGGCCTGGCGTGATAATGACGTACAAATGACGTCAGCTTGTTACCTGGGAAGCTAACCCACCCCCCCCCCCCCCTTCACTGTCAATTAAAAATATGCTGCTGATGATGGACTATTGATAGTCCGAAACATGTACAGATACTGATTATTCAGTCAATAAATTTGTGGAGATGACTTTGTGTGTCTTGTTTATGAATCTATTCACTCCACTTTGAGATACCATGGACTTTTACCATAGATTATTTATGAAGTGCATGTGTCTCACTTCATATCGAAAAACCCCTGTATCTTACGTAATCGTTGGGTAAGGAAATTTGCTGGAGCGAGAGATATACCAGAGATGCACTCTCTATGACCAAGTGGGGCCATCTTCAGTGATTTACACTGCTCGCCAACAGCCATGAAATCCCCTGATTTTCGGAAAATGATATTAGGAGTCAAAATAGGTTGAAAATCGCTTCGGATTCGGAATCAGGACGCCCAACTCACTAACTATTTATATTTCTTCTGAAAATTATTCAGTTCTTAAAAATTCATTGTTGTCGCACTTTCCATGGAAACACCCCCGTATCTAACGTAATCCTTGGGTTAGCAATTTGCTGGAACGAGAGATATATCAAGAATGTACTCTATGACAATGTGGGGTCATCTTCAGTGATATACACTGCTCGCCAACAGCCGTGGAACTACAGATATGTTCGGAAAATAATATCAAGAGGCAAGATAGGTTGAAAATCACTTCGGATTTGAAAACACGACGTCCAATTCACGAACTTTCAATATTTTGACGCATTATTATCGGTAAAAATTTTCCTCATTCTATCAACAAATTCTTTCATTTATAATTCATTTCAATGACACCCGTCATGATCTCTGATCCATTGGAGCAATACTGGTAATCTATTCGATTGTACTAGTTCAAATTGTAATTTCATCATCCCTGATGAGAACTGACTCCATGATTATCAATTTCAGAACAACCATTAAGTGAATTTTACGATTTAATAAATGCTTTCTCCTGAAATGTTTGTGCAGTGTATCATTGAAGATGATCCTACTTGGTCATTGGTCTCTTTCTCAGTCCTAAAAATTTCAGACTCCTACATTAATAATTACGTGAGATACTGGGGTGCTTTCGTGAAAATTGAGACAGAATTTATTATTCCAGAACTGAAAATTTCTAAGAAGCAGGAATATGAGTAGTTTTCTGTTCTCGAATCCGAAGTGATATCCAACCTATCTTGTCTGTTAATATGATTTTCCGGACATGTAGGTGGTTCCATGACTGCTAGAGAGCAGTGTAGATCGCTGATGGTAATTTCAATTCATCATTGACTGTATCTTTGGAATATTTCTTGCTCCTGGTTTAACAATCCCAGCTCGATAATTACATGAGATACGGGGATGTGTTCATGAAAATTGAGACAAAAATGGAATTTTCAGAACTGAAATATTCTTTAAGAAAAAATATGAGAAGCTACTGAATTGGGCGCCCTGATTCCGAATCCGAAATGATGTTCAAACTATTTCAACTCCTAATATCATTTTCCGGAAATTGGGGTTGTTCCTTGGCTGGTGGCGAGCAGTGTATATCACTGAAGATTACCTCACTTGGTCATAGAGTGCATTCTTGGTATATCTCTCGCTCCAGCAAATTTTATGATCCTTACCCTACGAATACGTAAGATACAGGGATACATTAGAAGTGAGACATACTTAATACCAATAAAACTGAATATATAATATTCCATCAAAAAAATTAACAGAATATTAGTCTCAATCTCCAAATTAAAAATAAAGTATTGAAAAGAACTACACAAATGAAGTATCTTGGTATGTGTATTGATGAAAAATTGATTTGGGACAAGCATATAAAGGTTCTGATACAAAAAATATCTCCAATCATTGGAGCTTTGCGAAGATGTCCTAAACTTGACAAAAAAGTCATAAACATAGTACTTCATTCTCAAAGCCCTGAAATTATTGTATCGCCTCCACATTTGATCCCAACAAATGACCTGTATGCGATAACAGAAAAATTTTCATTGGATGAATTATATAAAATAGGTTCTCTTGAAGTTTCATATAATATAATGAACAATAATCTGAAATCCAATTTTGTTTTGATAAGAAACTCAGAAATTCATGGTCATCACACGAGACAATTAAACTTATTTCATCTTGATTCTGCTACTTCTATAATTGTCCAAAAAATTTTTTTTCACGTTGCTCTTACTGAATTAAATAGATCACCACATAATATAAAAAATTGCAGACATATTTTAAAATTTGAAATTAAATTAAAAAAACACATGATTTCATTACGAAATGGATAAAATTGATACTTTGCCATGTACTGATTAGTCCCTGTGGCTATTTTTATGACATGATCGATTAAGCATTCTTAGATTTTTTTGATTTTTTTGTTGTTGTTGTCACCTTATATTATTTTATTATTGTTGTTTGTAATCAACTTCCTCACATACCAGAACTTTATTTCTGACTGGAAGCTAGTTTTTCAATAAACAATAAACAATAAACTGTATGATACCAAATCTGCTGTGAATATTACCTGACTCTTTTGAGAACATTCTAACAGTCAGTTGATTGATTGTTCACATCTTGTGATGTATTTTTTTTTTCATTCAGTATATACAGTGTGACCCACTTCTAATGAAAACACCCCTGTATCTTACGTAATCGTTGGGTAAGGATCCTGCAATTTGCTGGAGCGAGAGATATTCCAAAAATGCCCTCTATGACCAAGTGATATACACTGCTCGCCAACAGCCATGGAACCACCCCAATTTCCGGAAAATCATATTAGGAGTCAAAATAGGTCGAAAATCACTTCAGATTCGGAATTCGGAAAATGAAATTTTGTCGCACTTTTTACGGAAGCACCTCCGTATCTTACGTAATTGACTTCATTTTTAGACTTTCCCTTCCTCCTGCGAATTTCAGAACCCTACCTCAATAGTTACGTGATATACGGGAGTGCTTCCATGAGAAGTGAGACTAAATTAAATTTTTCTGAACTGAAAATTTTCTAGGAAATCTAGGAATACTTAGTGAATTGGGCGTCCTGATTCCGAATCCGAAGTGATTTTCAATCTATTTTGACTCCTAATATCATTTCCCGGAAATTGAGGTGGATCCATGGCTGTTGGCGAGCAGTGTATATCACTGAAGATGACTCCACTTGGTCATAAAGTGCATTTTTGGAATACCTCTCGCTCCAGCAAATTTCAGGATCCTTACCCAACGATTACGTAAGATACAGAGGGGTGTTTCCATTAGAAGTGGGTCACACTGTACAGGGTGGCCAGCTAAGACTCCAGAGTTAGATTTCTCTGTTGTCTTGAGAGATACAAAAAAAATTCATGAATCAAAATTGAAGTAATAACCGAGCTTCACATTTCAAAATTTCTTTGAAATACACAGGGTGTTCCGTAAGGTCACAGCACATCAAAGCTATGTTTTTTTCATCGGAACACCCTATATTTTATTTCGTTTTTGAATTCTCCCTGAAGATCTGATTTCAACGACGCATCATACTTAGGGTCTAGCAGTGAAAGTTACTGACATATAGGGTGTGCAAAATCGAGATTTTCCAAGTTCATGATTTTTTTCTGTCGAAACTGTTCATTATTCGTCAAAACGGTTTACATGTCCCCATCTCAACTTTTCACTCACTATCAATTGGTGTTCAATTGAAATTGATACAAGGTGGTCAAAAAATCTAAATTTATAATATGTTTCAATTTAATGTCAATTGAACACCAATTGATAGTGACGGAATATATGAATATTCGCCAAAGGTATATTTCAGATACATTTTCCATTCCTTCTCTGTTCAATTCGAAGTGAACAATATTTTGCTTTTGAATAGGTGGACTGTGATAAAGGACCCGCATCTGATAAGCAAGGATTCTCCGATCTCATTCGAGAGCTGAGCGCTGCTTTCAAGCCCAGAGGCCTTCTTCTCTCTTCCGCAGTCTCTCCAAGTAAAGCAGTCATCGACGCTGGCTATGACGTTCCGGTGTTGAGCCAGTACTTCGACTGGATCGCCGTCATGACCTACGATTTCCATGGTCACTGGGACAAGAAGACAGGCCACGTGGCACCGTTGTATTACTATCCTGGAGACACCTACGACTACTTCAATGCTGTGAGTATCTACAGTCTACTACAGTCACTATCACTACTATCAGGGCAGATATGGTATACACAAGAAACATAATGGGATGATTTATCAAGCCAGCGATGTTTCCAGGGTTCCACCTGAATAATGGTCGACGGAGTTTCATCTGACTCTGTTATCATAAATGCTGGTGTTCCACAAGGGTCAATTCTGGCACCAACACTATTTATACTCCATATCAACGATTTGTTGGAAGCAACTTCATGTCCAGTACACAGCTTCGCGGATGATAGTACCCTCCATACCGCCTTCTCTTTCAGGGCTCCAATACCAGCCAGGCAAATCATAAACGAACGAGGAAGAAATATTGAGAACATGAATATGGACTTGGCAACAATTCTCGAATGGGGATCCAATAATTTGGTAGATTTCAATGCAAACGAAACACGAGCATGCCTTTTCTCTAGAAAAGCCGATCTCACTGTGCCCAACATAAGCTTGTCAGGAGTAACCATACCTTCGAAGACATCCATTTCGATGCCTGGTATTTCTATCAGCAATAACCTTTCTTGGGAAAATCACGTGAGATCAATTGCTAAAAGTGAATCCCGAAAACTTGGTTTTCTGTTTCGGGCCAGGAGCTATTCCACTTTCAGTCAACTGCTTATGATCTATATAAGGTACAGATCTGATCTCTCCTGGAATATTGTTCCCATATTTGGAATGCAGCACCCAAACAAACCCTGAAACTGTTGGATTCTTTCCAAAGAAGGGCAATTCGTCTCGTGGGTGATGCCTCGCTCACAAACTCATTCACTTCTCTGGAACACCGTAGAAAAATTGGCGATCTGGCTCTATTTTATAGATTTTTTCATGAACGATGCTCTTCTGAAATATCAACAATTGTTCCTCCCTTGGCAGTCCCCCCGCGAGATTAACCCGTCGAGTCGAGGCTTCGCACCCCTTTCGTGGTCCCTTTGGAGACCTGCAGAACATCTCTTTCCAAAGACTCGTTCATCCAACAAACAGCGAAGCTCTGGATCACATTGTCAAGGGAGGTGTTCTCCGAGGCATATAACCCCAAAAATTTAAGAAGAACACCAATTCCTACCTTATTTTCCTTGGTTCTCACGATGTTCTCGGAACATTACAGGATATCCCTTTTCGTGGGAACCAGAACATAAGAAAAAACCCCTCTCAACCACTAACCATTGAACACAATGTAAACAACTTAAAGGGATCCTCTATGAATGACGAGTGAGGCAAAAATATTGTTCAGGCAACCCGCAGTGGTTACGGATACCTATCTATGTTGGCTAATGGAAAGCGCTCGCAATATTTGAAATAGTTTCTTGTTTTCTGCTTTCAATTAAGACTATGCGTGATTGAATATAAATATTCATTTAGGAGAAAGGTAAATGTTGCAATCAATTATTTTTCAAAAATTATTATTAATTTTTTCATTGACTTAAAAGTGAATTTTCATTTTTATTCTTACAGGATTAGGTCAAGTCAAATGAATACAAAATTGTAATTATATATGTTCATTCGAATGTCACAATATATTGTACAGGCTGAGCGAATCTTAATGTCTCCATCACTATCAGAAGATGAAGAAAAACGATAGAAAAAATTTGAGAAGAGGTTCTTGAATAGTATTGAGTACCTAAGGTCTATTTTCAATAAACTGTCATTATTTCAGAGGGAGAAGAATTGTTACTTTTATTTCCATGGTTCTTAAACATGTTGTCTTGTCTCATCAATAATGAAACAATAATATCATATTCAAAATCAGAAAATGCCTATTATTAATATATATATATAGTTGACGTTGAGAATGACATTCAAATTTCACCAGCTAATCAACTGCTGCTGACTACTGTTGTTCGGACAATCAGTTTCAACATCACTTCATTGGCATATTAATTTTATCATATGGTATATACAGTCCACGGTTTCTAGAAAGGTGCCATTATGTATAGTAACATATACCTCTTGTTTTTAGTTTTTTGTTTAATAAAGAGAGAGAACTGACATATATGTGACAGGTTTTCATACCAAGTTGTATTCCTTGAATATAAATACAAAAACATGGAAAATGTATATAGTTTTATTAAAAAACCATAAAGGAAATAGAAATTCAGTTGGGTCATCCAACATATTTTGGTCTATTCGAGCGGATGTTAGAACTAGTAGCGGTTAGAGCAGTCAAGAAGGGGTTGGATCTGGAGAAGTCAAAGGGCAGCTTCGAGGTGGTGCAGGATCGAAGTAGCAGGTCAATAACATTCACGGTTGGGCACACTGGGCGCAGAAATCAGCATCAAGGAGAGCGACGGGCGCAGTACACAGCTATACTTCAAGGGGCACATTGGGTGCATACACATAATATTCAGGTCAGAAAGTTGCATATTGGAACAGAGTGAGTACAATCTTCTGTGACGACGATATCTACGAGGCATATATCTGAGTTTTGCAGTGGTGAGGGTCATCATTTGGTTTATTTTTCTTTCAAATAAATATCAGCTATGAATGAACTCATTCGGAAAAGAGGGGTCGTCAAGGGGCAATTAACAAGGTTTGAAACTTTCATCAAAACATTTACAAACGATAAAATATCTCAAATACCAGGAAGAATTGAAAAATGTAAGGAATGTTGGAACGAATTTGACATTTTACAATCACAAATAGAGGAATTAGATCTTGAAAATGCCATAGATCAGGAACAAGAGAGAATTTCATTTCAGGAATCATATTTTGAGGTAATCGCAAAGGCAACAGAAATTTTATCAAATAACGGGTCAGTTACACAAATAAATAGTTCTGTAGGTGCTACACCTAGTGGTACTGCTTTGGTAGAAAAAAATGTGAGATTGCCCATTATGGAGATTCCCACATTTCATGGTTCTTATAAGGAATGGTTGGAATTTCATGATACTTTTCATACATTGATACATTCTAATCCCAATCTCACAGATATTCAGAGGTTTTACTATCTGAAGAATGCATTAAAGGGGGATGCAGCTGAGGTCATTCGAGCTCTGGAGGTGTCGGCGCAAAATTATGCTGAAGCTTGGAAATTGTTATCGGCCAGGTATGAAAATAAAAAGATTATAACTATAAATCATATAGAATCGTTGTACAATTTTCAACAAATGTCGAGGGAATCATATTCTCATCTGAGAACTTTTGTTGATACAATCAGGAAAGATATTCGTGCATTGAAAACATTGGGTCAGCCAGTTGACACTTGGGATACACTTCTTATTTTCATTTTGGAAACAAAATTAGATTCGGTTACCAGAAGGGAATGGAAAAAACAGGGACAATTAAATATATTTCCATCAATGTCAGAATTTATAAAATTTTTAGATGAAAGATGTCAACTGCTTGAATCAATAGATCCTAATAGATCTTTCCAGAAATATGTACAATCTAATGAGTATAAACAAAAGTCAGATAAATTTACCAAGGCATTCACTTCGTCAAACAAACCTTGTACTGTATGTCGGGAACTCCATCCATTGTATGCATGTAAAAAATTTCTGGGATTGTCAACATTTGGAAGGCGGGATGAGGTAAAACGGGCAAATGTTTGTTAGAATTGTCTAGGTCATGGACATAAGGTACAGGATTGTACGATGAGGGGCTGCAAATATTGTGGAAAGAAGCATAATAGTCTTCTGCACCACAGTAATCAAAATACTAAGGTAGAATCACGGGAAAGTCAGGTCAAGGATAAAAGGGACCAGAATCGGGATTCAACAGAAACACAGTTGAATACTGAACCACCAGGAGCATCACAAACATTTCAATGTGCTGCAGTATCTCAGGAAATTGTTCAGGAAGGTAATTATTCAATAAATCAAAACTTTTCCTCAATGCAGAATATAGATGTTTTGTTATCAACAGCTTTGGTATATTTTACAGACATATCAGGATTATTACACGAGGCAAGGGTATTATTAGATTCAGGCAGTCAATCGAATTTTATGACAAGGGAGTTTAGAAGGGAATTAGGTATTCCTCTAAATAATACGAATATACCAGTGGTAGGAATTGGGCAGTCAATTTCGAATATTAATCATTTTGTAAAGGCAACACTGCATTCAAAATTCAAACATTTTTCAGCCACTTCAACTTTCTTGATTATTGACACAATTTCAGATACCACTCCTGTAACAAAAGTAAAAGCGGACGGATTTGTTATTCCACCAAATATAAATCTAGCTGATTCAAATTTTGCGGAACCGAGTAAAATAGATGTATTGCTAGGGGCATCTATATTTTGGGAATTGATATGTGCAGGACAGATTAAATTAGGTAAGGGTCAGCCAATTCTACAAAAAACAAAACTTGGGTGGATTGTAGCAGGTAATATGAGTAATGTCAGTGGAAAACAGGTAGAACAAGTTCGACTTTGCAATTTTTCAATCAATGACAGACTTGAAAAACAAATTCAAAGGTTTTGGGAGTTAGAGGAGTATAATCAAGAGAATAAATTGTCTAGGAAAGAAGTTCTTTGTGAAAAAATATTTCAGGAAACTACCATCAGAAATATGGAGGGGCGATTTGTAGTTACATTACCAATTTCTGAAAATATCAGTGAATTAGGTAATTCATATGAGATTGCTTTCAAGAGATTGATACAAATCGAAAACAAATTGGGAAAAAACAAAGATATGAAGGATCAATATCATGAATTTATGAAAGAGTATATTGATATGGGACATATGACAAGGGTACAAAGGACTTCTAATGAAGGAATTGCGTACTATTTGCCGCATCATGGAGTTTACAGGGATGAATCAATTACAACAAAATGTAGGGTAGTCTTTGATGCGTCTGCAAAAACTGATAATGGAATTTCTTTGAATGATATATTATTAGTGGGTCCTCAATTACAGGATAGTCTTTTTTCAATTTTGGTTAGATTTCGTAAACACAATGTGGTATTTGCAGCAGATGTGGCAAAAATGTATCGTCAAATTCTTATTAAAAATGAACAAAGGGATTTACAACGAATATTGTGGCGTTTTTCAATTAATGAAGCAGTAGAGGTATATAGGTTGAATACTGTGACGTACGGGACTGCATCAGCAAGTTTCCTTGCAGTGAGATGTTTGCACCAGTTAGGGTATGATTTCAAGGATAAGTTATCGGATGCTAGTGACTGCATACTGAGCGACTTCTACATGGATGACTTATTGACAGGTGCAGAATCTGTAGAGGAAGCAAGGGTATTGAAAAGGGATATAAATCATATTTTAGAAACTGCTGGTTTCATTCTTAGGAAGTGGATATCCAATAAAAAGGAGGTATTTGCAGATGATAGTGGAAGGAATAATGACATTGCTTACTATCTAGCAGATGATAGCACTTCGAAGGCTCTAGGTTTGTTATGGAAGGCAGATATAGATATATTGGGGTACAAAATTAATATCGATAAAAATCAGACTCGGGTAACTAAGCGAACTATTCTGTCAATAATATCACAGATATTTGATCCATTAGGGTTGGTTGGGCCAGTTGTAGTTCGTGCAAAATTGATTATGCAGGCATTGTGGAGGGAGAAGTTAGGTTGGGATGAGTCTTTATCACTTGATTTGCATACAGCATGGGTACGATTCAGGGATGAAATTTGGAAGATAGGAAAAATTGAGATACCAAGACAGGTTACAGTTTCAAATTTGATGAATGTTCAGTTACATTGTTTTGCAGATGCTTCTGAAGTAGCATATGGAGCTGCAGTGTACATACGGTCTATTGATGGGCTAGGAAACTGTTTTGTTAATCTTTTATGTGGTAAATCTAGGGTTGCACCTTTGAAGGTCATATCACTTCCTAAGTTAGAATTGTGTGCCGCAGTGTTAGCAGCCAAATTGTCAAAAGATGTTATAGGTGCGTTGCGGATGAAATTAAACAAGGTTCAATTTTGGTCAGATTCGACGATAACACTAGACTGGATAAGGGGAGAGCCTAGTGATTGGAAAACTTTCGTTGCGAATAGGGTAGCTGAGATACAAGAATTAACAGGGATTGAGGAATGGTCACATGTAGAATCGCACGAAAATCCAGCTGATGTTTTATCTAGGGGAACAGAGCCTGACAATTTAGGTTCAATGGAATTATGGTGGCATGGACCACTATGGTTGTGGAAAGATGAAGAGTATTGGCCGAAAAGGAAAGAATCTCAAGGAAGCGAGATACCAGAACGAAGATCAGTACGGCAAACATTTTTTAGTTCTTCGTTTTCTTTGGATATAATCGAAAGATTTTCGAGTTTATGGAAATTACAAAGGGTTTGGGCTTATTGCTTGCGTTTTATTAGACAATGTAAAGGTCAACAAAGAACGGAAATATTGACCATGAATCTAACGGTAAAGGAGTTAGAAGATGCTTTACATAGTTTAATAAAATTCGCTCAAAGGAAATGTTTCAATTCGGACATTGATAATTTGCAATCAACAGGATTCTTATCAAAATCAAGTAAACTCATATCTTTAAATCCATTTTTGGATTCACAGGGAATTTTGAGAGTAGGAGGAAGGTTGAACAAAGCAATTATAGGTTATAATCAAAAACATCCAATGATACTGCCAAAAAATCATAAACTTACGGATTTAATAATCACATTTGAACACAGAAAAAACTTACATGCAGGACCACAAGCATTATTATATACATTGAGATTACATTTTTGGATCTTAGGTGGTCGTAGTACAGTCAGACGGGTATTGCATAAATGTATTGTTTGTTTTCGGGTGAAACCAATCAAGTTTCAGCATTTAATGGGTCAATTACCAGAGTCTCGAGTGGCTCCAAGCCGCCCGTTCACGAATTGTGGGGTTGATTATGGGGGACCTTTTCATATTAGGGTGCATAGACTCAGAGGTCAAAGATATGTCAAGGGATATATTTGTTTATTCATTTGTTTCGTCACCAAAGCAGTTCATTTAGAGTTGGCCGTTGATTTGACTACAGAATCTTTTTTGAATTGCTTCAAAAGATTTATTGCCAGGAGAGGATTGGTACAGAATATGTATTCCGATAATGGAACTGTTTTTGTAGGAGCAAACAATCAATTACAGGACCTGTATACATTTTTAAAAAACAAAGAAACCCAGGTTGCATTTTCAGATTATTTCCTGAAGAATAAAATTAGTTGGCATTTCATTCCAGCACGGGCACCACATTTTGGTGGGTTATGGGAGGCGGGAATCAAATCCGCTAAATATCATATCAAAAGGGTTTTGGGAAATGAAAAGTTTACTTATGATGAGTTTCACACTGTCATCACTCAGGTAGAGTCATGCTTGAACTCTCGTCCTCTCACACCATTATCAGAAGATCCTGAAGACTTGAACGTACTCACTCCAGGACACTTTCTGATCGGAAGTGCATTAACGTCTCTTCCTCAAGAGGACTGGCGTTCAGAAAATCAAAATAGAATCAAGAGATACAATCACTTAACTCAAATTATACAACATTTCTGGGACAAGTGGTCCAAGGATTATTTGTCTGGTCTCCAAATCAGGGGCAAATGGCATTCGAACCAGGAGGGTGCCACTATCAAACAAGGGACCATGGTCGTGATCAAAGACGACAATTTACCTCCTCTCAAGTGGGATCTAGGACGAGTCATCGAGGTTCATCCAGGCGAAGATAGTGTAGTGCGAGTTGTCACAGTGCGTACTGCTAAAGGTCTGTTCAAACGTGCTTCATCTCGTTTGTGCATACTCCCAATCGAAAATGACAATTGAAAGTAGAAACAGCTGATTATTTCTCAATTATTGTTTGGAATTAATTTGTTAGCGATAATTGCATATTGTGTCATGCATCATTGCTCAGATATTATTGTAAGGAAGTTTGTTCATGTAAATGTTGAAAGCTTGAGCTTTCAAGGGAGGCGGCATGTTCGGACAATCAGTTTCAACATCACTTCATTGGCATATTAATTTTATCATATGGTATATACAGTCCACGGTTTCTAGAAAGGTGCCATTATGTATAGTAACATATACCTCTTGTTTTTAGTTTTTTGTTTAATAAAGAGAGAGAACTGACATATATGTGACAGGTTTTCATACCAAGTTGTCTTCCTTGAATATAAATACAAAAACATGGAAAATGTATATAGTTTTATTAAAAAACCATAAAGGAAATAGAAATTCAGTTGGGTCATCCAACAACTGTTGAAAACCATAAAAAAGTGTTCCGAATTTCAGCACAATATTTCTGGACACAGATATTCAGCAGATTCAGTGGATTTACTGACAGTACTGAGCAGTTGACATCCTATGGACATCCACGAAACATTTTAAAATATATCCGATCCATCAGAACATTGTGAACTAGTAGGTATGATAATTTTGTTTTCACCTGTAGAACTACTCGATTCAGTACTGGATAGAAAATGGAGCGCCACCAAGCAAGTTGGTGATGGGCATGCCACTTTACGGCCAGTCTTTCAGCCTAGCAGATTCTGGTCGAAGGGGTCTGAACGAGCAGTCTTACGGACCAGGTGAAGCTGGAGAATTCACTAGAGCAGGAGGATTTTTGGCCTTCTATGAGGTAATCCAAAAGACATAAATAGAAGCAGAATATCTTGTTTTATCAAAAGATTAGATTTGAGAATGCAATATACAAGGAATTATTTATTTTTGTATCTAGAGCGCGAAATGCTACTTTGGTGATCGAGATCTGATTTTTTTGACGAGGTGTAGCCGAGTTAAAAAAATAGTCGAGATGACCAAAGTATTTCGCGCTCGAGTTGCAAACAAAATTTTTTCTTCAAACGCCAAAAAAGATAGTTCAAAGTAAACATATGCTCAGCTTGATATAAAAAATAGTGTTGAACTGGCTCAAAAGGCCTCCCCCTATCCTCCCTAGATACGCACGATGTTCCACGAACATAATAGGCATTTTCTTTCGTGCGCTCCAAGAGATAAAACAAAATCATTGTTGAACATTCAGAAATAAATGATTTCGTGGATGTTTGCTCGATTGAGGACCATAAAGATGAAATATAAATATCTCATATATTTTATCCAACAATGCGCGAAGTAGGTACTTCGCGCACTGTTTTACTTCGCGCATTGTTTTGTGCGAGGTATCATGGTAACGTAGGAAACTGAAAAAAGTGTCACTTCGCAATTTGTTATCAATGCGCGAAGCTTGTCATTTTTTGACGTTTGTAGAAAAAATAATTATTATAAAATTGGTGCGATGTGGTTAAAGTTTGAAATTCATCATTGGCGATTTACGAGGCTCAGCCGAGTTAAAAAAATATTCGAGATGAACAAAGTATTTTGCGCACGAGTAGCAAACAAAATTCTTTCTTCAAACGTCAAGAAATATAGTTCTGAAGTAGTAATATGCTTAGCTTAATATAAAAAATAGTAATGAACTGGCCTAAAAGACCTCTCCCTATCCTCCGTTCCACGAAGGTGCGGTCCAAGAGAAAAAAAAATTGTTGTTGAACATTCAGGAATAATGATTGCTTGGATGTTTGCTCGATTGGAAACCATAAAGTTAAAATATAAAAATCTCATATAGTTTACACATACAATTCGCGAAGTATGTATACTTCGCGCACTGTTTCGCACATGGTGTCGTGGTAATGTAGGAAACTGAAAAAAAATTTCACTTCGCAAATGGTTTTCAATGCGCGAACCTTGTCATTTTTTGACGTTTGTAGAAAAATATAAGTATTCCTTGTAAACATATCCTAACCAGAAATGGGAGACGGAAGAGAATGGACATATAGGATGTTTCAAATGAAATAACAAAGTAATGACCATTCGAAAAGTGAACATTGGCAATTCATTATAAATCACCCTGTGAGATATATAACTCGAAATATAATCGAAGTTCATATTTCCCAAATAATTCTAATTAACTTAGCAACACACCGCAAAAGATTTGCAATAATCAAATATGGTTTTGTAGGTAAGCATTGAGACCAATCATAATAGGTAAAAGTATCTGAGAAAATATAGGGTGTTACGATTCAAAAAATCCTAATTCATGTAGCCTCATATGTTCACAAAACTTCCTGTAGATTCTACAGTTCGTAGATTTCGATATGTAGACCTTAAGAGATTGATTGTACCATATTCCCAAAAAGATTTTGCCTATCTCTCATCGTACAGGAACTATACGGGTGATTCTTCAAGGTGGCTCATTACCTATTTCTTTTTTTTTATTGAAGGAATATCGAAATTTTGCGGTTGCGTATTATAGTTCAATTCACATTTTTTGACATATTTACTTGCTTTGCCATGCTTTTCCGTACTTCTGGTTCGACTGGAAATGGGCCCAATTTTCAATTTTTATATGACACATCCTATATATTTTAACTTATTTCGATCGATATTTCACAAAAAACCCGACAAGCCATCCCTTTTCCATTTGGAAAAGTCAAGTCAACTAAAAAAGTTCATATTTGCGACTCTTAAATAGGTAATTCTTAAAGCGACTCTGATGTCATAATAATCCTCAAAGTGCTATTTTTTCCATGTTACTTGATTGAGATTGAATCGATTAACACGATCCATTACATCGAAAAATAAAAATTAGAATGAAGATGACTTCATGTTTCAAATATTGACAAGTGAGGATTTGTTGCAATGTTGGATTTATAAATTAGAATGTCCCATTTAAAAATCGAAAGTTGGGGAAATTTTCAGTCTAACCAAAAGTACAGGGTGTTTGGTAATATTCTATTCAGTAGCTATCTCAGTCAATATTGGTCTTACAGAAACTTTCAAATCAGCAAAAGTGAAGTAGTTTTTATGGACATTTATAATCTATTGCTAGAAAATGCAAAAAAGCATCGTAAACCTAAAAATTTTACTTTAGATAATCAAAGAGAAAAAACTCAAAGTCGTCTCCACGAGTTTAATGGCGATGTGTGCAGGCAAATGTGCTTTTAACTTTTGAGACATGTTTCGACCATTCAAATGGTCATCATCAGTTAAAGTTCAAAATAAGGTGATGTGGAAATGATTATGACATCATGCAGACGCAAAAATTCTTTTCATTCATTGTAGAACATATTTGAATATTAATTTGAAAAAAAGTTGTATTTTTATGGAGGAAGGCAGGGCCAATCCACCCAAAACTTGGGGCTCATCGGCATCTGAATCTGAGAATCAAATTAATATTTAAAAATGTTCTACAATAAATAAAAATAATTTTTTCGTCTGCATGATGTCATAGCCATTTGAACATCGCCTTATTTTGTACTCTGACTGATGATGACCATTTGAATGGTCTCAAAAGTGAAAAGCACATTTGCCTTCACACATCGCCATCAAACTTGTGGAGACGACTTTGAGTTTTTTCTCTTTGACCCTGTATTTTATTCTCCCAATCGATAGAGTTCTTTTTTCTGATTTCAAATATGTATAGGTACTTCATCGATACTATAAATATAATATGCAGCCCCTAAATATCGTTTCTCTATAATCAATAAAAAGTTATAAGGTTGAGCCACCTCAGAAAATCACCAGGTAGAGCTTTTCCACACTATGTGGTCACCCGCTATATTTCCTGGAATGAATAAATATTATGAATATCATATCATTATTATTAATGTTATTATAACGGCATCTGATAGCACTTTTGAAACCATATGAATGACACTCGTAAGGAACATATACAGTGTGTCCCACTTAGCATGCTCACCATGGGTATCCTTTAAACGGTGAGACATACAAGGTCGGTTAAATGACACCAAATGTGGAGTTTGTCAGGACCAACTATAATGTGAAGAAATATTTCGATAAAATCTATTCGTTTTTGTTTTATACGCAAAAAACAGATTTTGATCATTTTCATGTCTCCTCCGTAACTTCTTTATTTATGAAAATATTCGAATAGGAATTTCACATTCTCATGGCAGTTTTTCGAAGTGATTTCGAAAAAAATATGAAATTTATACCAACTCTTCTAGAATTTGAGATATCAGCACCAACTTTAGTTTTTCAAATGTAGGTCATAGCCCACTATGACATAGGTAGTTACAAATAACTTTTTTTTCTCTCACAGATCATATGTCGCAGTAATAGTTTTGTGTTGATAACAACGAAGTTATCGTCATTTATACAAGAACAAAAAATTATTTGGAAGCCGCCATCTTGAATTTATAAATTTTAACGAAAAAATCATGATCTCCGACCTCAAAAACCCCCACTTACCAATTTTGAATGGAATCGGACCAAATCTTTTTTTTTAATTTCAACAAAAATTCCATAACTCCGATTAACTTGAAATTTGGCAGGTATTCATAATTTCGGTGACAATACATTATGGAATTTTTGTTGAAATTAAAAAAAATGGCTGCTCCAAGATGGCGGACCAGATTTGGTCCGATTCCACTCAAAATTGGTAAGTGGGTGTTTTCGAGGTCGGAGATCATGATTTTTTTAATAAAATTTATAAATTCAAGATGGCGGCTTCCAAATAATTTTTTGTTTTTGTGTAAATGACGATAATTCCGTTGTTATCAACACAAAACTATTACTGCGACATATCATCTGTAAGAGAAAAAAAAGTTATTTGTAACTAAGTCATAGTAAGCTATGACCTACATTTGAAAAACTAAAGTTGGTGCTGATATCTCAAATTCTAGAAGAGTTGGTATAAATTTCATATTTTTTTCGAAATCACTTCGAAAACTGCCATGAGAATGTGAAATTCCTATTTGAATATTTTCATAAATAAAGAAGTTACGGAGGAGACATGAAAATGATCAAAATCTGTTTTTTTGTGTATAAAACAAAAACGAATAGATCTTATCAAAATATTTTTTCACATTATAGTTGGCTTTGACAAACTCCACATTTGGTGTCATTTAACCGAACTCGTATCTCTTACCGTTTAAAAGATACCCATGGTGAGCATGGTAAGTGGGACACCCTGTATATTTTGATACATTCCACGATATTTTCCAGATCTGTGAAAGAGTGAAGAAAAAGGGATGGGTAGTAACAAGAGACCCTGAAGGAAGAATAGGCCCCTATGCAACTCACGGCAGCCAATGGGTTTCCTACGACGATATTTCGGAAATTCGAAGAAAGGTGATACTTTCAAACTTTTCAGATTGGCGCTCATGTAACTCATCATGATTTTGATTTCAGTCGAAACTTGTTAAACAATGGGGTCTTGGTGGAGGAATGGTTTGGGCACTGGATCTGGACGATTTCAGGAATAGATGTGGTTGTGGACGTCATCCATTATTGAAGACGATGAATGCGGAACTCAGAGGACTGAAATCGGACATAACATTACAGAATTGCACATGAAGCGATTCCAAGATGAGACAATAGAATAAGTACGAAGGCGCGCACATTGTGATGCTATTTTTATATGAATATTTTTCTTCTTTGGAATGGATTTATTTAGTCATCTGCATTTGACATTATTTACTCAACATTTCAAAGGATACAGAATATTTTGAACTTTATTTTGATAGAGCAGTGTATAAACAACACTTCATGAAATAAAAACATATACAAACCATAGCATCAAAATTTTATACATATATATATCATATTCATACTACCTGTCATGGTCAAAGCTGGTAATCTCACCCGTGACGTCACTTCCGTTTGGGTAAGTACACCTCACTCATATTATTACCTGCCTTTGGGTTTTCCTACTTCTGCATTTGTTTACAAATAACAAGATAATTATGTGAAAGATGGTAATGAGAACATTCAAATTACAAATTGATGGAGTGGAGTTTGGAAGTACAAAATATCCCTCTAATGGGTGAATTATAAGAGCTTTTTTAAACTGAATTTGATGTGGGAATCCGCTTTTGTAGTTTGATTGTTAATTCAAAAGAGAAAGTAGCAAGTTGCCTTGAACACGTTTTAAATAACATTTGGAATATAGATAATTACGTAACCATCAGTGACGCGTCGTTTTGTGTGACGATGAAATTTTGCAGTACGAGCTAATAAGCGAGATCCCGCAAAACACAGCAGTTACACAAAATGCGTTTCCTACCGTTTTACGTGCAATATTTCTCCTAATTTTGATGAAAACTTTTGCTTGAACAAAAGTAAAGACCAATTCTACACACGGTTCTACATAAGTTCTACCGATTATGTACAAAACCTAAGCTATCACTCTTAGTAGGCAAGTTGACTTCGCCCGCCACTTTGAAGTAGCCGTCAAACAATAATATATGGTCTCAAATCGGCGATGAAATTAAAGAAATAGACTCGTTTGATATTTACATTATAGTGGAAAATGGCTGATTCAAGTTCAGATTTCCCATCAAGTGATATCGAGGAAGCAGCACAAAACACACTATTCTATATTCGTCCATCCATATTTTCATATCATAACTGGTGTTGATATGGACAATTCATTACCAGTTATATAATATATATCTTACCTCATGACAATGCCTCATGCAACTGGTTACGTGAAGTATAAGACGTTTTAAAACTCCAGTTCTGAGAAGTGTGAAATTCAAAATAATATATGCGTTAGCCTTCCCTTTTTGGCGTCAGCCTAAAATTTGCATAGGTACCCGTATTAATTGTAGATAACCCTCTCCAGAAAATATAACTTGAATTACTATCATCTTTATTTTAAGATTCTACTTTTATGTCTTATTTCAATCGTATCTGGAATTGTTGATTTTTTTTAATACTACACTACCCAAAATGTCTACAACATACTTTTTAAACCTCACGCCTTTCAAATAACAAATGAAAAGTATTGTCTCACAAAAATATTGAACGTCCGGCAACATTACGTGCACCTGCTTCGAACCCTTGGTTATAAGCATGATGAAATATATATAATATTATAATATCCAATATCCGCACCTTTGTTGTAAGGGTCAAACCATAAATCATGCAGTCGGCCGCATTTGTGACGGACCGTTAACCTCTGGGAAGTTATTCTCAAAAGTTGCTGCGCAACTTAAAATGGCAAAATGTCTTCCAAAATAATTTTTTTTTGACAAAAATGTATTCCTTCATTTCGTCTCGTCTTTTCGTGTTCTATTACCCATTTCATTCATTACCCCAATTTATGAAACACCCGGTATAACAACCGATCAGAAACCTGGCAGTCTCAACCAAAATGGGATGCGTTAGCGAGAGCAGTGCAGGGTGATTATTGGTTAAGTATATATTTTACTCAAATAGATATACTCATAACAGTTTAATATTTGTCTTACAGAAACGTTCAAATGGGCTTATGTGAAGTATTTTTATGGGCATTCAAAATCTATTACTAGAAAATCTAAAAAAGCATCGTAAACCTCAAAAACGTAAATAAGATAATATTTTTTTTCTGTGACGGGAAAAAGTTTGGCATTTCATCTCTGTTGGCAGGTTATAAAATGTCACTTTTCATAAATTACTTTTTTCCCGTGGGAAAAAAGTGAGTACTTCTTTCCCGGATATATATCACATATATATACTCTGTTAATGGCTTTTGTTGTGCTATAGTTCCGAAAAATGAGTCAATAATACCGTCTCCGAGAAAGAACTGCAAGTCCTTTTATCTTCCATTCGAATTCGCGGTTTCGTATATTACTAAAAAACTACTGAATTCGCAATTTCTTAAAATCAAATCACAGAATTGAACTGACAGAAGTGACATCAGATATTTGATTACTTCAAGAGAATGATAAAGATGTCTATAAAACGCAGGTGTCCCTACTGTTAAAAACTTGAAATGTCACGTCGATAATTTTCACATTTCGAAATAATGTAATATCTTCTCAATATTGATTCGTCCTTCCTTCTGTCACAGAAAAAAATAGTGTATTATACACGGGAAAAATATTAGATTTTAGCTCACGGTTTTTTGTCTCCCTCCGCTACGCGTCGGGACACAACACAACCTGGAGCTAAAATCTACTACTTTTTTCCCTTGTATAATAAATAACTATTTAAATCGAACAATTTTTAGTTTATTTCACAATACATAGAGCCCTTCCTTCTGATTTCGAATATACATAAAATATACTTTATTGAGTTTATCTTTTGTCAGTTTTTGAAAAATTTTGATTTCTTATTGGTATAGATCTCTATATAGCAGGTGTTGAACGCCAGATGGCCAGACGACAATGCTGCGATTTCTGGCGATCTACAAATGCCTTATAGTTTTCGAAAACAGACAGAGGTTACCTCTCAATAAAGTAGCTATATATATATTTGAAATCAGGAGAAAGAGTGTGTTACATTTGAAAAATACCATGTAATGTAAAAATTTTAGGTTTACGATGCTTTTTAGCATTTTCTGGTAATAGATATTATTTTGAATGCCCATAGAAAATACTACACTTTTGCCTATATTTGAACGTTTCTGTAAGACCAATATATATTATAAAACGTACCCACCAATAATCATGCACCCTGTACATACAAGAGGTCCTAATTCAGCCCAAAGTGTTGGTGTGGTATCTGCAACCTTTGTTAATAATTCTACACGCCATCTTTAGAAACAGAGCATTGTTAATTTTGGAACGCAACAGTGAATCGTGAAATATATCCCCAGCCAAAATGCTTCGAAACAATATTCAATTCGTAAATTGAATCTTTTTACTCAAGCGTTATTGTCGGTCGAATTTCGCAACACCCTATATCCACTTTTTCTCATGTTCATATATAGGTATATACAGGGTGATTCAAAAGTAAGCGGCATCCTTTCAGGAGCGTTTTCCTTGCATGAAAATAAGGCAAAAAGTTCTCATCAATAAGGGTCCGGAAATGCTTCCTAAGGAAGCTACGCCCTTTGAATAGGACATCTCAGACGATTTTTTCTCTATAACTTCAAAATCATTCACAATGAATTTTCGAAATATGGTGTACGGCATAAACATTTAATGGTACAGAAGACTGAATTCGAAATTTCAAAATTTTCTTCAGTGGCGTCACATGCGGGAAAGGGTAAGTGTAAAATCATATACCTTCTTCTTTTGATATTCAAGTTATTGTGATTTACGCAAATCAGAAAGTTTTCAAAGTCGATTTTCTCCTAAATGGTATGTTCTATCAAAATGAACTAAGAGAACTTTTTATACGTGAATACGTGAATTTTATAATTTCCAAACAAAATCACAATAACTTTAATATCAAAAGAAGAAGGGATGTTTTTACACTTACTCTTCCCCGCATATGATGCCACTGAAGAAAATTTTGAAATTTCGAATTCAGAGTCTTATGTACCATCGAATGTTTATGCCGTACACCATATTTCGAAAATTAATTGGGTAGGATTTCGAAGTTATAGAAAAAAAAATGTCTTTGAGGTGTCATATTCAAAGGGGTGTAGCTCCCTGCTTAGGAAGCATTTTCGGACCCTTATTAATAGGAACTCTTTGCCTTATTTTCATGCAAGGAAAACGCTCCTGAAAGGATGCCGCTTACTTTTGAATCACCCTGTATACTAACTTCGGAGAAGATATATAAGGTGGCATTGAAATAAGTGCAAATATTTCAAACACTGATGAGAGAGCTCGACGTGTGTATATACTATCGAATGGCACTAATGAAAAAATTTAGGGATCAAAATAAAATGTGAGGTTAGACCCCTTTTTCAACCCAAATTTCTACACTTGTAGCAAATCTGACCTGACGTCACCTCTGTTTAAATTTCCATGCGGTACGGGTATAGGCACAATAATCACGCGGAGTGCTTGCATGGTGATTATTTTCTCGTATATATTGTTAAATTTTTGGGATGAAATCTCTAATTAATTTGAAGAATTAGAAAAAATCTGATATTATAGGAATACTCCTTAGACTGTATCATATCAATGTGCTGAATATGTGCACTTATTTCAAAAACACCTTGTATACTTATATATATTTCCGTAATTTTGTTTTATATTTGCAATCGATTTACACGAGCGCGAGTATTCACACTTCCATTTTTCCGTTTTCACAGACCAAAAATACAATAAGTAGCGCTCTCGTATCGAGAGTACATATTATAAAACAGATAAAATATTATGGAGGAATTTCCACCATGGGAGTTCTGGGACGCTACTGGGTATTTGGTAAATTTGGCTTTGGCTCTCTCCGGATGGCAGCTGGCAGCTGACCTTAGCATTCATCTTCACATGACTTTTTCTGACCAGAAAACAGAAGATGAAGAAACAAGCTGTCACTAGTCACTGTCACTAATGTCGGTGTCAGTACTGTCAGTGCTGTTAACACTGTCAACAGTAACAGTGTCAACGGTGATACTTGTCTTGATTACTGTATTTTTATTTTGTATTCTTGATTCGATTCAACAGCAAGGAACAGGAACAGTTGTAATAGACTTGGAGACTGGAATCAGTGGAATCTTGATGTTTCAATAGTTCAAAGTTCAATGTTTGGATTTGTTTGAGAAATAATGATGAGTGTATAATTTTTAATGTTGTTCCAAATTCCAAAATGGAATTCGAAATAAAGAGTCTGCACAAATTGAAAAAACTAGAGAACATTTTAACTGAACTCATTGATAAAATTGACTATGAAATAATCCAAACAGATGTGGAATGGCTGCATTTGAAGAGCATATCTGAATCCCAGAATTCATCTGTTCAGGAAGATGTACCAGCTACTCCAAGTACAAGTGATATGAAGCCAAGTAAAGAAAGTCTACGAAAAATGAAGATAGAAATCATGGATGACCTGTTGATAAATGCTTCTCAACTTGAGCTTGCTACCAGAAAAAGTACTGTATTGGATACTCTGGAAGAATTTGACAGTGATTGAGTTTTGCTGGGAAATGGAATTATAATATTTATTATCACTTTTCTCTTCATGCAGTTGCTGCTAATAAAGATTATTTTAATTTACAACACAATCTGATAACATGTATGAACCTTTTTTTAATGCAACCATCCTATAGGTACTTAAATCAATTTCTCAAGATATTTTATTAGATTGTTCATCACTCTATAGAGAAAATCTCAAAAACTTACAGTAATGAATACCTCTTCCACCTCCTGGAGTAACCATCACTTTAACAAACATTGTTTATGTGATTTTTTAATCCATATTCATTCCATAAAAATAACAAAAATTAGCATATAACATTCAGAGAACTGCACAAAAAACCACTAGTGATATAAGTTCTTGATCATTCTAGGTAAGGTTTTGAAATTTGTTGGTAGCAAAAGTATTCCTAGATAATATATTTATTATCACTATATACCTGCTTCAAACAGAAGCAATCCCCACTTTTCTAAAAGGAGGCCCTATTGTTGAAAAAGTCTACTGATGGGTATTATTTTTCTGATATAGCATTGTACCCAAAAAGAAATACAAACTATGTATATCATTTTGAAATGGGAATAACATGAATACTCAAACAATAATGGCTGGTATTGTGTTAGTATTATACAAATTAATAAGTCAATTCTACATTTTATTATGATTTAATAAAATGTGAAAACAGAAGGAAAACAATATTGAAATTCATAAAGTGTGTCAGCATTGATCATTTCTTTGAATATTAGAATATATTTCCATCCTCTCATGAATTTGAATTTGCAGCTTCAAGATGAAACAAGTCATTTTTTGAATTGACTCGGCCGTTACTTGATGGAAATCCATGATAAATGTAAAAACTTCACAGAGGATAAGATTTCCACAAAATTTATTAAACACACGACATGTTTCGCTAACACAGTAGCTTCGTCAGGTGATCATTGAGCTACTTGAAACATCATTACAAGCATGAATTAGTAGAAGAACAGGTTCTAAGTTTGCAGTATGGTCATTAGCTCATCTGGATTGGTTGCTATATGTTATATGAATTTATCTATTTGTTATGGCTTATGATATCAGGGGGGGGGGGCACGCCTGTGTAGATATATAATCATTTATATATATATACACAGGCATGCATATAAACTAAAAATATATTGATGTAATCAAGAAGTGATATATGTGATTCAGTCACTATGTATGTTTAAGAAATCCATTGTCCCTTTTTATTGTGAGATAGAGGTTAAGTTAGAATAGCGTGAGATAGACTTCGCCTCTCAACATATTATACTTGTATTGTAATATGTACATTACAAAAACAATAAAGGCAATTCATTATTATTATTATTATTATTATATACTGATACAATGAACTAAACTAACGTTGGCTTGCTTAACTTTTATATATCTTACCTTCCCAACCTGAAGGATTTTAGTTACCTGTGGACAGGTACGATGAGGGTACGATAAACCTCCATTTTCGGAAATTAGGCACAATAATTTTTTTGAGTTTGTTTGTGACTGTTATCTCAAGAATGCAAGGAATATCACTGGTGTGATGAAGCGATGAGGTGTCAGATACGTGAGATACGTAACACACAGAGAGACCATTGTCATTGTCGAAGCGCTCTCGGTCGGGATCACTTTGTTTGTTATTGTATATTAATATTTTGTTGAATATAGTTTCGGGTTTCATAAGTTATTTTATTTTGGTTTTGTGGTGGCCGTGTAGTTTACAGTTCAGGTGTGGGGTGAACATTCATAGTCGACTCTGGAATTTCCGACTGTTACGTCAACGTGTACCGTATACGAAAATGCCTAAAAAACACAAAAGTTCTACCAGTGATTCGAGTGATTCGAGTGATTCTTCTGATAGCTCTCGTGATGGTAGATACAAGGGATCATCAAATAGAAAAGCATCCAGGAAGAAGAACGATCGTGTCCCAGAAAAGAATTACAACAAATGCCTGCAGACGAAGGTGGATCAAAAAGAAAAAGATACAGTGACATTTCCACTACGAGACGACGTTCTGGAAGTCCACCAGAAATTATCGTGCATGTACCAGCAGAAGTTAATAATCATAATAGTCCACGTATTATCGATCAAGCTTCAACAAGTTCAGTAGAATCGAGAGTGGATCGCATCGAACATTTGTTAGAATTGTTAGTGCGACAAGGTACACAGCCAGAAAGTAGACGTCTTTCTGTCCGGAGTGACTGCATTCCTGAATTCAACCCGGAGAATGAAAACTCATCAGCATTGAAGTGGTTGGATAAAATTGATCAGCTGAAAAATGTAAATAACTGGGATGACATCACAACTATTTATCATAAATGCAATCAAGATTGTCGGGGATGGCGAGGACTTATGGTACCATAGCTTAACGAGCTATCCTGGTACGTGGCCCGAATGGAAAGTCTTGATCATCAAAACCTTTCCAGATCATGTCGACTACGCAATGGTGTTACGAAAAATGCTAGACAGGGTGAAACAGTCAGACGAGACAATGACCACATATTACTTCAGCAAAATGGAATTGCTGCGAACGAGCCAAATATCTGGCAGACATGCAGTGTCATGCCTCATTGACGGAATCACCGATGTTACGATTCAAAATGGTGCCCGAGCAGGTCGTTACGCAACACCTGAGGCACTGTATGAAGAATACCTTTCGATGCTTCGTGATGGTAAATCAAGTACAGCTAAGCAGACCCGAGTCGAAAATGTCTCCAAGCGACCTTCAAGAACCGATTTGAGATATTCTCTCGGTTCAAAAAGTCTCCTAGGAAATCGGAAACCGGACATCAAGGACGTACAATGTTTCAATTGCAAGATGCGCGGACACTTCCAATCGAATTGCCCTAAAAAACGTCTGGAATGCGGAAAGTGCCATTTATTAGGTCACGAGTCAGATAAATGCACTGTAGGGTCTCAGTCAGGCACCTGGAAGGGCAAAAACCGGCAAGCTGAAGGTAAGTCCACGCATGTTTTACAGCTCTCGAACATTTGTGGGAATTCTGATTCGAATACTTGCTATTTCATTGATTGTGTCATCAATGGGCCCGGGAACCTTTACGGGGTTATGTTGACTCAGGCTGTGCCGCTGTGACTATAAAAGTTTCGGATGTTAAAAGGTTGGGTTTGCAATGCGAAACTGCTATGGTTTGTTTACGTGGTTACGGAGGCGGTTCGGTTTGCGTCGATGCCAAGGTTTCAATAATTTTGGAGGTTGATTTGGCATCAGCTAAGGTCGAAGCCTTAGTTGTTCCTGATTCAGCTCAAAATGTATCCGTCATCGTGGGACAACCGTTTATAAATAACGAGAACGTAATGGTTGTCGTCCATGGAAACCAAATACGATTATTCAATCATAATCCAAACCATTTGACAACAATGAATCAATTGCCTTCCAGAAAAATCAGTCTTTTTGCTAAAGAGAGGACTGTTATTCCTCCTTTCCAGATGGGTCTCATTGCAACTTATAGTACCGAACATTTTGAGGATGTTTTTATCGACTTACAATACAGGGACTGGCCTACCAAGTTCCACATAATACCTAGGTGTGTCATTAATGTGAACCAAGGTGGTTGTTTACCTATTATCAATTCTTCAGGTGGTGAATTTTGTTACGAAAGAGGTGAAGTAATTGCCAGAGGTTATACGTGCTCTGAGGATTCTAATATTAAATCTTTTCAGTGTCTGAAAATGGAAGTTAAGAATTTCCAGCATTTCAACCTGAATGATATTGAGAAACAGCTCAGTCCGGAACTGAGTACTCTTGAACGAAACGATATTTTGAAACTCCTCAATAAATACCGGGATTGTTTCGCTACGTCACTCGATGAAGTTGGTAAGACAGATGTTACGAAAATGTCCATTACACTCAGTGATGATACACCTGTTACCTACCGCCCATACCGAATGGATTTCACGGAACGGGACAGGGTAAGGAATATAGTACAGGGTTTGCTTGATAATGATATTGTTCGTGAGTCTAACTCACCATAATGCAAGTCCTATTCAACTGGTTAAGAAAAAGAATGGAGAGGAACGAATGTGTGTTGACTACAGAGCTCTCAATAGGAAAACCATCAAGGATAAATATCCACTACCACGAATTGATGATTTATTGGACTCTCTCAAGGACAATGAGTACTTCACCAGTTTGGATTTGGCTTCAGGTTACCATCAGATTGCTCTGGAGGCAGAATCAGTTCCAAAGACAGCATTTGTTACTCCAGATGGGCAGTATGAGTATTTGAGAATGCCTTTTGGTTTGGTTAACGCCCCTGCAGTCTTCCAGAGGACCATCAATCGAATACTGGGCCCTCTACGTTTCAATACTGCCATGGCATATCTGGACGATATACTCATTCCATCGAAATCGATCCTCGAAGGCATGGAAAATTTAGAATCCGTGTTGAGGCTATTTCAAGAAGCCGGAATGACCTTGAGGTTGGGTAAGTGTCATTTCCTTCAAAAACGAATTGAGTATTTAGGACATGAAATATCCGGTGAAGGTATTCGACCAGGTGTTGACAAAATCAAAGCCGTATCGGAATTTGCTGAGCCTACAAATGTACATGATGTGAGACGTTTTCTTGGTTTGGCAAGCTATTTCAGGAAATTCATTCCAGGATTTGCTGCCATTGCAAAACCGATCTCATGCCTAACTAAGAAAAATTTCAGTTTTGTTTGGGGCAGTGAGCAAAAAGTGGCATTTAGAATGTTGAAGTCTAAACTTACGGAACGCCCTGTACTGGCAATTTATGATAGAGATGCAACGACGGAGGTTCACTGCGATGCTAGCAAAGTTGGGCTAGGTGGTATATTATTGCAAATACAAGGGGAAGGCGTTCTAAAACCAGTTCAGTATTTTAGTCGGGCCACTACGAAAGAGGAACAAAATTACCACTCGTATGAACTAGAAACCTTAGCCCTTGTCAACACTTTGAAGAAATTCAGAATTTACCTCATAGGTATCCGTTTCAAGGTAGTGACCGACTGCAACTCACTACGGCATACCTTGATGAAAAGGGATCTAGTTCCAAGAATTGCCAGGTGGTGGCTCGCCCTACAAGAATTCGATTTTGAAATTGAATATCGCGCTGGCACCAAGATGGTACATGTGGATGCTTTGAGTAGAAGCCCGCCAATAAGTAACGAGTCAACTTCAGATGTCGATGCAATGTTAGTGAGTGTTGATGAAAATGATTGGGTCCTATCAGCACAATTACAGGACAGCAAGTGCAAGCGGCTGATAGAAACCTTATCACGACAACCGTCAGAGGATGAGGACAAAGAAATTCGGAAGAATTATTGTTTGAAAGAAAAACGACTTTACCGTATAACATCTGGTGGACATAGATGGGTGATTCCGAAATCTGCTCGTAGAAGGATATTGATGTATTATCATGATGGTGCCGGGCATTTCGCAGTGGACAAGACTTTGGAAGCTGTCAGCGCCAGATATTGGTTCCCAGCCATGAGGAATTATGTAAGGAATTACATAAACTCTTGCTTGGGATGTATGTATAATAAAGTGCCATCTGGAAAGAAGCCAGGAAGGCTCAACCCAATCGAAAGAGAAAGCATTCCAATGGACACCCTTCATATCGACCATCTTGGGCCCTTTGTTACTAGTGTAAAGAAAAACGCCTATCTGATAGTTGTAGTTGATGGCTTCACAAAATATGTTTTTCTGAAAGCAGTTCCAAATACGAAAACGGGGCCTGTCACTCAGCTTCTAAACCAAATATTTGAAATGTTTGGTGTTCCGAGAAGGCTTATATGTGACAGAGGGGCAGCTTTTACGAGCAAGAAATTTGCCGATTACTGCCATGAATTGGGAATCAAACGAGTATTGTGTGCTACAGCAACACCACGGGCGAATGGACAGGCCGAGAGGATGAATCGTTCGATTCTTTCCTCTCTAATGGCATCCACTGTAGACGAGTCCCGATGGGATGAAGCTGTCAGTCAGGTGAAGTGGGGAATCAACTCGACGGTTAATTCCACCACAGGTAAAACTCCCCATGAAATATTCTTTGGATACCGACCTCGGAATGTGAACGATGCATTCCTTACATCAGAGATCTCTCAGACACGAGACGAACATCGTGACTTGGAAAATCTCAGAGATGATGTGTCACAAAAGATTAAGGAAAAACAAATATATCAAAAAGAGATATACGATAAGAAGCATGCTAATATAAAGACGTTTACAGTTGGCCAACACGTTCTTGTTCAAGCAAATAAGACCTCCAATGACGGGCGGAGTAGGAAGCTTGAACCACGTTATAAATGACCCTTTGTAGTTACGAAAGTACTTGATAACGATCGGTACGTGGTAAATGATTTGCCAGGGTCGAAACGTTCAAGGACAGCCTACACGGGCATATGTCCGTCTGAACGAATGAAACTATTTTTAACGACTGTCTCGTCAACGGAGGGCAGTTCCACCGAAGAGGAATAAATATTTCTTTTTCTTTATTCTTCTTCGGTTGTATATTATCTTCAGTGATATCGAAATAATCTCATTGTTTCAGGATCCAGGATCTAGCCGTTGCTTCACGAGGACGTGAAGTTTTGTCAGGTTAGCCGACTGTGACTGTTATCTCAAGAATGCAAGGAATATCACTGGTGTGATGAAGCGATGAGGTGTCAGATACGTGAGATACGTAACACACAGAGAGACCATTGTCATTGTCGAAGCGCTCTCGGTCGGGATCACTTGTTTGTTATTGTATATTAATATTTTGTTGAATATAGTTTCGGGTTTCATAAGTTATTTTATTTTGGTTTTGTGGTGGCCGTGTAGTTTACATGTTGATTTCTAATGATTCAAAATGATTGAGTTTCAGTCCTTTATTTTCTACGTGTAGAATTTTGAATAGTTCACCACTGCTGAAGTTAATCCGGTATACCGTAATTTAATGTAGATATTGTGCCTAATTTCCGAAAATGGAGGTTTATCGTACCTGTCCACAGGTATATAATCCTTCAGGTTATGAAGGTAAGATATATAAAAGTTAAGCTAGCCAACGTTAGTTTAGTTCATTGTACCAGTATATCACCTGACCGTTACCACCGGTCTGACTCCGCAATGGAGAATTAGGGTGGTTTGGTCATGATGACTTGATTTTTCCAAAGATTTCATCAGTATGCCTTTGGAATTCGAACAAAAACACTATAATCTGAGGACAATCTGAAACCACCAATGACTCATCGGCAATCTCTGCAAATGAATAAAGCGGGTTTCAAATAAGCACATGAATTCTTCACATGTACTACAATGAAATTGGGTGTGTCATTTTTTTTAGCACAGTAGCATCGATCATGTCGTGTGATTACAAAACGATATTTTATGAATTATCATTCATCAAATGAGACAAATTTTTTGCCTAACACGCCCAAAATAGCTGCAAAGTGTAACTGCAATGTGCAATATAACTAAGACGTCTAAGGTCGCTGCGGAATACGACTCCGCACTACGCTATGAAATTCAGTAACGAAGCAATTTTGCACATCGGTAATACTCGATTCGTACTGAAGCGACTGAAGTCGTCATTTTAGGAAGGTACTGAGTGCGGCGGAATAAGGGAATGAAGTATATTCGAAAAAATTCGTGTTTTATATTCGTGCGGAGTGATACTCCGCGTGCGACTAATGGAAGGTTAAAAGGTCCTTAGAAATGTTACTACAGGGGTAATCCATTTATAAATTCAAAACAGGAACCAGGAGTGACCATAAAGTGAAAAAGATGTATATAAACTCTTCTGTATTCTAGAAGTTATGATTTTTCCAATAGATATGTTGAAACCCATTCTATCCTTCAATCAGATATTCATATTTTAATATGAAAATTATTGCATCCAGAAGAAAGGCAGAGCCTCTGTAACATGTATATTCCTAAGTTTCAATAATTGATTAAGGAAAAGGTTTTGAAAAAATTATATTGTTTGAATAATATTTTCTCTATATTTTAATAACAGTGTGTTAACAATGTAATATACCTATAGTTTATTCAATAATTTTTTTAATTTCCATTCAAAATTCTATTCGGAAAACCTAAAAGGTGAATATTTTTTTGTAAAACAATGTTTACATACATAAATTGACTTTGATATAACACATTCTCTACTACTTATATTTCTTAAAATATCTTACAGCATGATTCGTTAATAACAAAGAAAAACATCCCAACAAATCAATAAATAAGTAATATTAAAGCACTGGCAAAAAGTACAAATTAAGTTTTATTTATGAATCGAATCCATTGGAAAAAAAACTCCACAATTAAGTATTTATCATTTTTTGTTGTTTGTTATTCAATTTTTCTCAACTTATTCCACCAAGTATTTTAATCGGTAAAAACGGTAAACGATATTGCGATCACGGAATCAATTTCTTTGTGTGGAGTTATTTCTATTATAGAGATATATTAGAAGTTTGTTGCAAAGCTACAAGCCTCTAAAAATTAATCTCTTGTGCAGAACTAGCTGTCTTTAATTTGTTGGGCAATAAAGCATCAAATTGAGAAGAAAATGTATACCAATTTTTTTTATGATTTTCATTTTGTACTTCAGCTACCCATGGATTTATACGAGGGATTGTAATATAAATAAATCAAGAAAAAATATACAATCTAGCTTTCACAAAGAAAATATATTTTTTCCAGTTTTATGATATAAATACATTTCCTCATGTTTACCCTAGAAATAAAAAATTACAATATGCTCAAAATATACAAGATTCTATACATCATCTGCATAGGCAATAGAAAGATTGGAAGAAATATACACTTAGCGATAAGTGGACGTGGGCGAGAAATATCAGCCAAAAAATATATAAACCACGCTTTAGTGCAGAGTTTATCATCCTATATACAATACACAGATTTCAAGTCTTGCACCTCAATTTATTTGTAATGCTGGATGTAAAATGAATTTGGTGTATTCCATCCCTTTGTAATAAAAACAAGTCATTATAATGTGATACAGAATTTTTCCACAAGACTGTTGAAACTGAAAAAACATAATGAAAATTGTGCAACTTAATAACAAGACCCCTTCAATTTAAGACATATGATTAATAGGTAATGTTTCTGGAGATGAATTGACTTCAAGGAATTATTTTTTCAACACTCTGACTGCCATGTCAGTCATTTTTGACCGACAGCTTGATCTCGTGCTGAGCCGATGCATTTTCATTGGTTCGAACGCGTCAGGCCACGTGAAGTTTTCAGAGTAGGGGCATCTAAGTGATCAGCATATTGCTGCTCAGAAATTGTAAAGTCAACTGGTATACAGAAGAGCATAAAAGGATGTCAGCTAAATTCAACCGACGCAGCCTGACAAGGCATCAATTTTTATTAGTTATTAATTTATCGATAAACTCACAGGGGTTGGAACATTAAAGGATAAAACACCGAGAGCGAGAAAAATTGTTTAATTTGTTACAAAAATCTCTTGAAACAATATGTACAAGAAAGGGGGCTAAAAATGAGGTGAAGACAGTGCGGACGCATTGTGAAGGCTGCCAAGAGATGCCTTCTATGTGCATTGAATGTCATGTGAAAACACATTCCAACAATAATAAGATTCACATATGTTCACGAGTTTTTTCACATTTTATACAATAAACGTTTTTGAGGCATTATTGTAGCTATGAATTTCATAGTGAGCGTTACAAATTCAGATTTAATGGATATTTAAATGCATCGTCGGTCGTTTTCGCATGACACGGCTTGAACTGAAACTTCTGCTGTCGGTTAAAAATCACTGCCAAGCACCGTTTTATATAAGTCACCGACGGTCACATATGACTGACAAAGTCTGTAATAGAGAGAAAAACAGGGTCCCGGCAGCCAGAGTGTAAAGTAAATGTTTCATTCAATTTCAATATTGTTGTCAAAATTACTTATTCAATAACATATAAACACAAATTTTATAACTAAAAAATTCAAAATGATGTGTGTTTAATATTTCTCAATGAAAAACTTATACTCACTTTGGATCATGAATAAGTACCTACATAGAAAAACTAAAAATGAATATGTTGGGGCAAGACTTTCATAGCACTTTGTATTTTGGATACCTGGCCAACTACTATTCAACATATTCGAGGCACAAAATACATTATACTATTCAGAACTAATTGTTTCCAATTCGTTCAGGAGAAAATTCTACTAGATTTCAGCATTTCGAATTCAATAATCATTGAAACAGGCGGAACAAGCCAGAAGAAACCAAAAGAATTTTTTTTTTTTGTTCAAATTGTCTCAATTTCGCGTTCCATGGATTGTTCTTGGACTTATGGTATACACAAAAACATTAAACATATAAAATAACAATGAAGAAAACTTGATCAACTCTACAACTTCAATTTTCAGTGAATTTGCAGGACATGTTCTCCAAACTCACATGAGTTCATCTTCAGCCTTTGTTATCAAAGATAGAGAGTTCTACACATAATAAAAAACACATGGATGATCATCTAACAGGATATTCTAGTGTGAATTTCGATTCTTTTCGAAATTCTTATTCATTTTTGAAAGGTAAGACTGAAGATGAAAACATCCAAGTTCGAAACATGTTCCGATAATTCAAGTTCAATCTGAGAATGAGGAGTTCTATCAGAGAAACATAATGAAGTTGTCAACAAAATTATGTTCAATTTCAGGTGGATGACTATTGAATTCAAATGGAAAAATTAATTGTACATTTTAGAGTTCCAATACCATATTTTCTTGATGAGAGAGCCTGTCTAGATTCAATAAAATGTAATTCCTAGTAGAATTCTAGACCAAAATACTCGCTTGTGTCTGAATATATCAAGAGTTTAAGACAATATCCAGATAGCAATAAACCCTCATAGATATCGCAAATTCTGAGAAAAATTCATCAACTAATCGCTTCTTCGAGAAAAATGTATTTTATTAGGTACTACATCATCACTAATTGTTTTCGTGTTATTCAAGCACGAACTTTAACCGGCGTTATTCATCATCAGTGTCTCCTTCGCTTGAATAGTCTTGAATTGCAGTTGCTCTGACGAAGGGGGCTGAAGTCATTTGACTGGAATAAAATACTGATATCATGTTGATTATTGGGAACTGAATTACCCCAGCTATATGACAGGACCTATCAAAAAAGATCTTCAACTGGCATGTCAAAAAGATTCACCTGAAAGGATGTTAACTTCACAATCATTTTTCATGCTAAATTGCTATATTTCAACTTCCTCATTGTCTTCAGATACTACTAGCAAAACGATTGCCTCAATAGGTCATGTCTGATGTAAGGATTAAGGTGATAATTTTGAAAACAACTTTCTGGTGGACGGTTGAGCAGTTGAGTGTTTAGAATGATTATCTATGACAATATTGAATATTTATTACGAAATTATTTTAACCTCAATGAGTGAGTAGCATTGTTCTGAAATTGTTGTTGTTGAATGATTATCTATGACAATATTGAATATTTATTACGAAATAATTCTAACCTCAATGAGTGAGTAGCATGTATGCATGCATTATAATTACTTTTCTTACTTTTAATGCCTCCCTTTTCATCTTACCTATTAGTTTGGATCAGGAACATTCAAAATATTTATAAAATTTTATAATTTTTGAATCCCTTTCTGAACCCCCAGACTCATCTAATTGTGATAATAGATCATGTTTCAAGAAGTTTTTCTATGAGTGGTTTGTTGGTTTGATTGGTGTTTGTGAAGAGCTTGTAGTTTGAGATTTCTTCAGATGCAAAATTCTTGAAGAATCCCATTCATTAAGAGGGGTCTTTATTGGTTTTATATCAGCCATTTCATATAGTTAATCTATTAGGAGGACCGTGGAAGGGATTGTTAGGATGACGAATTCTTGTGACTTTTCTGATTACTAATGTTTCAGCAAGTTGAAAGTTTTGTATGGAACTAGTTTTTCAGTTCATAAATATGAAATGAGTATAATCTATCAAGAATCAAGAATATTTGCTTGCGAATTCTGCTTACTATAGTCAAACTGATCTAGTTTTTTAGGTTAGGTCAGGTTTCTTGATTGTTTTACTTGTAAAATCATGATTTTATTTTTCTGGCCTTCTTTCCTAATGAGCCTTCCTTTTTAAAGTATTTAGAAAAATATTAGTATTTTTTTATAAGAACTCGTATTTCACTACATTTTGTTCTATGATGTCATTTCATTGATGTATTTTGATAATTTTATAATTTCCTATACTGGGTTTCCCCCTTTCATCATGAATCATAAATTTTTATGTTAGGTTTCGTGCAATGTAATCTAGACTTTGTCGCTGACCTACTTTCGATGTCATATGTCATACAATGATTCGGACTGATAAGATAAGTTGAGAATTCAATGACTATTATTCGTATATCAATGAACCGCACTTCTAGTTCTTATGACATGGAGATACTCAATGACATATTTCATCACTAATGAAATATGACATCGAAAATACTTGAGTGGCAAAACTACACGAAGAAAAAATTATCGGACCTCTCCATATTTCAAAACGGCTACGTTGGTAGCACCGACAGCAAACAGAAGGACACTTTCCTTTATCTCTCGATTACGATAGTAAATAGCTCAACGATAGTAAAGAGCTCAATAAGGGCTACTATTTTTTGTCACACCAGTCGGCGCTACTGGAGCTTGAGGTCAATGACAATGTCAAAATTCTCCAAATTTTGTTGAATGGCCCGAAAAGCAAGGACCTGTTTTCCTGCACAACTTTTACTACAACAGATATCAGAACTATGTGTCATGGAAGACTTCACGTCTCAGTAGTGCGATCTGGTGAACAATAAGAAATGACGGAAATAACATCACAACAGATGATAGCACTTGTTTGACAGCTGGCAAGTATCATTCTTAGGCTGCTTCAAATCATACCACAGGAGGTGGACTTACACATTGGGACTTTCTAAGGAATTGAGGAATATTTTAATTCTGGGTTACAACTTTCATTATGAATCGGAATATTTCAACCAAGTCGGTAAGATAATTTTGAAATCAACTTACGATAATCGTCTGTAATGATTCAACCACTCCTCCACCATTTGAGCAACTAGAAGTGGCCTTTTGTTCAGTAACTGTTGAGCCACTAGTATCCCTCCTTCCGTTTCACAAACGTCGAGCCACTGTCGAAGAATAGATTCTTCTCTACCCAACTAAGAAAAAAAGAACACAATATTTTTCAATTTAATTCACCTCACTCTTATATTTCCATATCCATTCATAACTTGTGAAATTTCTCCTTACAGAGCAATCAAAATTTATCAAGAAAATATTTCCCTCAGATTACATTATCTAGCTACAAAATATTTGAAATAACCAATAACATACAAAGGGAGAGATTTTGTTATTTTGTTTTACGTTATTGCAGATTGAACAGTTGAAAAAAAAGTGATAATACTTTTTGAAATGAAATTTTGATTGTTATCTCAAACACTTCATACATAATCCTGTGAACATTGTAATGGAATGAGAAAAAAATACAAATCGCCCAAGAAATACTGAAATACTGGGTAGTGGAAATTGAAAAAAAAGTGTGTGCATTATAGTAATGGAAAGGATTTATCTTCAATCTCTATTTATTGGTTAAAATTCGAAATTAAACGAAGCATCATTGGTCCATAGTTGCTTAAACGAACTTTTTCCTACAGTCATGAATATCCTGATCGGAATGTTCACCACACAACGGTAATGGTTCTACCTATTTAATTCAAATAGGCGGAATTTTGGAAATTAGTTCAAATATATTTAGTCATAGAACCTTTTTTTTTATTATTCAAATTCCACTTTCACGGGTACATCTATGCAATATTCAGAAATTAGTGAAATCATTACAATTTCAGACTATCAGAGGCAACAAGTATGTCTTCACTCTTCAAAAGGCCTTGAACATCAGCTATTGATTCCATGTACTCAAGAATAGCATGATAATGAAATTGACAACTCATCCAAAAAATAATTTGTGAATCACATTCAAAATAGTTAGACGAAAATGGTTGCACTGACCTCTGATTCCGTTAAAAAATGAATCGGAAGCAGCTTCCTATCCCTGTCCATCAGAGGAAGGAAAGTACTTCTCATGTGATCAGGATTCATGTTGCTGTGCTGGATTGGAGGTCTGGAATCGATCCTACTGTACGGTTCGATGGGCACCAATGCGGAAAAGTGGCCACGAGTGTAGCCGAGAGCGATGGGGGTGCGAACGCAGAAGCTCTGGTCCCATAACAGAGGCAAGTAAACACCTTCAGGAATAATTTGAGATACTTTACCATTTCTCATATTACAATAAAATTGTATTCCTTGTAAAGAAAATTCACCCATGGTGAAAATATAATATGGTGTGCTGCTCCAGAATCGCTTTCCAATTGCGAGTAACTAGTAGAGTAGATCTTGAACTGATCAACAGCGTTCCCATTACAAAGAGCTTGGAGCACTCTAACTGACCAATGCTACCTACACCCTTCCCCTCGAGCACCAGTTTTTTCAAAAGAGTAACAACTTCAAAAATGGCCAGGAGTATGTCGAAGCAAAAAAATGTTTGTCAGACGCGTCAGATAAATGTTTATGTCTTTGGAAATGATTATTTTTGATTTTGTTGAAAACGAAAGTATAATTATTTATAAGGTGTTAGTGAAAAACAGCGATCAAAATTAACGATCTTCTCTTCATCATTATCAAATACACAACAATGAGTGGAATGTATCTCTGTGAGATACCTATATGATCCCGAAAACGGGGTACAATATAGAATGTATTTGCATAGACCAGGAGGACTACCGTTAAGTACAACAACACATTATCTTCTATGAAATATTTGATTCGAATTCTTTTTCTTTTAATAGTAATATATCAACTTCAGCCTCATCAGAATTTTCATTATTTCATAGTGTTTCATTCTGCTGCAGCTTCGGTTTGAGATCATTAACTATGGGTTATTATCAAAAATACAAATTCAAATTACTAGCCAATCTGACGAGAAATCAAAATGTCACTGAAAATACTTGGATAAAAATTATGTTCCAATTACATCATCTTGATTCAGTTCAAGTGTAGGTTCGTACCGGTTCATTTCGGGGGTAACAAATTTGAAATCGTCTTGCGCATGACGTCATTGCGGGTCTATACTAGCACCAGAATGATCACGGCGACTCCGGCGAATTGATAACTGCTAGCAATTGTTTTACTCGCAGTGACGTATACGAAGATGTGTCGTATCACACCATATTTATAATTCCACCATGGATTTACCTAGAGTTCCTTAATGTACTTGACACTACTGCTTTGACGTTTTTGTATATTTAGAGTACGGACACTATGAGAAGCACTGGCAGTCATATATATCCACAAATAAATTGATGGAACCGCTTACACGAACGTACATGACGTCAATTCCAAAGGTGTGTCGAATTGAGAAAATTGGGAAAATGAGATGCTAGTTTGTGTTTTTTCCAACAACTGTAAAAATACTGGAAATTTTGTGAAACATTGTCACTTTGTGGAACTCTGATGTATGTACCTATTTGAGAGATGGATTATTTGTATATCGCTTCCTTCAAAGTTGAAATCCCAAGTGTGAACTTGGGCGTAGTTGAGAAGTGCAAGACCTCTACAGCTTAGTGAATTTTGAAAAACTTCTGGTGAGCCACAAGATGCTGACACTCACACACAAAATGATCTTCCGATGGCTGAATTCAAACCAACAACCCCTCTAGCAATGTGAAAGGCGATCTATTGAGTCGAGCGCTAAAGTCTGTACAGCAATATTATGATTTCCTGTTCCATATGTTCTGTAAAATCTTTATTATTCATCTTAACTGAAGTATATCATGAATCCATTATAATATTCCTTCCTATATTTCCTTCATATCAATATGTATCGTGTTATTGTATTATTGTTGCCAAATCATTTGTTCATTCATCTATACTCATTACCTACCTACCTACCACTCTTGTATAAGCGAAGAAGATCCATAAAATAAATAAAAGTATGTTAATTGGTTGTAATTTACCAATTTTTACCCCATTCTGAACTATTGTGATACAAAAATTATTCAACTGAAACACTGAACGTATAAATACTTATTTACCGGGTGTAACAGGATCATGATACACCAAATCATGTTGATGAACATAATTTCGTTTCAACAAACTTGACATTTTTCAAAGGATTCAATTTTTTTCAGCATTACACCAGTCGATATGAACATCAGACTCGATCAGAATAGTCATGGCACACTCAGATGGGAACAGATGAAATTAAAATCAATATTGAAATTTGAAATGTCACTTAAGTGGTGGATTCAGAAAATGATGCAGAATTAGAAAATGCAATGATGATCAAAAGTTATTACCACTTCCGGTGAATCCGGAAGTGGAAAATGAAACATATTCATGTCAACACATGAAATGTATCAAGTTGATGGGTCATTCCAAATTTCAATCATATATCTCTAAAACTTAAGGAGAAATAGGGGGTGTACCATGATCCTGTTACACCCGGTATTTCCCCTCAGTTTATCATCATTGCATAGTAATAGTATATGTACTTCTGTGGTATTTTTGTATATCGCCTTCAAAATTGGGAACCAGCTCCGCAGAAGTCGAAACTTGTACGGGGTTAGGAAGAACCACTTCTAGGGCATCGAGGTGCTGCCAGGATTACAACCATGAATCCCACATTTTGAAGAAAAATGCTCAGCCGATAGCTGGATTCGAACCGACAGTACCTTCGCATCGTGAACGGCTATCTAGCGAATTTCAGCGCATAGACAAACTCGGCCACGGCGACAACTGTCTATCGACCTCCATGGTTTTTCAGCCCAATCATTCCACATTTCAAGAAGAAATAATTTTTTAGTTCATCTTACCTCCTCCCACTCGAGGAAACGCTATGTACTCTCATTCAAAAATGAAAGACAAAGAAAGATATATGGATGTACTCTTCCCTGAACATGTAGAGGAAGGAAGATACGAGAAGCCTTCAACTAAGTGAAAAATATATTCTTGTCCTTGTCTGACAAAACATGATTTTCTTCAAATTCTTTTACGGTTATGTCTCACTGTCACAGCTTGTCGAGTGTCCGTTACATTAAGGAACTCTAAATTCACCTACATTGAAAATCATTGACAGTGACATTGAAATAAATACAAATGTTTCAAACCCTAATAAATCTTGACATACATGGAATATCACTAATAAAAAAAATATAGGGATCAAAATAAAATTTGGGGTGTGACCCCTTCTTCCACCCAAAGTTCTACATTGTAGAAATTCTGACGTCACCTATGTACAAATTTCCGTATGGAAGGCACAACCACTCGGAGTACTTGATTTTTGCCTACACCTCGTGTATATATAAATGAGTAATGAGGTTGACATGTATCCCCCCAGTAGTAGCACACAATCTTGGCTAAACATTTGCTCTCATTTGGCCAATATCGGCCAATATGTTGCCAAGATTCGTGCTACAAGAGATATAGATAGTTTTTCCAAACTCAATTGGAGCAGCTCCAGCAAAAAACCCTGACGATCCGTTTGAAAATCAAACGGACCGACCGCACGTAGCGGGAATTTCTTGCTACAATGCTTCAACTGATTTTGAAAAGACTATACCTGAATGTTGTGCTTATTCCAGGCACAAAGACACAATACGGGGTTGAGACATCTCGATAATGATTATTGATGAAGTTTAGGAACTGAATTTCGTTCCTAGGAATAAACAAAGATTGACAATTGACATGACCTTCTTCAACCTCATCAGTGCCATCTGCTTCAAGATTTCCAGTTCACCTACCATGAATGATCTTTCAAAACCTTTAGAAAGCAAGACGAGTTTGAAGTAACATCTATTATTTTAACCAACAATGTTATCCAGTTCAGTGTATGTCTCGGTCTCTCGATGCCTTCCACGCGAAAAATGTCCGTTGCCTGTGCTGAAAATTGCCGTTCTCGCGCAAGGTCAATCTTACACATTTCTTGTATTTAAAACTATAATGATTCTGATTTCCATACCCTCAAATCTGGCATATCCGATGGCCTCGCCCCTGAAGCTTTTGACATACTTCACCCCATAGACGATGATAGGTCGCCTGAGGATGTGTGCCAGAGCGAACACGTGAAGCTGCTCGAGACTTGTGCCGGGCTGGCTGGCAAGGGACAACAGGCTGGTCCAATCTTCCTCCCATTGTCCCTCCTCCAATGAGTATTGGAGGATCGATGCGTGACTCGATTCGTATTCTTTCCATCTTGGGTAGAAGCTACGATGGAAATTACGTAGTCGTATCATACAATGCATTTCAATGAAACCTTTTTACTGTTGATGGCATTTGAAGCCATTATGTTCAGGAAAAATACGACAACACATTGAAAAGGGAAGTCTTAATGAGTGTGGCGTTCTCCTTGCATTACTACAATAAAATTACCCCTACTTAATACTATAATAGTGACACGATAAGTAAAAATTTCGTTACTGCCTACTACAACTAAATAACTCTACGATTACTATTCCAACTTGTTGAAATTTCAAGTCAGAGCATCGCCCTCAGCAGAATTACAGGTATCCTCAAAACTTTTCAGGGTGCATTAATGTAATTAATGCCTGCCGGTATCGGTGTGTATGAAATACGCGATTAATTCAAGTCACAGCGCTCGTTAATACTAAGCCGTGCTGAACCACGCTGGCAACATTGTCCGAAAGTCCCTCGCCGGCCATAATGCACATAAACTCTGTGAATGCAACGAATTGAATTTGTTTCAGTTTTCAAAAGTGAATTTGATGTGTTATTGATATGAAATATTGTTGAATTGGAGATGAAGAACTGCAATATCTAGTAAAAATTGGACTCCATCTCAACATTCTACTTTGTGTTCTGATATTCATTTTGTTGAAACAGATATTTAGACATGAAACACTTTCTCTTCCAGATAGATCAATAATTGAAAACATTTTACTAATAGGTACCTACCTTCAGTTAGTTGAAAGTACAGTTTTTTGATTTTCTCCAAATTCAAGTTAAACCTCTGTAAAACCTGTTACCTCATTTAGATCCTGGTGCAAGACATCAGAAATGTTCACCTGTCCAATCTTCACTTGTTTCAATAAGAAGCAGTTAGGGAATATGCAGAAAAACTGAAAATTGGTGGTTGAAAAATCTATTGACATTTAGTGAAATGTTCTTTTATCAATTAGGTTCGCAAACGTAATATTGAATGAGATGCAGGTCCAAGTTTTACTAGGTGAATGGATTTTTCCTTATGATATAAAATTGAGAATGTGGTCAAAACTGAGAATATTCTGATTTTGAACTCAGATCACATTAAGAATTATTGAGAATTGGGAATTACAAAATTGGTCAACTTTTAACTAAACAACTGAATTTTGGAGACAGTACATGTAGAAATGAAAATTGGAATTGCCATCAGAGAACTGGTAATATTATTGAAATATTCTAATGTATACATTTATGGATTGTGATGACCAAGGACTCCTTTTGAAATCATTTTGATCATCGATCAAAAGACAATTCACATCTAATTGTTAACTAATTGATTGTTAATTCATGATTGTAAGTTTGATTGCATTCATATAAACCCCGCATAAGCTCATCAGGATAGGGAAAAATGGTCGATGTAGTTGACCTGTGACCTGACTCAAAATTCCTCGTAATTTTAAATTAAAGTTTAATAATTTTAAGCCAGAAATTGACGTAATGCTAGCGCGGTCAGCCTATGGCCTAGATCGCCAGTCAAGAGTAGAACATTCATTTCTCGTCAATGCGGTGTTGCCTTTCTCCCACCATGCCTTGCATTTGAGATTGATGTGTCCAAGTACAACACAACAATATTGAAAACCGTCCAAAGAACCTCTGGCCGATCGCAACCGGTGTATCTGAAAACGGCCTTCATTATATATTATATAGAAAATCGTTAAAAGTATTGTATCGTCTCCCATTTGATACACCAACCAATCAATTGTTTGAAATAACAAATACGTATTCTTTAGATGAAATATATAGAATTTAAACTCTCAAAATATCATATAATATCATAAATGAAAAATTGAAGTCGAATTTTATGTTGATACGGAATTCTGAAATTCATAATCATGAAACAAGACAATATAACTTGTTTCATCTTGACGCCGCTAGCTCCATTATCGGACAAAAAAGATTCACTCATTCAGCCTTAACTGAATTCAATAAACTACCTGACAATATAAAAAATTGCAGAAATATAGGTTCATTCAAAAATGAATTGAAAAAATTGATTATTTCTGAGCGAACTGGATAAAATTGAACATGCCATTTTTTTGTTTTACAAATATTATTCTTTGTTTGTCAATTTACAGTTGTTGATATATTTTGTATAATGATATGTTTACCTATAGGTATATAATTATGTACTTCCTTATACCAGAGCCTATTCTGTCTGGAAGTTATTTGTTCAATAAATAAATAAAATAATAAGTGTTCTCTGCTTGATACACAAGATATTGAAAACAAAAACTCCCCTTTATCTGGTCCAAAAGCTGATGGAAAACAATTGAGTTACAACTAGGAAAAGAGACCTTTTTATAAAACCCAAGTATTCCACGGCATATTTCACACGTAGCTTCTCGTATTGTGCCTGTAAATTATACAGGGTTATTGGTAATTCGATACATTACTTTGGAGATGTGATAGAGGAGGTGGTAGGGAGTGAATTTAACCCTAACATGCATGAATAGTTTTTGAGAAATTCAAGTTTTTCTGTTTATCTTTTTATTTATTCAAAACAAAGATTCGACTTTGAATTTACAATTTATCTATGATCTAAACTATTTCTATTTCTATTTGAAATGATAAAAAAATGTAAAGCAGATTTTCGGGAAACTAACTTTTAAACCACTGGAGAGAAACAGAAAAATTCAAATACCTCAAAAACTATCAACATTTGTAGAAGAGGTTTATTGCGATCATTGGACTGACAATAATCGAAATATTCCTTGTGCGTTTGTTTCCGGGATTTTTGATTATACGCTGTACTGCATTTATCATCACTTTATCTTACCTATCTACTTTTGCTTATCTACAATGGTACGACCTATTGTTAACTCTTTCTCAAGTTGAGTTTCACAATTGAAATTTGAAAATATCATATTATAATCGAATTCACGTCACATACCTATTTTATACCAAGTTACCCCATTTTGGATGGAATATAATATTATTACTGAATGTCAAAATGAATTTTATCCAGGTAGATCAACAGAAAGTGCAACAACTAATTTCATGGAATTTATTTATAGGCAGCTGGATGAAGGGCAGTATGTTGTTGCACTTTTTTTCGATCTATCTAGAGCGTGTGACGCCATTGACCTCAATATTCTACAGGAAAAACTCTATGTTTTGGGCATAAGAGGAGTATTTTTATCTTGGATAATATCATATATCCGATATAGGAAAATAATTGCTCAGATAGAACAAACTACATCTCAATTCTTTGATGTCGACCTTGGTGTCCCACAAGAATTTAGGGCCCTTGATCTTTTCACTTTTCATTCATTGATATTTAGTACTATTTCCGATGATATATCCATCGCAGAGGCAGCAAACAGAACCGTAGAACTTGAAAATAAAATAAATTCAACTGCTAACAGGTTTGTCACCTGGGGTCATAATAACAGGCAGATGATTAATGCCGATAAGACAGTACTTATTGAGTTTAATGGAAGAAAGATAGGGACATTACTTGAAGTTTTCGTTAACGATACGCGTATCACTTTTTCTGAATCTACCAAATTTTTAGGAACATTTGTCCATAATAATATCAGCTGAAAAACGCAAGTGAGCAGAGTCTGTAAAAAACTGAGCCCAAACTACTATCCAATGATAAATCCTGTTACATCCTACAACATAATTCTATGAGGAGGTAGCAGCCACATTGACAGAGTATTCATAGCTCAAAAGCGTTTTATACGACTTAGAAAGAACCGATTCATGTAGTCCCAAATTCAAGGAGTACGAAATTCTTACAACACCATGTATGTATATCTATCACTGTGTTGTATACATAAATACGTATATAAGAAAATCGGAAAATGAGTTACAATCAAACTCTCAGTCCCACAGATATCCAACAAAAACAGAACAACTTCATACGTAAAATCCACTACATTTTCCGGTATTAGGTATTTTAACTGTCTGCCTACCGAAATTAAAACAATAACTTCACTCCACCTTTTCGAGAGAAGAGTCAAGACATTACTAGCTTCTGTAAGTTTTCATTCAACCAATTAATTCTTCAACTATAAATTTCAAGATGCGTTTGATGCTTGTGACTTTGTGTTATAATGTTCCCACTTTGGTCCTTTTTGTTATTTTTTTACATATTATGTATAAAAGTGTACGTTTCATATGTATGATAAATTGTATGTATACAGGGTGTTTCCTAACTACGGTTCCTTACTGGTGTGGGTGATTTGTTAGGTCATTTTAAGAAGAAAAGTTCCAATGAACATATGTCCGGAATTGCTTCGTTTCTGAGATACAGGGCGTTGAAATTAAAGAAAGAAAAACGGTAATTATAAACTATCATGAATATCCTGGAACCGATTTGGTTGAAAATTGGTACTTTTATTTGTCAAATTTTCTGAAGTTTCAGCATATCAAGTGTCAATTATATTATTGGCGGAAATAATGAAAAACTCATTTCTCCAATGCAGGTGTTCATGATATGCAATATAGTGGCTTTAATTATTTTTTTTCGAAAACGAAGCTAGATATGAAGAATATACAAGAGACCAAAATGTTGTATTTTGAATTGCTCAACATAAAAAAAATAAGAATTTGCCAAAAAAGTCAGTGGCGTACTTTTTTTTCACAATATTGTTGGCTGTGGTGCCCACTGAGACCTAACCTAACCTAACCTAACCGTTGTTAGGAAACACCCTGTATATACCTATATATCTACTTTTATGTCATTTCCAATATCATTGTAAAGTGATCTATTTGGGATGAATAAAAAATTGTATTGTATATTGATCAGTCCGTGTATAAATGGTATTTGATGCTATCATTTGTAATTTAAAGTAATCGAAAATACTTTTCTCATCAATTGAAAATCGGCACCTTCGAAAAAAGACAGTTTTTGATTACGTTGTCCGTCGGCAACCACACTCGCCTTATGCGCTCGTGTGGTTTCCAAACAACATTATTTGTTTCTCAAAATCTAAGGGATTTGTTTTTCGATAATCATCAATACACTTGTTGTATTACATATAATGATTAAAGACGATTCATTATTATTATTATAATTATCAAGTGTACGCCATACTCACATGTGCCCGCCTTGCGACAGACTCTCGGCCAACGCGCGCCGCAGCACGTTGTCCCTGTCGAACACGCCCCACGTGGCCTGCATGGCGCTGTCCAGCAGACAGTCGCCCGCCGAGCGGTTCCACAGCGCGTGCAGCCGCGACCCGAGCCGAGCCGTCACGTCCAGCGACCAATTGACCACGGCCGGCTCGGCCTCGAGTTGCTCCTGCGCGTCCTTGTCGATCAGCTCGGCGAAGAGCTGGTCTTGCACGGGCGCCGGCAGCTCGTCCACTTCTAGCAAAATTGCGAAAGTAAGTGCCACCCCAGACTAAATAACAATAGATAGATATCGCGATTCGACAAAAGAGGATAAATGAATGAAATCGCCAATGGTGGGGATAACACTACGTATTCATTGACGAGTATTATAGTGGCGCCGGCAGGTCGTCCACTTCTAGCAAAATTGCGAAAGTAAGTGCAACCCCAGACTAAATAACAATAGATAAATATCGCGATTCGCCAAAAGAGGATAAATGAATGAAATCGCCAATGGTGGGGATAACACTACGTATTCATTGACGAGTATTATAGTGGCACCGTCAGCTCGTCCACTTCTAGCGAAATTGCGAAAGTAAGTGCCTCCGCAGACTAAATAACAATAGATAAATATCGCGATTCGCCAAGAGGATAAATGAATGAAATCGCCAATGGTGGGGATCACACTGCGGATTCATTGACGAGTATTATAGTGGCGCCGGCAGCTCGTCCATTTCCAGCAAAATTGCGAAAGTAAGTGCAACCCCAGACTAAATAACTATAGATAAATATCGCGATTCGCCAAGAGGATAAATGAATGAAATCGCCAATGGTGGGGATAACACTGCGGATTGATTGACGAGTATTATAGTGGCACCGGCAGCTCGTCCACTTCTAGCGAAATTGCGAAAGTAAGTGCCACCCCATACTAAATAAGAGGATAAATGAATGAAATCGCCAATGGTGGGGATAACCAGGGCCTACTCTATCTCACCGGGCCGGAGCATCTCTTTGGTGACGTCACACTAGTAGGGACAAAATCGAGGTGCTAGAAATTGCGTTTCCCAATTCATTGATATACCACGGGAAAACGGTAACAGTTATCAAAAAATGTCAAGAGATCAAATATGTACAGACTAGACTTTTTCAAGAGATGAATCAATATTCACTGATTTGCGATTAAAAGTTCAAGAAATATAGCATATCAAAATGAATTGACTACATTCAGAATTATCGTTTTTTAAACAGCTGCTAGAATTTCAATATTCAATTCACAGAATTCAACCATGCGAAGGCTTCTCATGGTATCTAGATTGGCTGTATTTTCTTCAAAATTCCCAAGAGTCAATGACAAACCGATATTTCAATTCGAGTAAAATGGCGATTCAGATGACTATTACTAGTTCAAAAAGTTTTGACGGCTCTCATGCTAAACCTATTAGTTGTGGATATATGCTGTCACTGACTTTTTTGTAGTAAATTTCATTACCTGCAAATCGATATAATACACTTTTACTGTATCTCAGAGGATTTAAGCAGCGTTTATGTCTAAAGATAATCTGGACACACTTTGATGACGTTAGCCGAGTAGAAGTTATTACACAAAAACCCTGACAGCGAATTAATTATTTTCAGTTATGGAGTATATATTTTAGAAATAATCTCATATTAATGAAGATGAATTGATTTGGAAACATTTTCAAAATATGAAAATTAAAAAGAACAAAAAATTAATAGTTCTCATACACACAATACTGAACGAAAGCCATTCTGAAAATTTTCAACATAATAAAACAGATAAATAGCCAGATATTACGAAATAACATGTACTTATAACAAAATATATAATTATATCACAAACTAACAACATGGGCTCAAAGCTTCTGATTCTGATGATTCTTCTTTTCTTATTATTTGACTGAATCCTGCTATATTTCCTATGTAATACCTAATTATTCAACACAATATTCAATATAGGTAGTTTTCAAAATATCTAAAGACCCAAAACTGGAACATGAGTAATAAAACGTGCGTTGTCCTTTACCTATAGGGAATTACCGCGAAATCGTTAATACGGGGAAATTTCTAATTTATTTCGGACTCATTGTAGGTAGCTCAATAATTTTTTCACCATTCAATTGATGCACTATCCTAGTTTGACATACCCAGTCAGTTTCATTTTAAATCGATTCCAAATTGGCAAAAAATGCTATTCCATAGTACAACGTCCTGATTTTTATTAAAATTGAATTTCTTTACAACGTCATAAATCGATACTGGTTCATCCTAATGAATTTATTTTGTTACCGAAAGTTGGTTAGTTCATCAGGGGTCAATTTAGAACAATTTAGTCGGGAGCCCCACGCGTGTTCACCGTCTAAAGTGTGATTGAATTGATCTGACTCCAAAAGATCTTATGTTGATAAGTCGGCTGTACTGGAACCACACCGTTTTACACTTATCTTGATTATACCTATTGAATTATTCAAATAACGAACGAAGAATCGTCTGTTAGTTGTAGATGAAACTTTATTGATTAGATGTTTTTTTTTACTTCATCAAAATTGACATACCTTTCACAACAAATCAACACAGGGTATTCAAAATAATAAAAATACATCAACGTATACAAACTATCCTGAACAAAGATTCCACTCCCAGATTCTTCAAATGTGCTTCTAATTTTTGAAGTAATGAGCTATAACCTTTTAATTACGAACGCACAGATATGAAATGACGTGAAATATCAACCTACTAGTGTGACGTCAGCATCAAGGTAGAGGGGATAGACTATGGCCCGGTGAGATAGAGTAGTGCCTGGGATAACATTACGGAATCATTGCCGAGTATTATAGTAGAAGTACAAACTGTACGTAGACCTCCACGTGGACGTTAACGTATGGAAAGTAACGTTTACGGATTATCCTTGAATTGAATTCATCAGTCATCGAAACGTGAAAATGAATTTCTGTTTTCGGTTTGTATTGGTCTTTTCTGGTTGTTTGGATCTGAATATCAATTCGTGTTAAAATAAGTGGAACTTTTTGGGAATCCAGGCTTCAATAATCTTGTCTCAATGGCATATTTTGGTTAACGTTCATTGATATACAAGGTGTAAGTGCAAAATAACGTACACCCGTAAGCCCACTACCAACGCAAACGTGGAAAAACGAGAAATGCGCATGCGTAACTGTCAATTCCTACGTTTACGTGGACGTGCATGTCAAATCCCCTTTTTTGTCAAACATTCCACCACACATTCGATGTTCTGAGACCGAATGGCCAGTGGCACCAGTATGATATGAAATTCCATAGAATACTCAATAAAACGGCGATTTTGTCCCACTGGTGACAATAGCAATGACAAATAAAAACAAAACTAATATCTCCACGTTAAAACTCATCAAAAGTTGCCATGGAAAAGTATTTTCAGTTTCTATAATATGTATACAAATTTGAAATTTTTCGAAGACCGTTGATATGACCCTCCGAATGCGCGCCTTTTTTTCCATTTAACCGAACTCGTATCTCCTTCTGTTTCCGAGATCCCCATGCTGTGCAACCGTATCTTCGTCACACTGTATAATCCTAACATTATATTCTATAACTGCTTGACTTAGTCTTATCGGTTAGGGTGCACTACGTTCATGTTACATATACATTCAATAGAATATTGATAGTTCATTAAATAAAACACTATAAGATATTTTCAGTGGATGAGTCACATACCTGCAGGCAATGTAAATGTAGGGAATTCTGTAACGAAATTACAAGGAAAATTGCCTTTTCTCAGGCGAATAGTAGATGCAAAATGTCTTCTAATATCTGCTGCTATGTCGGGGGCCACATAACTTGGGACACGTTTAACTCCTGAACCAGATCCCTCTATCTGTGACAAGAGGACAGCCAATAAATCTTCTCTCTGGAATCTGCATCAGAAGGGAAAACTAACTTAATGCGTTATATATTTCCAACCTTGAAATTTTGATTTTTCCCAGTTGTTTACAATAATGTATCATTATACCTGCATTTTCCATTTTTTCGTATGGAGAAATTCCAATTCAAATAGGTTATTCAATAGATGACAAAAATTAGAAGAAATATTTGTCCAAACAGCTATCTTACAATGTTGCCGAAATTGTTGATATAATATCTGGATATTTGTAACTCGATTCTTTACCACAGAAATTTATTACTAACTACACCTTTTCCAGTTGTATTCCACAAAGCCTTAATTGTATTTCAAGATAGTTACTTCAGAAAGCGCCAATTGTATTTTAGAAGTCAATTCTATTTGAGGAAGCGTCAATTGTATTTCAGAATAGTCACTTGCATTTCAGAAAGCATCAATTGTATTTCAGAATAGTCAATTCAATTTCAAAAAGCGTCAATTGTATTTTAGAATAGTCAATTCTATTTCAGAAAGTGTCATTTGTATTTCAGAATAGTCAATAAACCTTTTTCAGTTGTATATCAGAAAGCATCAATTGTGTTCCATAATATTCAATTCAATTCATAAATCTGGAAATCCCAGAGACTCGCAGAGAGATAACCAATCATAGGCCTGTCGCAATACTTACAGCTCTCTCAAGTGTTTGAAAAAGTATTTCATGATAGGCTCTATAGACATGTACAGTCGTCTTCAAAGATCATGCCGCATAAGGACGGTGTCAGCTCCCTTGATCACCGCTGCAATAAGAGCGCTCATACCGTCCAACCGCGACATGTTTGTTGAAGACGACTGTACAGCAGCTTATTGCACCAGAGCAACATGGGTTTGTTAAGCAACAATCAACTGTCACTAAAGATCATTAATCTTTAGTTAAGATGTAGAATCTGCTATCGACCAGTGCAAGCAGGTAGATGTCATTTATACAGACTTAGTTAAGGCTTTCGATAAAGTCAACAACAAGGCATTACTCAATAAACTTAAGAAGTTCTCAATCAATGAAAATTTTAAATCATTTTTGGAATCATATCTGTATAACAGAACTCAATTTGTTCAATTCAATTAACATCGATCGGATAACTTTATCGCATTATCAGGAGTACCCCAGGGATCAATTTTGGGTCCATTAATTTTCATTATTTTTGTGAATGACATTGGAGATTTTATAAAAACATCTAAGTTTTTATTGTATGCTGATGATTTGAGGCTATATAAAACAATCAATGACGAAAATGACAAAATTTCACTACAACAAGACCTTGACAGACTCATCTCGTTCTGCAAGTTACATGACCTTCTACTGAATGAAAATAAATGCAAAACTCTATCATTTACTCGTAAAACTAATCCCATTGATACAGAGTACTGGGTGAATAAAACTAGACTAGAAAAGGTACAAGATTTCAGAGATATGGGGGCAGTTTTTGAAAAAAAAAATTAGTTTCACCTCTCATATCAAGAATATTGTGACACAGTGTTACAGAAAGTTGAGTTTTGTGCTCAGAAATTGATATCAGTTCAACTGGAAAACCGGAATACTTCTATATAATGGTTTTGTACGACCTAAACTAGAATATGCCTCAGTTATATGGAATCCCCACACCATTGTATACTCCGACATGATAGAAAAAGTACAAAGGAAATTCCTAAGAAACCTTTACTACAGGAAACATAAAGAATCTGCTTTTATGATCTCACACAGAACTCAACTATTGGAATTTGAGCAAAGAACACTAAGAGTCCCGAAGAGTTATCAGTGCTGTTTGTTTCAGACATAATCAGTGATAAATTGAATGTACCTGATCTATTAAGTCATATAAACATTCTTGTACCCGAAGTGAAACTACGGAGGAGAAATAATATTATTTTCTACATTGATGTTGAATCTTGCTTTGGAAATTGCCAAAGAGATGTAAATGAATATAACTGTGATATAGATATTTTTACATTTAGTAGTAGTAAAATTAAAGGCTGTTCTCCATCTCCTTAATATTCTCAAAAATCTATAGTTATAGGCTAGTACATATATTAATATTTTTATAAAAGCTGTTGTGAACGTCTTGATTTTATATCTTTACTCAACTGTTGTCCCCAAAACATGAGTGTATTGTAATATTTCTGTGTACTGTATTTTTTCATTCCATTTTTTGTGTAGTGTATTTTACTTTATGATAGGAACTGCCTGTCTGTAATTGAGCCATGGCCTGTTGATTTGGCAGTATAAATAAAGTGAATTGAATTTCAGAAAGCGACAATAATTTCATTTCAGTATAGTGGGTTCCTGCGCATTGAGCAGACGCGTTTTCAGGCGAGCAATTCGACCGAAATTTTCGGGTTGCTGGGATGACATATAGTTATGTCAGTGCTCCGAACAGGAAATCCAGATAAAGAAAAAATCATGATCACGAAATTCGTCGCTGAACTCTGGCTCGAAGAATAATGCGCTGTTGCCAAACATACCTATTTCATGTAAATTAAGAAGATTGTCAGTTCACGATATTCCGTGCTGACTTTCTGAATAATGACCACTTTAAACATAAACAACAGTGTTATATTGGTGCTTCTGCCTAATCCGCAGTAACCCCCAAACGGTCGTTCATGACAGCGGGTCATGTGCCTTCATGTTCGGAAACATTAGTAAGAGTAAGATATATTATAGGCCCTAAATGCGCATGATTCATGTATGTCAGTTCGATCTCGTGAGTGGCATAAGTTCATTCTTATGGCATTAGCGATCTAGATAGTAGTGAAAAACTCATCATAGCTATATCAAATCCATAGGTATCCATTTTCTTCATCATAAATAACTTACTACCCCAAGAATTATTCACTGACATATTTTGAAAATGTTAATGATTTGAACCGATTCAATGTTGATTCTAGATATTAAAAATATACAGGGTGAGTCAAAAATGTGTACCGAGTTCTCTGGAGGTGATTGTGCATTGAAAAATAAGTAAATGTGATGAATAAACAAATATCCCAAAATTATTATTAAGGGAGATATATCCTTCCAAAATTGATAAAATTGAAATAATTTTTCCGCATAAATTCTAAATGGTATTAGCCATCAGATTAAAATTTCTTGCATGAATGTCTGTTGATAAAATACATTTATCTGATACACTTTCACATTTCTGATATTGCTATAAAGGGTGTTTGAGGGTGAGTCATGATTTATTCAATACAAGTTTTTTCCTCATATTCTTTTTGGTGACTATTCCGCTCTTATTCTCGAGAACCAATCGGAATCGACCATTTTGACGGTTTCTACTGTATTACAGTGATATTTTTTGTTTACTAAATTTTAGCGGACTTGCACTACCAATACAGAAGCCGAATTCACCCACAAGGGACCAACCAACCACGTTTTTCAGCGATTTTTGACATTTCAAACGTCAATTATGTTGGAAGCCAGAATGATGGATGCAGTGTGCGCAACTTTCGCGAGGCGTTCGTTTATTGTCTCATTAAAACATTCATAGGAATACAACTCGTGATGCTATTTTTCCTGGAAATATTCATCGATTGACATACTCCAGCTTGCTGCTTTAATTTCGCAAATTCTCAAAATTATTAGGCAACAAGCTGTCGTAACGATCGCCGAATATTTCCGGTAAAACAGTGTCACTTGTGGTTTTACATATGAAAAAAATAGAATCCTTTGATAGAGCGAAAAAAAATACATGAAAACGGTACCATTATCAAAATACAAAAATTGGAACAATTTTCGAGATATTTGAGTTTTTGTAGTCACAAGATTTCAAATACCTCGATCAGTAATTTTAAGAGAATTTCTCATATTTTCGTGGTTTCTAAAACGGCTCATCTTGCTAATTCACGCGTGAACCATACCCATCAATCAAACTTGACACGACAGAAATTGGAGTGACATCAGGCGCAAATAGCTACTAGATCAAAGGAGCAGGCAGTTTATCGGCGATAAAAAAGGTGCATCCTTTTTTATCGATGTCAAAATGACTCACGTCGTCATCTAATAGCGTTTTCCATGCAGGAGTTGATTTATCACCAAAAAAAGTACGAGAAGAAAAGTTGTTTTAAAAAAATCATGAACAACCCTCTAAAAACATCCTTCATAATATTATTAAAAATGTAGAAGTGTATCAGAAAAATGTATTTTAGCAACAAACATTCATGCAAGGAATTTCAATCTGGTTGCTTTTACCGTTTAGAAGTTATGCGGGAAAATTATTTCAATTTTATCAACTTTGGAGAGATATATCTATGTATTTTAGCAACAAACATTCATGCAAGGAATTTCAATCTGGTGGCTTTTACCGTTTAGAAGTTATGCGGGAAAATTATTTCAATTGTATCAACTTTGGAGAGATATATCTCCCTTAATTCCTTAATCTTTTCAATGTACTATCACCTCCAGAAAACTCGGTCCACATTTTTGACTCACCCTGAACATATAACTATTCATAAACTTATTTAATGGGACTTAGTCCAAAAAAAACCTCGATTACCATAGACACATACCTTATTGCCAAGTGAACTAGCGTATGACCAACATCGAAAGCAGATGTTCTATTCAGTATAGCCACTTCAGAAGCTGTGAGCGTTCGTGCTGGGTCTCCCCCAGAAGATAGGTAGGCCTCGACGGGATTCGGATCACCGTCTATCACCCCAATGCAGGCATTCAACCATCCCCAATCGGCGTTTCGACGAAGATGTCGTAAATTACGATCACTTTGATCGTTTGGGCTTTGGCTGAAATCTAGGCAATTGGGATAATCAGCTACGAAATAGTCACAATGCTCAAAGTGGAACTAAAGGTTGAATGAATACAAAAAGTTCAGTCATTTCCTCAAATGTTCCTGGTGATCGTGAATTCATCAAAAACTACAGAGGAATTTGTTTACAGTCTACTTTACCAAAATTATTAGACAAACTGGTTACTGCTAAATTAACATGGTCTTGCAAAAGTATTCTAATTCCTCAGCAGCATGGTTTTTGGTCGGGAAGATCCACGGTAACCAATCTGCTGACCTACCAGGGTTTCCTGTGGATGCCTTGGAGTGGGGCGAACAAGGCATTTAACAGAGTCGACCACAAAATGTTATTAGAGAAACTTCGTTCTTTTGGTTTTGCGGATAATATCGTGAAATGGCTACGTAGTTTCCTCCGTGGCCGCTCTCAAAGAGTTAAAATCAATAACTATATATCTAACGATATTCTGATCACATCAGGTGTCCCTCAGGGCTCTCACTGTTGACCCTTACTATTCCATCTTTTTATATATGTCATTTCCGATGTATTCAAAATTGCAAGCTTCTTAGTTTTTGCTGATGACTTAAAAATGTTTTGCATCATTAGAGATGTCCTAGACAGTCAAATTCTTCAAAACGACCTTGACAACTTTTATCTGTGGTGCGTCCGTAACAATGTCGACCTAAATACCTATAAATGTCTCACAATATCGTTTTACCGTTCTCCGCCGTTTACCGCCTTATATAATTACAATATTAACAATATATTCTTGAAAAAAGTAACCGAGATTAAAGATCTTGGAATCATCTTTGATCAACATATCAGCATCCGCCAATAGAATGGTAGGTTTTCTATCGTGTAATAGAAAAACATGTTCATGCAACACATCGTATATTTTGTACTGCTCCCTTGTACGTTCCTTATTGGACTATGGCTGTATGATTTGGTCACCATACTATGCATGTGATATCACACTAATTGAACAAGCCCAAGTAAGATTCGCCAAACACATATCCTACAAAATGGTAACTCACCATCATTTCAACTACTTGGATACTCTTGATAGTCTTGATGCCCTCAACCTACCTAATTTATCTGTCCGTCGATTCAGGCTAGGTAGTTATACTATGTTCAAGATTATCTCAGGTGAAATTGATTGCTATGCACTTCTCAATAGGATTAACTTCAATGTTCCCTCATATATTACTTCTTCAGCCGGTTTTCCCGCGTAATTTCAATGCATTTAACATTGACCCGTTCGTTCAGTCTTTAGCCATATTTAAAAATATAATTTTTAAAATTCATCCTAGGTTAATCAGTCACCATTAATTTAGTTGATACTTTTTTCCCTTTTCCCTTTTGTTTTCATTCTCTTTGGGCAAAATGTAATTTTTCAACCTAATGGCTGTAAATAGGAAATAGTTTCACAACAAGATGTAGTGTTTACAAAAAGTTAAATTTGTTCCCGAAATCTATGCATCGATACGTATACACGAACACTTATGCAAGTGTCTTTCCCTAATGCCGATTGATTTCGATCAGGATGAACAGAAGATTATGTAGAAACTCCTATCAAATCTCATCGACTGTTTTTCGGTCAATGTTCATGACCTACGGCCTACTTGACAGAAGGATTCTTTTCGATATCGCGGAATATATGTCGCATTTTACCCTTTAGATGGCGAAATCTCAACCAAAATTCAAGGTTGGTAGAACTGATGATAATTAAAATTCCCCAAAATTACAGTTTCGTACTTTCAAATTTGATTTCATTTTATTTGAGGTTATGTTATGAATGTTATATTATTATTTCTGGTGCAAGTGGTGTGTAAGCGCCGTTTTGTTTTGTGTCATCAAATAAATCTGTAAAGGGTCGCCCTCTTGCGGACAACTGAGAACTAATATGCGATTATTGCGGAATCTGCGGTCAAGCGTTTTGAGAGAAACAAACCACTTGATTACTCCATATTCTATCCACCTTGATTTCGATTTAGCCGGGTCAACGCTACGACACGTACATACCGGTTTCAAGCTTTTTTGGCTCTCATCAGTGCAGAGTAGTCTCCAGCCAGCAGTCTGGAGACTGCCGGCTAAGCGTAACCTGGCCCAACAAATTCCAATCGGCAATATTTATGGTCTCAGAGGAATCTCCTAAGAGCCCAGGTGTGCCATACGGGTTCAACGCCATCTAGACCATATAGAAGGAAAGAAACACTCCACAAAACTGAAATACCCAAAAGTGGGAGTGGCTGATTGCCCGACTGGCGTAATTTCAACTACGAAATAGCCACAATGCTTTGTATGTTGAATGAAAGGTTGAATAAATACAAACATCGAAATCCATCGGCATTAGGGAAAGAAACACTTGCATTAGTAATATTAGTATTCGTTTATACGTATTGATGCATAGATTGTGGGAGGATGTAATTCAATGTTTTGCGTGGCATTAGCCAGGAAAGTAGTTGTTTTCCTCCCGTCATGTACCATTGTTGTTCATTTTATGAACATTGTGGAAATGACTTTGAGCTTCCTGTATTTATTTAATTGGGAGAATGTTGTGACTTTCTTAGTATTTCTCTTCAGATAAAATTATTTTTCTACATTCATGCAAAAAGCAGAACTTTATTGAACTATATTTAGTGGAAAAAGAAGTTCTTTATTGCACTTAGTGCAATAAAGTTTTTATTGCACTCATCTGTCATTCTACTTCAACGTGTTGTCATCATGACAAACATTTTTTATATTGCAACTGTGGTTATAGAAACGTCAGTCAAAAATTAATTCTGACAATTAACAGAATTGTACCTAGTGCCGCACCTCAATAAATCATTTTTTGCTTTTTGCATGAACGTAGAAAAAATGTTGTATGTTACTCGTGCAAAAATTGTTTATTGCACTCGACGTGTTGTCCAACTCGGCCTCACGGCCTCGTCGGACAATTTCACGTCGAGTGCAATAAACATTCACTTTTTGCACTTGTTGCATAAATAACTATTGAGTGATCATTCAACACTGCTACATCATTGTTTCTTGATAGTAGGTTTCTCGGTTTTCACTGATTTAATGTGCGATAGTGTGATTTATCCAATTCAACAGCTACAACCATAATTTACATAAATGTAGATACAAAGGCTTTTGACACAGTTGATCATACAACATTTTTAGAAAACTTGGAATCAATGGGACTTAGAGGCTCTGTGAGAAATGTATTGAATTTATATCTTGAAAATTGGACAATCAATACGATATCCACCAACTGGGTGTCAAGTAAACTATTAATTAATGAGGGTGTTCCACAAGGCACTGTTTCAGGACTCAAATTGGTCTAGCGAGTAGATATAACATGTATCAGATAATACAGTACTTTTATATGAAACCAAGGATCCTTCAGATTTAGAGAATATGATAAATGAAGACTTGAAAATATTTGAAAAATGGCTCCACAATAACATTTTGTGGATAATACTTATAAAACAGAATATACAGTGTGACCCACTTCTAATGGAAACACCCCTGTATCCCACGTAATCGTTGGGTAAGGATCCTGAAATTTGCTGGAGCGAGAGAAATACCAAAAGTGCACTCTATGACCAAGTGGGGTCATCTTCAGTGATATACACTGCTGGCCAAGAGTCATGGAACCACCCCAATTTCCGGAAAATGATATTAGGAGCCAAAATAGGTTGAAAATCACTTCGGATTCGGTATCAGGACGCCCAACTCTTTAACTATTGATAGTTTTTCTAGCAGATTTTCAGTTCAGAAAAATTAAATTTCGTCTCACTTCTCATGGAAGCGCCCCCGTATCTCACGTAATTATTGAGTTAGGGTTCTGAAATTTGTAGGAGGTAGGGAAAGTCCAAAGATAAAGTCAATTACGTAAGATACGGGGGTGCTTCCGTAAAAAGTGTGACATATTTAATTTTTCAGAACTGAATATTTTCCAAGAAAAATAGGAATAGTTAGTGAATTGGGCGTCCTGATTCCGAATCTGAAGTGATTTTTGACCTATTTTGACTCCTAATATCATTTTCAGGAAATAGGGTTAGATCCTTCGCTGTTAGCAAGCAGTGTATATCACTGACGATTACCCCACTTGGTCATATAGTGCATTTTTGGTATATCTCTCGCTCCAGCAAATTTCAGGATCCTTACTCAACGATTACGTAAGATACAGGGGTGTTTCCATTAGAAGTGGGTCACACTGTATGATTTTTCAAAAAAATAAAACGAAAAAATTAACTCAATCTCAAAATGAAAAATAAACTCTTGAAACAAACTGATCAGATAGAATATCTTGGTATTTGATGGTATTTGGTTTGATGACAGTTTGAAGTGGGACAAAAATATTGATGTTTGACAAAGAAAATATCTCCAATTATAGGTGCATTGAGAAGATGTCCCAAACTTAACATTAAAATTTCAAACATGAGTCTCTACTCTCATGTACTGAGTCGTATCAACTATTGAATAATCTTATTCACCATGAGGTTGAAAATGTGATTATTAATAAATTTTATAAAAGTTTTAACATGTTATTGTGTGTATAATGTCAACTAATATTTCACCGATTGCACTGTGCTAATTCATTGATATGTTACCAAAATACAAAAGCAAATTATACATGAACATCATGTCAGCCATCCTCCAAAGATGTAAGTACATAATTTCCACAAATCTGAATGCATGATACTCACGAATAATCTTAGAGAGTACTTACAGTACAGTATTTAATGAAAAGTGACATTTAATAAAGAGATGAAATGCCAAACTTGTTTCCCGTCACAAAAAAAATAATAGTATATTATGTAACAAGTGTTATAAACGTCCTTTTAGTAACGAGTAGTTTAAGCACGAGCGGAGCAGAGCGGAGCGAGTGTTTAATAAACGAGTGTCTAGAAGAGTTTATAAACGCGTTACATACTATGATTTTTCTACGAATTCCGAAAATTATATTAACATACCTACAATTCCTGCTCACCTACAAAATAATTCGAAAGGAATGGGAATTGAGAACATAATACATGCAACTGCATGCAACCAGCGAGACACGTATAAGTGATATTGGTTTTAGATGTGTCCAGTCCATTGCTTACTAACCTTTGTTTCATGTTTATTGTCATGCTTAGCGAAGAATAAATAAATTGTTCTCAAAGATGGATGCTTAATTTTTACACTTCTTGGAGATATGCAAGTACCAGAACATTCTCTTCGATTTCACTTTCGTCTACATTTCGCATAAATTTTTAATGAAGAATTCTGATACAAACGAATATTGTTTGAATAGTTCTGATACAAAATGTGGAAATAACAGTTGACAGTTAATACAATTGACAGGCCAGACATGTCTCAAATTACTGAAGCTGTGTTTAATGAACTTCGTTGCCATGGTAATGTGTTTAAGAAATCGTGTTGCCATGGTAACGTGTTTAATATTTTGAATAAATCACAGATCGACAATCCGTGATTAATCGATCATTTAGCGTGGTACATATCCGTACGCTAAATGCCATTTTAGTTATGTGAGTAGAAAAATATATAAATGAGAGCTGGGATAAATTCTTTCTCTTATTTACTTTTCTGAGTGAACAATGCATGCCATATAAAATGGTCAAATTAACTCGTTTATGTGATATCTCCTTTATCACAGTGATATTTCTTGTATACCAACATTAATTATCGGACTTGCTGTACCAGCTATAATATTTTTGAAATTCACAGCGCTGGCCAGAGCAGTTCTGATGCCCTAGGCGAAATACTGAAACGGCGCCCTTTCAAGAAAATTCGTACAAAAAGAAACAATAATATAAATAAGTGTGTAGGTATATAATAATAAAAATTAGAGTTTTTCATTACATTACATTTTTTGGGATTTTTCCTCCTCGTTTCTATACATGAAAATATGAGTATTATTTCTATATACACGTCTGGCAAGAATCATTTTCCGCTAGAGAAACCGTGTGATGGGTAAGCATCGTTGCCCGACGTAATCGAGTAGCAAATGATAACCCCTGCGGTCGGGCCGAAAAATGAACTCGCTCTAAGGCGGGACTAACGCCATACAAAGCGTATGGTGACGTCGTCGTTCTCTTCGTTAAAATGCCCATTTACATAATGCACACGGTTTCCCTATAGGAAAATTATTTTTGCCGAGCATGTATGTCTATCAGAATTCTCAGCACATACCGTTTCAACATCTCAGTCCTTTTTCTCATTTAGTTTGATTTCTAAATAATTAATAGATATTTACCTCTCTCTATGAAGCTTATTGCAAAGTCGGGTTTTCCTCTCTTCGTTAAAATGCCCATGCACACGTTTTGTCTATAGGTAAAGTATTCTTGCCAGACGTGTACCTCTAAGAACTAAGGACAAATTAGATTTTCGCCAAAATGACACAGAAAAATCCAATCGATGTCAGTGACACCTACATTTGGAAAATGTTAGAAAAAAGAAATATAGATGCATCCAAAAAATATCAAATTTTTACTTGAATTATTACTAAAATATGAACATGAAAATAGTAAATTCATGATACATTAATGAAAACATCCTGTGATTCATTGGTTTATATCAACTTTTGTCACTGAGAAGTGTCAACACTAAAATCAGAAGACATTGTGAGAAGAATAATGTTTTCCATTTTTTATGCTGGAAACGGGATCAGAAGTCCGAAGCTAAATAAAAATTTTATATTTTTTCCATATATCTATATTTTTCTTTTTCAAACATTTTTCAAAACAAGGTGCCACTGACAATTGATTGTTTTTTTTTTTTCAGTCTCACTATCAAGACCAAGTGACATTTTTGCAAATTATCTGATTGTCCTCACTACAGGTATATTAAAATGATGATCATATTTTTATTTGGAGAAACGAGGAGAAAGGATGCCAAAAAATCTGGTAAAATAAATGTTCTACCTCCTAGATTAATCTTCAGGCAGTATTAGTTATTATTCATTACATAAATGAGTGAATAGACTTTCCTTTTTGACATATGCAAAAGTAAAACTCAAAGAAAAACGATAGGTTGGGTGAGATTCATTTACAGTTGTAAATTAATTTTTTCCAAATTTTGATGCCGCCTATTGCCACCCCCTGATACAAGCGCCCTATGCTGTCGACTAGTTCGCCTATAGGAACAGGCCGGCCCTGGACATTTATAATATCACTTATAACAAGAATTCAATTCTCATGACATGGATTTGTATATTACCATTTGTTTTATTTAAACATGATATCATCATAAGAATACAACTTGTGACACTATTTTTTCTAAAAATATTCATTGATTGACATAATCCAGCTGCTGCTTCAATTTCAAAATCATCAAGCAACAATAAGTTCTAACAATCACCAAATATATTTCCAGCAAAATGATATCACGTGTGGTATTACATAGGAAAATACTGCTCCTACTTGATAAAGACATGTTAACATATTGAACTGTGAAAAGTAATTAGATATACCTGTGTAGATAGATTATCTTGACCACTATTTCTTATGAGGAAACAAAACATGACTTTTATTATTTCAACATAATAAAACAAACATACAATTTCCTAAAAACACTTTGTGTACAGGATATAAGTGAAATTCCCTTGAAGTCACTGCAAATGTATGCAACACACATCACCATTAAATGGACCATAGAAGGAATACCACAAAAATTTGATTTTTCAAGTTTGCTAGTGATTGTTTTTCTCTTTCAAACTGATGATGGAAATAATCTCTCTTCTCAAATTTTATTGCATTTTCATTTTCATAAATCAAACCTCTTTATTTGAGGAAAAAGCATTCAAATAAAACTGAATCATTATCAATAATTTTTTAGGTACCAAAAAACGAGTTTTTGTGGAAAATGAAAAAAAATCCATAATACTGATTCATGCTACCTTTGATAATTTATATCCAAATATTTTTTAAAATAGTTCCTCAATTGTTGTATTCATTTTCACTTTTATTATTTATTATATATATGTCACCCCATATGCCTCGCCATATGCAGTGCACAATTGTGCTATTGCATAGGTGCACCTCTGTTTTGTAATACAAAAAAGTACTTACCTAATATTGAATATTGCCTGTGAGTAAATATGCGCAAAATGAAAATACTGTCAAGTATCCTTAGTAAATATTGATTTCTAAATTGAAGCAAAGTAGGACTTACCAAAAATGTAATCCTTAAACCTATCTTCCTGATTAACATCAGGTTCTGGTGAGGATATGATGAGACTAGAAGCTTGGGATCTTTGACTGTTGTTTGTAGCACACATTGCACATTTCACTGATCTTGGCCAATTCTCATAAGTACACATCTGAAAAAATAATTGACATTATCATACAATTTATGAATATAAACATATTATAGACTTACAGGACAAATCCATTTGGATTGTGATGTTCTTCTAGAGTTTTCAATATTAGTCAAACTGGCAGGTGGGCTGTTATTTCTAGACTGTGACAAACTCTGTGCTAAATCTGAGTGCTGAGAAATTTTTAGTGGCTGAATGTGTTCATGCAGGGAGTTGGCAGATAGTGAGGTTTCCCCACAAATTATACATACATTGGATGAACCATAGCTGCATCTTACACATTTTGATTTGTTGCTCTCTAATGGACCAGCTGCAGTTCCAATAGTGGAGAATTTATCATCTGAGTTGATGTTATCATCATTCAAACTATATATATCTTCATTCACAAAAGGTCTGTGGCCATGGCACATGGTGCATTTTATGGAAGAAGGGAAGTTTTCATAGGTACAGTACTCACAAGCCCATTTCTTCTCACTTTCACTCATCTTAGATGTTTTTTTTACCTGAGTGCCAAAACTTGGTTCAAGCTTCAATATTTGTACTTCTGTGTCATGAATTTATCATCATTATTTGAGTTCAATTTGCAATTTATTATTATGCTAGTCAATATATTTGAAAGGTGTTCAACTCAACATAATTATTTTGATACCTGAAACAGAATGTAAATATCCACCAATCAATGGGAGTATGGAATTGAAAATTGGCAAGTTTTTAAAAAATATCAGAATGCACTGCCAATGTCAGTTCTAAATATACAACTACTGCCAAGCAATGCACATCCCAAATATTGGACAATAACAAACAGTATGTATGTAGCACCGTTATGAGAAATAATATACTGTAGCAAGAGAAAAACATGGAATTAAACACTAGAAGTACACTCTCACCTTCAACAATACGGTCATCAACGTAATAACGTATTTATTGTAATAAAGGCACAGTGACAGAATTTACGTGTAGATTTGGAAACAAATAATTTAGGTACCATTTGTGAACGAATTTCCACCAGAGAAAAACCAGTCATTCGAACGTCAAAATAGACATCTATTTATTTTTATTTTTTAATAATAAAAGTAATGACTGACATTCACCAAATTATGACTAAAATATTAAATGTCACATGTGTCACTTAGATCATAGAAGTCACACACAAAACACAAAACTCATATTACTTCTGTGATGTCACTTCATTGATGTTACGAAGGATGTTACGAAATGTAACAGACATCTCGGGACAGGACTACTGAGGGGTGTTGGCTTAATTTTGAATGACATCCAACGTCCAAGATTTCTCTAAACAGACTTCGACCGTTGATTGATATATTCATTGTCTGCCAAATATGAAGGGAAAATCTAGTGAGCTGAAACAGCTTTTTAACCCAATTTACTCAAGTCTCTACTCTAGGCATCTTACCAATATCTTTACAAATGTCTCTCGCCAGTAATGAAACTATTCCAAGAATAGCATGCTGTTTGTTGTAATAAACCTGATATTTGATAAACCATATATCAACTATGATAAACAGGCCAACACACATATTTCGTAGCGCGATAGCTCACTGCTCAGTGGACTGCGTATTTGACTCCCACAGCGGTGTTTCGTGTTCAACTCCCTGCGAGGTGTCATTTTTTTTCATTTATTTTTTTTTCACTAATGTAATTTTTCGAAAAATATACTTTTCAGGCGAAAGGTTCATTTAGGACAGGTTGGGTAAAAAGAAGTTTCCTTTTTCATGTCGAAACGATATTTTCCTTCCTCATACCTTTTTTCTTTCTGTTTTCAGAAGTACTCGTCAGAGAGCACAACCAACTCAAAAAAATGTAACTAAATAGTTATTTTTGTATCTAGAGCGCGAAATGCTACTTTGGTGATCGAGATCTGATTTTTTCTACAAACGCCGAAAAAGATAGTTCAAAGTAAAAATATATGCTTAGCTTGATATAAAAAATAGTCTTGAACTGGCTTAAAAGGCCTTCCCCTATCCTCCCTAGGTACGCACGATGTTCCACGATCATAATAGAAATTTCCTTTCGTGCGCTCCAAGAGATAAAACAAAGTTATTATTGAACATTCAGAAATAAATGATTTCGTGGATGTTTGCTCGATTGAGAACCGTGAAGTTGAAATATAAATGTCTCATATATTTTACATAACAATGCGCGAAGTAGATACTTCGCGCACTGCTTTACTTCGCACATTGTTAGGTGCAAGGTATCATGGTAACGTAGGAAACTGAAAACAGTGTCACTTCGCACTTTGTTTTCAATGCGCGAACCTTGTCATTTTTTGACGTTTGTAGAAAAAGAAAATAAAGTGAAAAATAAACATCAAAAATTTTCTTTTGTGTGGTACTCCTCAAAACATGGTACAACGGTAAGGCCGACTCCGCATCATGTATACATGTATCTCGATCCGCTACTTTTTTTCTGATGGTCTTTTGGGTTGGGTTGCCACTAGTGCTACAATATAGCCAATAGCATAATATCTACAATATGAGAATATATACGGCAATGGGTCCGCATGACCTGTCTTAGGCGCCAAAATTTTGCGGCTTTGGGACAAATAATTTAACATTTTCGTACATAATTCTACGGCATTGGGATCCCATTTGGGTCTAAAATTTTATAAGTAGCGCATATTTTCCGCTTTGGTGAATTGAGACCATTCCACCTTGAACGTATATAAACGGCGGCTGGGACTACAGACCCGACTTTCAAGAAACATTTATACATATTCGGCTTTGGAAGAGAAAGGGTTAATAAGTTGATATACATTATAAATACTTTTTTAAGATGGTTTGCTGGTTGTTGGTCAAACTATTTTGTGTGCTAAAAAGGTTTATTCTCTTCCCATTTTATTCAGAGCTTGAGTCTACTAAAATAAAGGAAGTAGAAAGTATAGGTATGGAAAATAACACAATAGTCATATATACATATAAAAAGTGTCTATTGAAATTAAAATGTTTAGCTTTCAATAAATATAAATAATATTTTCATTGGCAATGTACATATAACCCGATAAAATTCAACTCAATCAAGAAAAAGTTATAATGAGGTACATCCTATCCTACACAACTATTTGTTTTTCTCCTATATAACACTACAACCTATTACTATCCATGGCATGCTTACTGAAATCGGAATTTACATTATTTAAATCATGGTTATTGGCAGTGACAGATGGGTCCGAGCTAGAATGAAATTTAGTTCTCTTTCGACCTCGAGCATTTTTCTTAGATTTCCTCCTCTTACGTTTTCTGAGCATCTCCTCCTCAAAATCAGAAGCAGTGGCACTGGAGACTGTCTCATCTTGAGAATGGTCGTTTTCCTCCTCCATCTTTCTCAATGGGACATAACTAGATGAGTTAGCTAGGCTAACGTCGTCATCGTCCGTGTCTGAAGTGTTCATTTTTTTCATTTTTCTTCGACGGTATCTATGTTTGACAGGAACAGCTCTGAATCTATAGAGCTCGAATTCGTCGCTATCTGAAGAGCCATTTTTATTGTTATTTTTCTCCGGGAATCTATGAGATAATGGAATATCGTCGGAATCAGTGTAAAGGAAATCATCTTGAGTTGTTGAAGATACCGCCATTTCATCATTGATTACTTTATGCTTTTTTCTGGATGATATTTTTTCATTTCCAGGTTTGCTCTGTGAAACAAAAACAAATAATGAAGGTTTTTTTGACTGACTTTACTGAACCAGATGCAAAAAGTAAAATATTTCCCAAGAGGGGTGAGGGGTGAGGAGATAATTCAATCTATAGGAATTATGTCATACTTCAGAGTTCTGATGAACCGTTTTTTATCAATGTCAGAGGCATTATAAGGAACTCTTAGATTCGTCTGAAAAAAACTGATTTGAAAAATATTATCATTAAACTAAAAAAAGGAAATACTTCGATAATAGAATAATAATGATATTCATTTCATTCTCTGTTATAAACATTACATTGCATCTCATATAAATTTAAATATAAATATATTTCATTGAAATTTAAAATGTAATAAACAGAATGATCAGACAGATACATATCTGGTATGAGATTATTCATGCATTGTTGAATCTAAGTTATTGAAATAAACAACAGATACAAATATAATGATAATAAAAAAAATCTCATGAAAAGTACATTATGACATGATAAAATAAATTATTGAATGAGAAATCATTCACTCAGGTTTGATTTTCTCTTTGCAAGAGGATATCTTTCTTGACTTCAATTTTGAATTGGGTGATATTTGTGCAACTTTTGGTAATTTACTGAATTTTGAGATAGCTCCGTGAGTAAACCAATATGAGGTTAGATCTGAGGCGTTTGTTGATAATATCATAAGACATTTTGTGAGTATTGATCAGATAGTGCTCTTCCGAAGAAAATGTATTTGTTTCATCATATAGTTGATTTGATGGAGTGCCATATGGAAGACGATGCTTTTTATAGTTTATAGTTTGCTGTCGAGTCTCTCCAAACCTTTCGAATTGAATATAAAAAGACAATTAACATGTTTTTTTGAGAACAATGAAACTCTGTCGCTATGGCAGCATGGGTTCACGAAGTCCAAAAGTACAGAATCAGCTTTATGTGAGTTTCAAACCAGAATTGTCAATGCCCTGGACCAAAAGAAGTGTGTCCTAGGTCTCTTCATAGATTTCTCTCGTGCTTTTGACTGTGTAGACCATGAATTGTTACTTTCAAAGCAGTTCAGATCAGATATAAGAGGCTTACTACATGACTTAGTTACATCATCTCCAAGAAAGAAGACAAAGAGTTAAAATTGGCGGATGTTCTAGCAGTGATTCTGAAATTGGCCAGGGAGTACCTCAAGGATCTAATCTGGGCCCATTGTTTTTCTTGGGTTTTGCTAACGATCTTATAACATTCGTTAGCAATAACACTTCGGCATTCGTTACCAGTTGCGCAGATGACACTAATGTTTTGATAATAGAAGACGATATGGAAATGTTGAAGAACACCACAGCGGATATTATTGGGAAAATAATTTTTTGGTCTGCAAAGAATCATTTGGAACTCAACAAAGGTAAAACAAATATATTATTTTCTACTCGTAATATGAACAACATCGACATATCTTCAAATGATAATGATGAAATGATATGTCCATCTGAAACAGTAAATATGCTGGGAATTGTTCTGGATCAAAAACTATCTTGGCATCCTCATATAGACGCACTTTGTGCTAAATTGAAAAAGTGTTGCTTCTCGATTAGATTCATGTCAAATCATTGTAGTCAATATATTGAAAACATTGTATCACACCAATTTTCATACCCACATTCGCTATGGCATTCTGAATTGGGGTACTAGTTCATCCGGTAAGGGTATTCCTACTTCAAAAATATGTTATAAGAATAATTGCTCAGCTAGGATACAGGGAATCATGCAGAAATGCATTCAAAGAACTAAATATTCTGACAATCGCCAGCACATATATTGGAAGCTTGTGCATATGTATTCAAACATAAATGTAACTTAAAAAATGTAGATTATAATGGCTGAAAATTCTACAATATTCTTCCCACAGATATCAAGGATTCCCTCTATATGCATATTTTTAAATGTAGGTTCAAGAAACTGTTGCTTCAAAGAAACTGTTACACTTTTCAAGAGTTCATAGACTATGGGTGACTTATCATCATACAATATGATGGTAAGTGAGTTTATATATTTTTGTGTTTTATGATGTGTATATGTATATATACGGTTTTATTGACGTTTTCTCTTATTATTGTACATTGTTACATTCTTGCATCAAATGTACTTTTCAATTTGAGAAATAAATATTATTATTATTATATAGAACAGATATTTTGTTAAAATTATTCTTGGAACATGAACCCCATTTTACTGAGGATGTGATAGTATTTGCTATATTTTGGCTGAGTTTTGGACATCTTCTTAGGGCACCAACCATGGGAGAAATGTTTTCTTTGAGCATGCCAATATGCTTGTCCACGTTAACCTTTCATCAATCCAAATACAAAGGTATTCGGTATAGGCAGTTTGTTTCCTTCTTTCATTTTTTATTTTAATATTCAAATCAATATCTCGTTTATTTCTTTGATGGAAAGTTATATACAGATTGAGTCAGAATAAGAACGACAAACTTCGTACAAGGATTCCTCATCTCATTTTGAGGTGAAAAGTTCCTATCAAGTATGTCTTAAATTGCATCCTCACTGAGATACAGGTTAGGTTAGGTTAGGTCTCTAAATTTCTCCAGAACCCCTGTAGCAAAAAAATTGGAATTTGGTATACCAATCCAGATTAATCAGAGTAATCACAGGGAGTTTTAATTTTTGAATTTCGTCAACCAGAGGCGTAGTAAGGGTCGTATGTCGCCACATTTTCCATCAAAATTTTTCTCAGCCAGATGAATTATCAAATTAGTGAATCACCTCAGTTAGGATTATCAATACTCAACCTAAAAGTAATAACAGTCTGCATGCCTAAATGTAGAGGATCCAGATATATTTGCGAAAAACTTAAGACATGTCTTGAGGTAATACTGAGTAGAGGCCTAATTTGCTGTGAACCATAATCGCATAATGCTAATATTATAAGAGATATAGATATTACTTTTCATGCTCCGGAATATTTTTGGATGTCGAAAAAATTAAAAACATTGTGTGGGTGTCAGAAGTAAATCGACATACTCGAGGTTAATAGTCGTAAGCCATCTTATTATTATTATTATTATTATTATTATTATCTTGAATTTATCAGAACCATCAAACTATTAAAACAACAGTTTTCAATTAGGGGGGTGGCAACGTTTTTAATATATCAAACAGTAACAAATTTTAATCACTTCAATAGATTATTTGACGCATAGAATATTTATGCACTAAAGAAAATACAACCATTAAATTCGAGGCAAATGTTCAAATGGACCATGCCTGCTGCTAAAATTCTAGCACTTAAATCTACTACAGATTCTACAGGTGTTGAATATCCTATGGATTTGAGGTTCCTCCAAAGAAAAAAATCTAGGAGTTCAATCGGGAGATCGTACAGGCCAATGAACGGGACCATAATATCTACCTATCTACGGATCAGGAAAATTCTGGTCGAGAAACTGACGAACTGTATGCTGGGAATGGGCCGGTTCAAAGGAAAATTATGGAGCAAAGTATGGTCCTCTGGATTGTTTTTATACCTGCGTGTTCGAGTAATATGTAATGATCGAATTCACATATTCGACAACTAGTATCTCAAATAGGTTGCACTTCAATACATATTTCTATATAAACTGTTGACCTCGAAGTAATAGAAGTTTCTCGAACTAATTCTGACTCACCCGTACGATGCTTTTAATCTTATCAACACTCAAAAATGTCCAGGAGGTTGAAAAATGTTTCTCCATGAAGTTCAGCATTATGCAATTATGACACACAGCGAATTGAGTCTCAACCTCTACACTTAGGCATACGAATGTTATTACTTTTAGGTTAGGTATTGATGAGACTAACTGATGTCATACACCAATTTGACAATTCATCTGTCTAAGGAAAAATATGAAGGAAAATGTGGCGACACTGGTTGACAAATTTAAGAAATGAAAACTCTATCTGATTACCCTGATTAATCTGGATCAGTATACCGAGTTTCATATTGATTGTCTTATTAGAATTAAGAGCAATAAGATTGGAGTAGAGCTTTAAAATGTCCATTTTCAACTGTTTTCCAAAGAAATAAAACACGAAAAATGCTGGAATTGCAACTTTCTTGCACTAAACATGTTTAAAAATGAAAAAGTACTCACCACAGTTTTTACACAAAGACATCGAATTTTCAGTCAAGTTAAAACCCTCTTATTGAAAACCAAAAATTTAAATATTTTGTTTAATTCAGTCTATTACTCCTATACAATCTATAACATACCGGGTGTCAACGAATCTATAAGAGAATCATAACTTAGTATTTTTGATAATTATTTCAAGCATTTTGGAGAGTATACTCAACTCATTGAACTTTGGACAATGCCACCATTATACATTATGTAGTCTGTGATGAAGTTGTTTCAATCTACCTGAGGAATACCCGTTGTGAAAAATTCACTGAATAATTTTGTTAATGATTTGGCCCAAATGTTTTTGAATCCTATTTATATTAACTCAAACAGCTCATAATTTGACGACCTATTTTGTTATCATTGTATCCTTATTATTGTCAACTTCTTTCTTCCTTATACCAGAACTTCTGTTAGACATGTTGACAACAATCAAATTATTTTGAAAAACATACATTCTCCACCAAAGAGCAACCTGACTGATAGGAAATAGTAACTATACAAGGTGATTTTGAAATAAGTGCACATATTTAGCACATTAATGATACAGTCTAAGGAATATTCCCATGAAATCAGATGTTTTCTAATTCTTCTAATTAACGAGAAATTTCATACCAAAACTTGAACAAAATACGAGAAAAAAATCAAGGTCGCCACTTTAAAACAATTTAAATAATTGAACTCCGCGTGATTGTGCCTACTGCATGGACATTTGAACAGAAGTGACGTCAGATTTGCTACAGTGTAGAACTTTGGGTGAAAAAAGGGGTCTAAGTTCAAATTTTATTTTCATCCCTAATTTTTTTTAATTAGTGCCATTCGTAGTACACGTCGAGCTTTCTCAGTTTTTGAAATATTTGCACTCATTTCAATGCCACCCTGTATATATCTAATCACATATTAGCGATTGGACCCTTTAACTGCAAAACTTTCCACAATAAATATGGACACTGTTCAACATAGGAAAATGGAATTAAAGTAAGTGAATTATAAACCGATTTCTACTTACGGGATCATGATAATTGCAAACAAATCCTAGAAGATTATCGTATCGAACATTTCCTTCTGAATGGGTAGGACAAAACGAATTCAGGCACTTGACACAGCATCTTATGGTCCTCTTAGAGCAAGTATTACAATTGTGCCAAGGGCACGCAAACTTACTTCCTGAAAAATGAAACATTGGCACATCAGAAAACAAGTTGTAGGCTGAATATTTGTTCTTCAAAAGTTCAAAAGCAGATCAGAAGCCATTCACTATATTTTGACTGTACCCAATTTATTTGTGTTGAATATCATTTTGTGAACAAAACATAGTAGCTTGTCAACAAAATTATTGTAACTATCGCCGTTTTGGATATGTCACCACTAAATATAAGATTGAAAATAGTTATTTGTTTAACTAGGCAGCAAAGTAGTAGATTGACTGCCGAGTTGAAATTTTATCTAGAATCATATACAGTGATATAGAAGGTGGTTCATTGTGAATGGAACATTAGAAATATCTGGGGAATCGAACTACAGTTCTTCTCAAAAATTTGTGGGCCTGGATAATCAAGCTTGCTCTATCAGTATAAAATATTTTCATCAATACAGTGTTGCTGCTTATAGAATAAGAAAGTAGTAGCGACTTTGATATTTCAAATGAAACATCCGTATATTATATATGCCATTTTTGGAATCCCAATAAGATTCCCCATAACTTTTCCTGAAAATTCCCTATACCTATCTGTAACAGTTTTCACGAAAAAAATTATTTTGTAAATTTATTTACAAGAACTAAACAAAATGCAAATTCACAAAACATTGTGATTCGGGTCCTAGCTGCATAAAACCATTGAGTATTCTACCTATGAACTGGATCTCAGTTTCAGCATACAGAAAGGTTCAGAAGTTACTGTTTTTCAGGGACTCATGAAAATGACTGAAACACAGTTTTTTCAATCAATCAATCAAATCAAATATTGGTATCAAAATACATAGATAGTATTTATACAAGTCAATAAAAGTACAGTACATTTAAAATTTCAACATATATATGTCAATAAAATAGATTACATTCAAGAATGTTGATAGAGGAGAACCCTCCAACATCATGTCAACCAAATTTTCCACTAACCAGTCCTACCAAATGCTATCGCCTTTGAGCCCAGTCAAAATTCAGGAATTCTTGATAACTATAGAAAGCATGATCAATCAGGAATTTCTTTACATGCGATTTGAATGTTTTTATCGGTAAATCTCTAACCTCAGTAGGAAGGTGATTGAAAAACTTATTTTTATTATTTCACATATTTCACCCTGTATATTATTATTTATCCTGCAAGTTGAGACATTTTACCATTCAACTGTGTATAAGTTCCCTATTCCTATCTCGTACAGTTTGTTAGTTATGATCATTTATGTTATGAAGCCTTCTATACATTTATTATTGGATAGTGATTTAGATATGATGTATAGAACAAATGGTGTTATAACTTCCTATTGTAAGGAGTTTCGAAACCTCTCGAGGTCGCCTACTTTGTAAAAATAGCGAGGCGTGGGAGAATCTTGCTAAATTTTCGAAGTTTCAAACCAAATTTACAGGCATCATGACACATTCATTTGAGTTAACATTTTAATTTTCACAATTTTTTGTGTAAATGGAAACGGCATTATATTTTCCACTTTCAATGGTGAATTCATGAACGAGACGAAGTCCTAACTCAGGAAAATCCTGTGATAATAGCTTATTTACTCACTTTTGGTACATAAAATACAACAAATGTTCGGATTTTCAAATAATCCTCACACATTGCAGCATGATGAAAGCACAATACACTCAACTAATAATATAATATCAATACCTGCTCAATAAACTACTAATGCTATTAATATATAATATTTCTTTCTGAAATTTGAACAAAATCATGAATATGCCGAAAACATGACACTCGTGACAGATATGTCAAGATCAAGATGTTTTCGCACGGATTATTTGTTGCACCCCGTCTCGAAAAAAGGAAAACACATCCTTGAAAGTCTAGTTCAACTTCATAATGAGATTCGAAACTAATTTTGAAATATTTCAAGAAATTGTCCATCGTTCACGCCATCTATCATCGAATATGAGAACTCCACGTTCCGAACTTACATTCAATTGTTCATATCGAGAACTAGTCTGACGAAACACTTGAAGAGTGGACACACCAGAGGAATGGTATTTGGATTGATGGAAAGTTAAGCATATTGGCATGCTCAAAGAAAACATTTCTCCTATAGAAAATGTCCTAAACTTAGCCAAAATACAGCAAATACCATTCTATACTCTCACATCGTTAGTAAAGTTAACTATCTCATAAATATTTGGGGTTCAAGTTCAAAGAAAAATTTTAACAAAATATCTGAACTATATAAGAAAGCTTTAAAAGTACTGTATTGTCTTTCATACGACACACCATCAAATCACCTATATGAAGAAACACATACATTTTCTTTGGAAGAGCACTATCTGATCAATACTGTCAAAATGTCTTATATATTATCAACAAACACCTCAAATCTAACTAAATATTGATAAGGAATTCCCAAATCTATGAACATCATACTAGAGTCTAGACAATATGACTTGTTTCATCTTGATGCTGCTAATTCTACACTTGGCCAACAAAAGTTTACTCACGGGGCTGTCACAAAATCAAAAGATTACCTGATGATATCAAAAGTTGCACAAATATCACCCAAATTAAAGTAAAGAAACATATCCTCTTGCAGAGAAAATCAAACCTGAGTGAATGATTTCTCGTTCACAAATTTATTTCATCATGTCATAATGTACTTTTTATATTATTATTATTTTTGTATCTGTTGTTTATTTCAATAACATAGATTTGACAAGGCATGACTAATCTCATATCAGATATGAATCTGTCTGATTATTTATGTTATAACATTATAAACCTTGAAACATATATTTATATTTATATGAGATGCAATGTAATTTTCCTGACAGAGAATGAAATAAATATTATTCTTATTATAAAAAAATGGTCTCATGCAGCTATGACAAGAATTACAATGTTTTGTGAATTTGCTATTTTTCATGGGTTAGTTTTTGCGAAAAAATTTGATAAAATAATTTGTATCGCGAAAACTGTTACAGATGGGTATAGGGAATTATCAGGAAAAGTCACGAGGAATCTTGTGAGGTTTCCAAAAATTACATAATATACGGGGTGTTCCACTTGAAATAACAAATTAGTTACTACTTTCTGATATAAGCGGCAACACGGTGTTGATGAAATATTCAGACCGATAGAGCATGCTTGATTATCCACAACCACAAAGTTTTTAAATGATCTGTCCTTAGGTTCTCCAGATAATTCTAATAATGTTCGGTTCACCGTGCAACACCGTGTATTACAAAGTTGTTTTATGCTGTACCACTTCTAGATCCAGATTCATCAGAAGTAATACCAAGTCAGATTAACTGTCAAACTATACACTCAGTTGTAGCAATGAAGAAATGAAAATTGAAAGTAGAAAAAGAAAAACGAGTGTGGACTTACCTTCGGGCCATTCTGTCAAATTCAGACATTTCAAATGGTATGCTTTGTTGCACATTTTATTGTTACAAGCTCCCACGTCTCCCCTCCTCTTACATATAAAACAAGGAGGCAAAGCCAAAGGTTTGACGGGTTCCTTCTTTTTATAAGTTTTCTTTGGTTTCTTAAGCTCAGTGTCCTACAAAATAAAAAGATAGAATAAACACCTTCACGTTCATCAATAATTATTATTTACTTGTTTAGCTTTGGCTCCGATGAATCCACTGCAATTTGGAGCTCCACAGCGACATATTTTCTTTTCCGTACCGGTACATTCAAGGTTGTAATTGAATGTTAGCTCTGTATTAGCTGGTATATCTTTGGTAGCAAACAGACCAACTTTCGTGTCGCCGTTGACTGTCCATTTTTGAGTCTCGCAATTCGGTTGGCAACAGTGATTCATGAACCTCGCCATATTACCTGAATATCATCATGAAATGTAAGGATCTGATAACCGGTTGGATCAACTGGCAAAATGACAATGTTTGGAAACGAATCGACCCAAATGGGGTATCTATAAAAGGAATGTTGTGGCACAAACTTGATTGAAGGTAGTGAAAATAGTGAGAATGAATCATATTTATTCATCTTATAACTAAAGATAAATTATTTTTAACTAAGTGAGGATAAATAAATGGGTGGTGTTGTGTCCTCTGTTATCTGCAGTGAGTATTCAATCTAGAAAATTCATTCCATATTCTGAATGAAATGACGATCTAAAATATTCTTTCTTTTGTCTATCACAAATAGAGAATTGATATGTAAGTCAAATCTTATATGGTGTTCTCGGATGATTACGACACGCGTTTTCCCGCGTTTTTCATGTGAATTTGAATAATTATTTGAAATAGTTACAGAGCTCTGAGGAAAAAACGGTTTGCGACAGTGGACTAGAATTTACTGAAGAGCTGAACCGATTTTCCACGACGGCCCCTTCTGTTCTATCTCTTTTCTGTCATATTTATCTATTTATTTTATGGAGATTCAAATACCTACAGTGAATCTTTTGCCAGTATTTTTACAGTTGTGAACCTTTGAAATTAATGTCATCCACGTTTATGTACTGTCAATAGTGTCAATTTTTTTTTCATCTATTTATTTGTGGTTATGTCTAACAGTCGATACTTGTCAACACATATTATATCTTCTGATGATGGTTCAGAAATTAAAATGAACTGAAATATAAAACTTTTCAACCGAAAAGTGATGAAATGAATCGTTTAAATTATATTTTCGTATGTTACCTTTTGGTCCAGCATCTATCATCCTGTTCTGATCAATAGTTAAAAAATAATAGTTCTCTTCCTTCTGCTGATGCATTTTTTGTATCCTGCGTTGGTATTCTTCGTCATCGATTATTTCCCCCACATATTCTATAACGAATTGCCCCCTTTTTATGGCAGCTAGGCATTTCAATCCCCATCCTCTGCCCTGGGTCTTGTAGGGTATCATCGGAGGATAATCTCGTTTTTCGAAGGACTGATTCTTACAGCTTTTTCCTGCTGGACAAGCTTCAGGATTGCACTCTGTTAAAAGTAACCTAGCAGAACAAAAACAGTGGAAGCTTAATAAATTCATCCTGAATAATATTGTAGCAATCTAATGTGCCAATCATTATAAATTACGAGAATATTCAGATCTAAACACACTGGTTACAATTAAGAAGTCATGATCAATCATACTTGCAGCCCAGCAGTGAACTTGTTTTGAGTTGGTACATTTTGAGGTTTACATTTCATTTCGTTTGCTCCATAATTATTTTCATCTTCAGCATTACTTTTCTTGTTATTATAGTTAAACTTGTTCCTAATTGCTCTGAGCGTAATATACCTAGGATATTGCTTCAATTCCTCACATTTATTTTCAGTTCTATGATATAAGATATGGAGGATCAACATCTGTATTACCTCAATTATCAACCCAAAATAAATGATTAAATTCATATAATATTAGTACAAAACATAATTTCTAGATTTCTCCATATAGTAGATCACAACTGTCTTTATTTTCAAAGGCAGTAAATCGACCAACTTGGCAACACTGAGTACTTAACGATAATTGTATCTGATTTCACTATGTACTGAAACAATGCAATTCAATGACATTATATTCTTCCTTTTGCAATGGGTTTCATCCTATTGTATTTTTATTTACTTTTTAGTGTTTTCGAGAATTTTAGCAATGGTCTACTGTGCTTATTCAACATGAAACCACGTCAGCTGTTTATCATAAAATGGTACTACACTCACGAGTGTCTGCGGTGTTACCATTTTTAGTTACTGCTTTTATAACTGAAAACGACTGAGAGTAAAAATATGTGGAATGATGGAATATGTATTTGACTCTTCAATCAAAATATCTCAAATATTCTAGAAATTTAATATGTTCTATAATGAATCTAGAAAAATAAGTAGCTGACAACCTTCACAAAAATTCTAGTCTCATCTATAATACTTGACACATATTTAGCCAATGTGAATTAAACCTAACCAAAGTATAGAAAAGGAAGTTGATAATTGAGTAACAATGAGAACAAATCATTATGAACAATAATGATCATTGCGTGCGCTACATATCAAATGTCATAAGTATTTCAACAGAACCATTTTTTAAATCTTATCATACATGATATGACTGAAATATAAGTGACCATTCTAGAACACGTGATTTTGACGCGGTTTCTTGGAGGGCACATAAACTATCTGTTGGGTTACCTTTGATGAGCATACATCCGGAATACAATGAAAGATTCACCAAACAAAATCATGAAATCCATTTAGGTTCCGACTCGGGTTCAAAAGAAAACGAACCAACTACTTCTGGTTTCATATGACAAAATATAATGTTCGCCCTCCAACGATCTGTCAAATGACGTTGATCTGGAATGATTAATTCTCGACAATACTAACCTATTCAAACAGTCACTATCTGGCCCACAGGGATTACGTTTTCTAGGATTACAATCACACGCAGTGGTGTTACTCAAATCCAACTCCATATACCTTACATTTCCCACGGGCTTATTGACTTTGATCTTGATATAGGGGGGAGGTTTTTGGGAATTCAATGATTCTCCTTCCATTTTTAGTTTGAATTCTAAAAAAAAATTAATGTCTAAAAGTATGTAGTAAACTATTCAGTTGTTTCAACATATGAATAATAAGATGAGAAACTGGATTGTTGTGAAGAAATTGACATTCAGACAGAAACTTCTTTCTAATTCAAACAACGCTGTATTTGTATATCCTTAAGACTACCTCATGATGAGACTGTGAAATGGAAAGAGTTCTGTTCCATTCATACAAATTATCACACGAATTCACAGTCCCCTGTATGAGTCCATAGGCAGGCTTTTAGTGTGATAATTTAAGTAGTTTTTCAATTATTTTGTACCAGGATATTCTTTGCAATTCATTTGTAATTCAATAACAATTCATAACTGAAATAGTTTATAGAGATGGCAGATTTTAGAGTCCCTACGATAGTATTATTGATTTCGATTAAGGACCCCGCACTTTTTGTAGGTAAAATGGATTTTGGTGAAATTTTCTCAATTTTTAGTATTTGTAGAATTCGATGAACTGATTGAACATGCAAAATCGTAGAGTACGTTAGTTTTTATTTAATTATTTTTTCCAGATTTGAAGGTGCCAATTGCATTCTTTTTCACTGATATCATTGAAGTACCTTCATATCACTCAATATTATTCAGATGGTTCAGATTATGTCATTGTATACAAAGTGAAAGATGAAAACATTTTAGTGATGTAAATTCGATGTCATGATGAAATATCGAGAAAATTATTTTCTCACGCAATATACTATTCTCATTCCATCATGAAAAATATGAACAATATGAATTGTTAAATGATAGCTGATACCCTATGATCATGATGTCGTTGGGAATTGGGTAATATTGTTAGCCCCAAGACACATTGATAAATCATCATTTAATGATAATTAGAAACCTTCATTGTTTTCATTTTATTCTATCCCAACGATGGAACTTGAAACCTGTCGTGAAATGGCATCCATTCAAAGATTCTGACTCACCTTTTTTGAGTTTGTGCACAACAACAGCCTCGTCCACTGCCTTCTTGAAAGCAGCCTGCTCTACTTTCTTCTTGATCGACACCCTTGACCCCGAATCTCCAGTATCGCCCTCCTGAAATAAAAACGACCTACCCCTGTTCACCCAGTAGTGATCGTAGGTCCCGAAGAACTTGACGACGAATTCGCCCACGTTGTGTTTCATGTTCACGACTCTCACGGGTATCTCGTTGGGGAACAGAATGAGTCCCGGCCACCACCTGTACTTGCCCAATTTCACCCAAATGATCTCGTCGTACAACGGCAGCCTGCCGGATTCGCACTCTTCGCAAATGAACTTTTCGTCTTCGGTCAGGTTGACTTGAGGCATGCATTCAGGATGGACGCTAGTAGGGCAGGTCTCGCAGCAGATCAATGCGCCACCTTCTGAGCACAAGAAACACCAGGTGGTGTTGATGGTGTACATTTTGCTTTTGTCTCGGTGCCTAGGGCATATGATTTGAGTCGAACTGAGGATTTCTGTTCCTGCAGGTACACAAAGGCTAGTAGAGTGGTATGTAGAGGGACAACGCTGACACTTGACGATTTTATCGCCCGAACATCGGGAAGTAGCAGCTCTAGGGTCGTCCGAGACGCAGGTATGGCAGACGTGTTGCGGACACACGAAGCTATCGATTTCTTCCTGCGAGTACCGATTTTTGGTGGTTTGAATCAATGACCACTGCGTTTGAGGCCACAGTTTCAAGCATTCTGGATGGTAGAACCTGCTGCACTGGTACAGAGAACACTTGTGTCGAATACCCGAGCCTTTTATGGAAACAGCCTGGTGGCAAACAAAGCAGTAAGGGTCCATTTGTTCGATGCAGAAGCCACATTTGAAATGTTTGGGGTTCATCGATTTTGCACTATCGGTGGTTTCGGACGTTTCACTCTGTTTGGTCAGGTGGCTGAAATTGCTGTTGGAGTTTTCTGAATCTACGGTCTCGAAGCTGCCACAATCGGCAGTTACATGCTTGGTCACGAGTTTTTGAGTTTTTTCCACCTTATTCCTCATGTTCTTCACGGAATTTGGTCCCGACTCCTTGGCTGCTCCATTGAATGTTGTTAGTGAGTCTGCTGTCACATGTATTACTGATGAACTTGGTTTATCTAACAAATCCTCTGATTCCGACGAACCTGTATGTTCTGAAGATAAATCAGCAGTGACATGTCTAATGGTTTTTGTTGGTTTAATGCTACTGTCCATTTCTAATGGTTTTGAAAATCCCTGGAAATTATCTAAACTCCTTCGTTTATCTTTGATGATTGGTGGGAACTCAATATGACTTTTCGAATTTGATTCAGTCCTGGGAAGTTGATCAACAGAATTATTGTCTTCTGAGCTAGTGTCAGTGGGAGATTCAGCGTATGTAGTTTTCGATTCGAACTTTTTCATCACTTCTTTCATCTTGAAATCGATCTGTTCCCCTAAGGACAAATTTTCGAAATTCGGTGGGAATGTTTTCCTTGGAGGAGTGTTGTATACGCTAGAAGCCACCGTTATTATTTGAACATGGTCGTCATCATCAGATTCCACTTTATTTTCTGAAAATTTGAATTGCATTATGTTTGGAGCAATTTATCCAAGCATATGAATATCAGGTATCTCAGACTTATAGGCCAACCATTTGTGAATCGATCGTCAGCTGGCCTAATGCAACTGTTGAGGATTAAAAGAGCTTGTCTTGCATTAGCTGATAATCGATTCACGTACGTTTCCTAGAATCCCTTGGTCTAGAAATACCCCGTTATTCGAAAATTTGAAGCCTGGAATTCTCAATAAAAATCATGGTGAAACGTGAATTAATTATTCCAGCCGATAAGATTACCAAACTCATCATATTCTTGATGCACAGGTGAGAAAGATTATTGAGCATAGACTATCGATTTACTTTTAGCATCAATGCTAAGTCAATCCCTGGTGGAAAAAATTCAATTTATGGCGCTGGATTGACACGACAGATCATCTACTTTTGATAGTGTTCATGGAAAAATAAAAGAAATATTTTGTATCTAATACCTCCCTTATTCAATTTCATGATATTTTCAAGGACTTTCTATGTCTTCTACTAGTAGGATCTTTAGCCTCATGGCTGAATATACTACTACCCCACACTAGCCACTATCGAAGTGATTCAACAAGCTAATGTCAATTCACTTATACAAATTGATTCAGGATTGTTAATGCCACAAAAGGCAATATGAAGCTATTCGTTGAAATTAGATTTAATTTTATAAATTGACATTAGAGAACGTTATACCCGCACAACCAAAATCACGTACCTATTGTGGTTGTCTTGTTTTCAAAACATTTTGACAGAATACAAATATCAAAACACAAAAATCTCACAATGAACCATTGATTAAATTGGGATGAAGAAGTGACAGAGCTTACAATAGTAACTAACCTTTAATATGCAATTCCTTGTCTTCAACTTCTACTTTTATTTTATTCTCGTCGACCAAATTTTCGTCTTTGAGATAGGAAAGCCTATTTTTTCTCTTTGGAATCATTAACTCCTGTAACACTCCTATAGCACATCCAGCATGATAAACAGCATTACAACCTTTGCATTTGAGAACATCTCCCGACATGAAACAGTACTGGCACACTTTTTCTTTCAAAACTCCTTTGAAAAGATTGTTCCTTTTGAACAAAGCGTGCTGTGCTTCCATCGACTCGCAAAAAAAAGTTGATAAGTTGTGGGGTTCATTTTCCATGTCATCTAGTTTCTGAAGGTCATCAATTGCAGTAACTAATTCTTGATTAATGGATGTAACCGAGTCTTCGTGGACTGAAGTTATAACTCCTACGGATGATGCCTTGTTGACCCTCTCAATTTTTTTTGCAGGAACTTTTTTCTCAGTAGATGATGCAGCACTAGTGGAAGGGAAAGGGTCTTTTATTTGAGCTTTGCATAGTCTATTTTTTCTCTTGGCAGCAGATTCATCAATACTGTTTGGTAATTCAACAACATCTTTCATTTTAGTACATTTGGTTTTGTCCTGTAGGTCTAGTTCTGATGATTCATGGATATTCTTAACATGATTTTTCCTCAAGTTCAATTCACTTTCTGATTTCTTTTGTTTTTTCTTAACTGGGGAATCTTGATTTGTTGTTGCTTTATCGATATCACTAGCTAGCGTTTGCGAAGATCTCGTCCTTTTTCTGACAGGGGAATCTTCGTCTTTGATAGTTATAATTTCATTCTCAATGGTAAGAGATTTGAAAAAGCTAAGTCTTTCTTCCTCAGGTTTTAATTTGACCTTCTCTGCCTCATCTACAGCAAGTATCCATCGGTTTAGATATCGTATACTCACAGAATAGAATTGTAGATATTTGCAGGATTTATTCTGCAACAAATAATTCAGTGTAGTATGAGACAAAATGGAATAACCTTATTGAAAATACTTTCGCGAGAAAAATAATTGATCCACTCAAAATACTGAACAATAACTGTTAGTTCAAGACGATTTGACTATTATTTGCATTTGATGATAGTTTGAGATTACAGAGGTACACAGTGATCATTTTTATTCTATTTTTTTAAACAATCTATGGAGTGGACAAGAAATTTCGCCATGTAATTTCTTATATTGTTTTCATCCTACACCTACTCTCCACATTTCTATTTTTTTATTTGAAACAATATCTTCACTTTTATCAAGGTTTCAATGAAACTTCACATTCTCAATGTTTTTCCTTGCAGATAAACAAAAGTTTTTGATACTTGGAATTAGATTTTGAATATAAGTCATTTGCAGTCATTATTTAATTTTTTAACTCGCTAAACCATTTTGAATGTACAGAAGCTCATACATGTTTCCTAATAAGAACATCCCAAACATGCTCAATTGGGTTCATGTCTGGGCTTCGAGATGGCCGATACGTTCTCGGCTGAATTGTTTTCAATGATTCTTGCACCTTGCGGTTGGGACTCATCTGGCATCACCATAAAAATCATCTGTGATGAACAGCAACGTCTATCGGCTGTCATGACTTCCAGTCTAGATAGACAACGTCTGTGTAAAAATCGGAGTCGGTGAAATACACAGCGTTATAATGAATAGATTTGCATAGCAGAATACCCACCACTCTGAGCATTGCCCATTCTTATTTCTTACATTTATGGTGTCTATCTAGAGTGTGTAGGATCTTTGATATGACCAAGTCCGTCCGAACTTCAAAGCTCATGCCACCCCACCTATTACCGAACAACTTTCATGACTTACCTAATTGTTTTCACCACAGGAAGAAATGAAACGTATTTTTAAATACCCTATAGTTCACCGAAATGGAGCTATTGTAACAATTACAACAACAAAAAATACCTAAGGACTAGATGGAAATTCATAATAATATAAGAACTAAGCCACTCCATAATTTGTTATAAAGCCAAAGTGGAAAGGCATGTTTCATGTCACTTTGTGTCAGATTTCAATTTTGCCGGGGAGTGTAAAATGGAATCAAAAACTTCATTTGAGCAAATTACATACATTGTATATTTGTAGCAGGTTGAAGAGTTATCTCGATAATATAAAGGAATAAAATAAAAAAATGTACTAAAATGGTTCCATCCGTCATTCGGTTAGAGCGAGAAACCCTCAGAAGTCTTCAAGAGACTAGTGCGAGCAAGGAATGACGGATGCCTTTTAACGTGTGATCCCAAACACTTACTTGGGCCATCAGAAAAATTTCTGCAGTCGAGGATTTGAACGCACGACCGGCAAGCCATCGTGATTAGAATACTATCACTTCTACCACGTGGCAACCTGGCCCCCATTAAAGAATAATGCACAACACAAATAAAGTCAAAATGATAGTCAACATGAAGATAATCAATAAATAGAATATTATGAATAAAATGAAATACAGGTAACAGTGCATCAATACTATATCAAGATTCAAGCATCATCAAGTACCAAGTAGTTTTATGATTACCTTCAAGATATTCCTCAGTGAATAGAAACAATATTCCTGAAAATATTGGAAGGAAACTCATGAGCTGTCATTGAAGAAAATAATGTTCTCTAAAGTTTTTTTGTAAATGTACAAGTATTCCTAAGGACTTATAACCTCCAAAAGTTCAGAAAAATTCCAACGCCTACCTCCTATCCCTATCTTTCCTAGTTACGCACGATGTTCGTCGACAATTATAGGAATTACCTTTCGTGCGCTCCTACAGATAAAATAGTATGATGGTGCCAATTTAGTTTCCCATCAAACGCGATACCTAGTAAGTTTGCACTGGTACCTGTATGGCAATAGAGATACGTTGATCGTCTCCTTACTGTGTTCAAACAACTTTTCAGCTATTGTATGGGTGATAAACACTAACAAAATATAGTTGCTTACCTCTTTTTTCAGATGATTGTGAATTGCATATAAATCGCCCCTATTTGTATAAACCATCATTTTATGTTTGCTGATCCAAGCTCTTCTACAGTTGTCACCAAAAAATATGACGTGATAACACACTCTGGGTACGAATCTCGATGAAACTAAAAATTGAAAAAAATAATTATGATAAAGTTTAAACTCTCAATATTTAGAAAATAACTTATAGTTGATATTCCTTCAAATGATCAAATAATAATGGATGTGTTCAATCGTGAAGTGCGCACCTTTAATCCAGAAAAAGTGCAAATTTTGAGTTGTCATAAAAAAGGAAATCTGGAATTGGAGGTGGAAACTTGAGAATGGTGATTTACCCCTTAACCCATATGTGCCCATAGCAATCCAAACTACGCATTCGGACTTTCGGATTGTTTTGTTTGTTTTTGTATAATTTTATGATTACGAGTGGTACCTTCTTTAAATTTGGTACCCACCACCATAGAAATAACCTACTATCCGGACCGCTATATGCGATATACCCTGTAGCATAACCACGTTTCCCTAATTCAGGAACCTACGGTATCAAATAAATGAGTGAGATCTAGAAGCTCTGTATTGTGTGTCATTGATCATCATTTGTATATGAAATAGCTTTTTGGGCTAGTTATTGTGAGATTGTCTTCTGAGATCATCTACCTTTAAACCCTGGTATTTCAGGTAAGTTGTTCTTAGATGTTAATGTAATTGTTGATCTATTCAGAATGGTATAATATCGGAATTTACGTGTGATATGATATTTCTTCAAATTAGTTGACATTTGTCTAGTTCAATGTCAGGTATTTGATGTCAGATATGTTTTCAGATACGAACTGATTTTCAATAAAAAACCATAACGAAGAGTTAGCTTTATTGAAACCTCTTCAACTTGGCGCCCAACGCAAATAAAGCAAAGGAAAAAGAGCAAGAAGAGAATCGAACAACAAAGCTGACCAAGTGAGCATGGAACAGCAGAGTGATGATAGTTTCCTGCATAACTATGATCTGCGGAAAAAAGTGGGTCGGCAGAGATTAGGTGATAAAATGGATCGAAATAAAGAAAGTAAAGGAGCCATTCCAAAACAGTACATAAGTCTACTAGAAAGAGAAGATGAGGAGGACGAAGAATGCCATCAAGCAGGTAGTATGCGGGAGGTGAACCAGATGAGATATAGAGAAGGAGGTAGGGAAGGAATGAATGTGCAAACTGATGTTGAAGTTGGACCTCGACGTGAAATGAACGAAGGTGGCAGGGATAGTCATGTTGGAATTCAAGATAATGGGACACGACGGGAAGAATGTTTAATCACTAATCCTAGTCAATCTTTATTGAGATCACATAATGAGTTTAATGGTAGTCAATTGACTGATTTAGTTACTGATATTATCTCAAATCTTGTAAGGAACAACTTACTCAATAATACCAGTGAGGGTTATAACAATAATTCTCAGATTGGTAATGTAGGAATATCTAGGAAATTGAATAAGTTTGACAATACGTCCGGTTTGCATCCGCTCGATTTTCTAGAACAGGCTGAGTATTTTTTCAATCAAGAAAGGTGCTCATTCAGACAGTTTGTACCGATGTTGAAAAATAGTTTAGATGGTGAAGCGTTTTCTTGGGGACAGGTGTTTTTGCACAAATTCAATGATTTTTCCGGGTTCAAAGAGACATTCATAGAACATTTTTGGAATGACGATGTGCAAGAAACAGTACGGGAAAGTTTACAGGGTGATAATTTTGATGAGAAAGAGGGATCTTTAGTTGACCATTTCATGAAATATATTGCTATGGCGAAATATTTAGAACCGAAAATTCAGGAAAAACAATTGATTAAGATTATTGGGAGACATTATCCGGAACATATCGCTGTAATGTTAGTAGGGGTGAAAAATATTGAAGATGCATTAGAACGTTTGAGACAGATCGATTATTATAGGAAGGGATCTAAGAGGGGACCATCATCTAAATGTCATGAGGATAGTTCTAAAGAGTATCAACGGAAAGAGGTTCATAATGAGTTTTCCAGAAATTCAAACGAGGGAAGAAATTATTCACAAAGGAATTTTCCTAGGAATGAATATAATAGAGAGTATTATAAAAAACCGAATGTTTCCAATAATCAAGAAGGAGCAAAAGTTAGTTCAGGGACTAGAAATATTCGATCAAGTGCGGATTTTTCCTATTCGGGTGGTTCGGCTGTCACTAAGCGGGGAGCAGATGAACCGGTTAATAATAAAAAAATGTTGGTTCTCAATGAAGGAGATATGAATGTTGTCGATCAACAGCAGGAAAACGATCAGTTTCCTCACGAGAATTAGGTTCTATCGTGGGGACAGTGATAAATAGAGCCAACTTATATTGTAATAATCCTCGAGAGGAGTTACTTGAGGAATGTAATTTCGAGCATAATATGTCAAATTCAAAATCTCCGGTTATTTCAATTGTTTTGTTTCATTTTAGTTTTCCAGCGTTAGTTGATAGTGGATCTGAAATTTGTGCCATTAGTGAGGACGTTTGGACTCAGTTAGCAGAGTTCCATAATTTAATTCCAACTTTTCGTTGTACAGGGGTGAAGGTAACTGGTGCGTTTAAAAATCACCAGAAAAAAATACAACAGCAATCCATGCTTACGTTTTCAGTTGAAGGATTGACTGTCTGTCATGAATTTTTATTGATTCCATATTTAGCATATCCAGTGATTTTGGGTATTGATTTTCTTAGACACCATTCTGCAAAATTAGATTTTGAAAATGAGATAATTTTGATGAAATCAGGTATTAATTGGTTTGAAATTCCAGAAATCAAGTCACAGCATGAAGAGAATGAATCTTTTCAAATGAAATTGATCAATACCGAGAAATGTGTATATTCAGTTCAGCAAACAGATCAATATTTGTCAGGATGTGAAGATTTTGATGATACCGTTGAAATGGGCATGATAACTGATGAGCAAAAGAACATATTCCGAAATTTTTTACATACTCATCGTCATTTATTTTCTGACAGACCAGGTTATGTTACAGAATATGTTCATCATATTCGTTTGAAGGATGAGACAGGATTTTGTATGAAACAATATCCTGTGCCGCTTAGTCATAAGTCAGCTGTACAAAAACAACTAGATTTGATGCAAGAATGGGGGGTTATAAAGCGTATGGTGACACCATATATTTCACCAATCATGGCTACTTTGAAAAAGGATAATAGTGTGCGAGTATGTTTAGATGCAAGACATTTAAATAAGATTATGGAGCGAGAGTATGAAACTCCGCGACCAATAGAAGAAATTTTACATTCATTCGGTAATATTAATTATATGTCTTCATTAGATTGTACCCATGGATATTGGCAAATTCCGTTATCAGCTGAATCGCAACGGTATACAGGGTTCAGATTCGATGGAAAAACGTATTGTTTTCAGACACTTCCATTTGGACTGTCAACAAGTGTTAGTGCATGTTGTAGATGTATGACTACTGTGTTAGGTCCAGAATTTGAATCGTTTGTGACAATTTATGTTGATGACATTTTGATAATTAGTAATTCATTCGAACAACACATTGAACATTTAGATCGTGTATTCAAAAGACTTAAACAAGCAGGGTTCACGTTACGATTACGGAAATGTTTCTTTTTCCGACAAGAAATGAAATTTTTAGGTTATATTCTAGATAAAACTGGAGTCAGACCAGATCCAAACCGTATTCAGGCGATATTAGATTATGAAAAACCAACTAATGTCAAAGAACTTCAACGATTTCTAGGTTTAGCAAATTATGATCGTTCTTTTTGCGAGAACTTTGCCACCAGTGCAGCTCCTTTAGTCGCGCTATTGAAAAAGACTAATAAATGGCATTGGGGAGACAAAGAGGAGAGAGCATTTAGCCAGTTGAAATCAAAACTTCAAGAAAGTACATTATTGCATCATCCTCGTATAGATAGTTCATATTGTTTGCAAACTGATGCTAGTGATACGGGTTTAGGGGCTCAGTTATTTCAATTGGTAGACGGAAGACGTTATCCAATAGCTTGGGCGAGTCGAGTTTTGTTAAGTCGCGAAAAAAGATACCATATCAACGAACGGAGAGTTTTGGCTTTGGTTTGAGCATTGAACAAATTCAGAATATATCTGTTAGGCCGTGAATTCACTGTTCATACCGATAATAGCTTGGTAACATTCCTGCATATTCGTCGGTTGTTATCTCCACGCATTGCTCGTTATGCACTTGCTATTCAAGAGTATGATTTTGAAATAAAATATATTCCTGGATCTGAAAATGTGGTCGCTGATGCATTGTCACGACATTCAATTAGTCGTCCATTAGTTCCAAATGATAAACTATTCAAAATTTGTCCTGTATTAAAATTACCAAAAGAATTTCAAACAGCTATTGCTAGAATTAGTGAAGATCAAAAACAAGATGAGAAATTATCAGATATAATTCAACAACTACCGGTTGATTCAAAGTTACAATTGAATTTTTGTGTACATAAAGGAATATTATATAAACGCAGTAGTCACGATGAATATTATTTACTTTGTATTCCAAAAGTATTAGTAAGAGAATTCACCGAGGCTTATCATGTAGCTTTAGGTCATTTTGGGTCGTATAAAACGTGGAATGCGTTGAAACGAGATGTGTGGTGGAACAATATGGCGAAATCTGTTAAAAAGATTTTGAAAGAATGTGAGATATGTCAGAAAGCAAAATGTTCAATTTTACCCAATCCTCCATTTGAATCTATAATTCCAGATGAAAAAAATGCTTTGCTAGCCCTTGATTTGTTCGGTCCATTACCAATGAGTAAAGGTGGAGTAACTTTTGTATGCGTTATTTTGGATGTATTCACAAAATTTGTAACTTGTTATGCGTTGAAAAAGGCAACTACTAGAGCAATTTTGAATCGCTTAACAAAACATTATTTTATGACAATGGGTTATCCAAAAAGTATACTAACGGATCATGGAAGTCAGTTTACTTCTTTGAAATGGCGGGAAATGCTAGAGTCACTCAATATTAAAGTAATTTTTTCATCTATTCGACATCCTCAGGCCAATCCTGTGGAAAGGGTCATGAGAGAGCTCGGAAGGCTATGTAGGACATACTGTCATGAACAACAGCA